ACAGCTAGGCCATTGCGCCACCCAGTGTGCTGATGTCAATCAGCCGGAAATACCTGTGACAACTCTAACAGTGAATTGTGTGGTAAATTTACCCTTTTTGTAAACAGCTATCATGCGTTGGGAGCATGGATTCTAAAAGTGGGACTAAAGTTTAAATAGTGTTTATGGTAATTACTCAATAATGAATCAGGCAATGATCACACACACGGGAGCTAGAAATATAGGTGATTGTGCAACCTTTCCGTTCATTCTCACACAAACTTTTTTCTATATTTTTGGATATTCGTGGAAATATCGCCATGTCATTCGGTACTCCGATTTCAAATTTGATTGGATACAATCGTGGTCATTATTACGTTATTTTTATCGATATTTCCAACGAAAATTTATTTAATAATAAAGAACTATAGTTGGAATTTAAGCAGACGCGAGTGGGCCGGATGAAACGCGTCGGTGGCCCGCGGGCCATAATGTCAAATATATTGCAACGTCATTTAGTACCCCAATTTCAAATTCGATTGGATGACGTACTGAACACACGCGAACAATATTTTTGTGGGAAATCTACCTTGTTAGGGAATTACAAGGAGAATCTAACCCGAGTTCCACTATATCACTTTATAGTATGGTTCTTACCTCTTTAGCACTTTACTTAGATTACTAGGTTTACCTCCAATGCATCCATTAGAAATTAAAATGATTCATTATATTCATTTAATGTGACGGCTGCCTTTATTTATTGGCAACCAGCTGTTCAATGTCTGATTGAGCGCAGGGATTTTCCCATACCACTACCGAAGGGGGTGAACACCCCCATAAAATTTCAAACACTTCGCCAAGTGTTGGGTCATATTTGCCGCAAAATATAATTTATTTCCAGTTATGTTAGGTTTTTATAGTATTTTGACTTTGAAATCCTACTTTTATTCCCCCTGCTATAAAGAGAGCCCTGGGACACGGACTTTCAATTCCACCGTTTAAATACTTCTGCTACGAAAGGTCGCTTATAATCAATTTAAGTCGTAAAAAGTGTGAATCGGGATAAAAGAAGATTTCTCACAAAAATGTTGTATGAAACAGTATGGCCTCGACTGCTGAATTCATGACGAAGCCAATTAAATTTGGAATCCTAGTACCGGAATTATACGGCAATTTTTCGGCTTATGGTAATAATTTAAAATAAAAATGGGAGTGGGATGCAGGAAATGGACACGTTGCATAACACAACAATAATCACTGATAATTCTAACTCCCGAGTGTGTGATCATTGCCCTATTTAACATTGAGTAACCGACATGAACTATATTCTAAATTTATTCTAGGTCATTACAGCCCATCGCGTGATAATCATGATAAAAAAATTTCAACTATCATCATACGATTTACGTCAATAAACCATTAGAATTCAGGAAATGAGCTTTAGAATATTTTGCCGTTTTGAACGAGCATAACCCTGGTATCAGATTTTTTGCAGTCTAACCATTGCAAATGAAATAGCAATGCAAGAAATAATCAGAAATCTAACTTGCTTTTGTATGTTGTTATCAAATTAAATCTCCGCACCAATTCGTTCATTTCAACCTTTATTCTCCAATTTACCTCTCCGTAAATTTCAGGATAAATCCCCCCCCCCCACCTCCCCGCACATAAATAGGCGACGAAATAGGCTCTGGAAAAGGAATTTCAACTTAGCATTCTGCAAATGTCTCAAATGATTCCGTTAAGTTTCTATAATAACAGTTAACCTACACAGCAATGCCAATATATTCAGCATTACCAATATACTTTGTGAGAATGGCTGATGGACACATGGATAATAGTTATGAATATAAAGTTAACAAAGTCCGTAATTTTTTTGTTTTGCATGCCTCTTCGTACATGTAGTCCTATTTAGTAGACGCTAAACCTAAATTTAACAATTTTTATTGAATTAAATTCCAATGGGATAAGATGGGATGGGACAGGCATATATGCTATGGGGTGGGATGGGGATGGGACCGAAAGTATGTCCTACGGACAAGCCTGCTAATCCCTCCCTACAGCGCGATGGCAGAGAGGTCAAAGCGTAGTTTCACATCTTGGGTCTAAATTCCGTACCCAACTACTAACCCAAGGTGGGATAATTTGGGGAGGCAATGCCGAGACGGAAAAATCGGTATTTTCGAATAATCGTAACTCTTTACATGTCGTTAGATATCAGTGGTAGCTCCTACAAAGCCCTTTTAAGAGCGACGTAAAACTATAAAACTAGTAAACAGGCGGTCAAATTATTGTTTTTCGAGATTTAGTGGGAAGTTTTGATTTATTTTATCGTCATTGAAAGACTGTGATTCCGATTCTTGGAGTTACAAATCACGTGATATAGCGTAAACCTTGCAAATTTTCGAAGGAGCAAAATCCAACGTGTTTTATGTCCATGAATCGCGGTATTGCAATGCATTTTTATGTCTGATATGTCAGTTTTTGGAAATATAATAAGGGCTTTGAATAAAATTATAAACAGAATATCTTACTGACTGTGTCAAATTTGCGTTGCTCTGTTTGAACAGAAAGTAAATGATTGACGTGAACAATATTTTTAAACGATATTAATCACGAATATGTTTTGGAAATGCGATACTTTGAAATCATGGTGTCACCTATGAACAATACAGCGGTAATTTAGTTCAACGATAGCTGGAATTGCACAGGAAGTTTTGATAATATTGTCTGGTTTTCAGCGCCATATGCTATCGTATACCTACAGCAGCATATTCGATAACTGTTATCTAATGCCACGCCTGGACCAAAGCTCTATACAATCATTTGGAAGTTGATTTAATTTGATTATTCTAGTTCAACTGTGGCACAAACATAGGTTTATTGCACTAACACATGGCCATGAAATGTTGTGATCAACTGAACAGCGACTCATATCGCTTGCCCATCTATGAAATCAACTCACGTAACGCCGAATAAGGACACGTGACATCTTCTGCTCTACATTGATATATGGAATCCCAAAGTTACCGTATTTTATGGACCATAGGGCGCACCGTCAATAAGTTGCTTAGATTTGGGTTTTGTAAATACATGAGGCGAACCGGCGTTATAAGGCGCAACGGTACTGGTTTTGACCAAAGCTTATATAATACAATCGAGGCAACACTCCGACAATGGACGCCATCTTGTGCCTATTGTTCTCGGCCATCTAACACGGCGCCTTATGAGAAGTTCGCACACAATCATTGAAACATACCTATTATTTTCACTAATATTTTAGGTAGAAAAATTTTCAAGGTCGCGTTTTGAAGGAGAATCTTTGCCTAACACGTTGATATTCTTCCATGCTTGCCAAATTACATTTATAGTACATTAAATTGTCATTGAAGACAAGTTTACCGGTTCCGAGTGGCTTCTGAAGTAAGTCATAATTAACCATTTGACAATGGCATACCTCATGACGTCACAGATGAAAAGTTGTATTTATTCGTCGAAATTACCGCCGACTCAACTTCGCTTCAATGGCCGTTTCTATTTTCTGGTTATTATTTTTCGTCTGTCGAGCTTCATAATGTCTTACTGCTCAGTTCCAAGCTGCGCTAGAAGAACAAATGACATTGTAGGAATGTTGTGGAGACATTTTACAGCGTCAAATTGGCGTAACACTATGAAATCTTCGAAAAAAATGACCAAAAATAGTTCTACGTTGTGTGTGTGGTCAAATTTAACGCATTAGATTGTTTTTTATGCTTAATATCGATATATATTTAGGTAGCGTATAGCTTAAAGTTCAAAACCCACGTTCGGCTTCATTCTAGCCCTTATAACATAACAGCTGACTTATTCGATTCGGTACAACAACACGACGAAAAATGTTCATAAGACTCCATTGTTTCGTGTTACCCAAATATGGCACAAGATGGCGTGCATGAACATGTTTAACATAGGCAAGTTGGTTGCCGGCCCTTGGTATTGACTAGGCCAGTGGTTCTCAACCTTTTTTCTTTTGTGGCCACTTTTGTTGCATAAAAATTCTGTGGCTTGTTACCTTTCTCATGCAAGGGAAAAACTACAAAAAAAAAAACAATACTCTTTTCGCAAAAATAAAAACTTTCACTTTAATATTTAGAATGAAAAGCAGCAGCATCATTTATTGCTACTACAATAAAAATGTGACCATAATGACACAACTGAAACTAAACTATTCATTAACCGTAGTAATTTTTAATAGGCTTGTGATTCACTCGAAAACGTTTGCATAAAGCATAAAGCACTACTCAAATTTTATGTTGGACGTCCAAAATCCTATATTCTACGTCCGAATTTCTATATTCGACGTCCGAATTCCGATATTCGACTTCCGAATTCCTATATTCTACGTCAAAAATTCTATATTCGACGTCCGAAATCTTATATTCAACGTCCCAAACCCTATATTCTACGTCCAAAATTCTATATTCTACGTCCGAAATCTTATTTTCTACGTCCGAATTCCTATATTCGACGTCCGAACTCCAATATTCGACGTCCGAATTCCAATATTCGACGTCCGAATTCCTATATTCCACGTCCGAAATCTTATATTTTAAGTACAAAATCTTTTATTGGACGTCCAAAATCTTCAGGTTAGAGTGAGGGCTAAGAATGCAGATTGCGCTGAAAATTCAAATATTCAAATCCTAACCCTAAATTCTTAATTTTCAGTTAATATACTTATATCTGCCCAGACTGGGCCAGCGAAATCCGTTTCGCCAACGCCCGCAATATTTAGAGCCGGCAAGACATGTTTGGCCTGTATTTTCATAAAATAGGATAGGATGGCGTGGTAGTGACGTCGTCGTTTCATAAAGATAGAAAGAACAGCATTTACCAAACTATCTTTTTTGTGACGCAACACGTATCCTAAAATTTAAAAGAGAGAAAACAATTTCTCTTTCCGCTCTAGAGTAGTGAGTGAGCTTGAATAGAATATATTCCGGTGCGAATAGATTGGAGCTTCATTCCAACCTTCGCTGTTCGGGTATCGACTTTCATCAAAGCAAAATTGACGAAGTTCTTGGATTGGAAATGAAGATTCCGATTCGACACAGTTTCATCGTACTAATACTGTTGGTGGAGGCGTATTTATTGATTAAAGGTCAGTATAACCGTGCATGCTTTGTTGGATTTGCTTGTTTGCCTGGGTTTTGTTTCTGAGGGCGCGCTATAGAATAATTAGTTTCCTTTGGATATTTGATACCTAGCTGGTGAGATACTTCTTACTTTACGTAAAAATTTTGCCTCAATAAATTAGGCAGGATAATTGAGCTGCTCTAAATGAAGCTCATAACTGAATATTTAAACACGAATAAAATTTTTGTGCCTAATTTCATAGTGTTAGCGCTGTTTTTTTCAATCGGCTATTATTTATTGCTGGTTTCACGGAAGCAAAAAATAAAATAAATATTTAAAAACCTACCCAGCAAATATGAAAATTATTGGTTTGATACAGAGGGTTAGTTATTTGGAAATTGTTTAAAGCAGGGGTGTGCAACCTTTAATACAGGGGGGCAAATACAAATAACTGGGTGAAACCGCGCTGTTCGTTTTGAACAGACTAGATCTGATAGGCATAGATAATAAATGGTTGGACTCGGGTATACCATTTGCAACGCAAAAGGATTGGAATTACGTCCACGTACCAGAATTAACTACCGGTAAATTTAGAATCCCTTGCACACCCTTGGTAAAAAAAATCCCCAAAATCAGGCCATTGATATTTAAACAGCATGAAGGCTTTATACTCTTCCTGATAAAGAATCCAGAAATGTAACGTAACCGTGAATTGAAACAGTTTTTTTGACATATTTCAAATCTGTTTTCTCGCGTCACTGCTGCCATATTGTATCAGAGAAAATATTTATTTATTCCGGCGTAGGGGAGCCGGTATGACGGTGTAATTAAATGGCGAACCTCGGTCTCTCGATGAATGTTTTAAACCGACATTTGAATATGAAAAATAATGATGTTTTATATGATAGCTTTTTCCCCAAACATCTCGTTTGTTGTGTCACGTATTGGATGCGTTGCTGTACCGTAAACAGGGCCGGATTTACCAGGCAAAGTAAGCTGAAGATTATGGGTCTCAAATCTTAGGGCCTCGGCATTCCATTTTGGAACTGTCATTAATTTTTGAGACGTTTTTAACTGTGAAAGATTTTTATAAAGCTTATATTAATCAAGTAAATTCTCGTCCCAAATATTCACCGTTTTTAATTGAAAACAGCGCATTGCAATATTGAATTTGTATACATTTGAAAACTGTACTCTGGTGCCATGGCGTTCTGTTACGGTCGGAGCTTCTTAATCTAGTTGGACGATTAGCGACGTATTTTGCCACGCAATTTATTCATGACGTCATAATGTTTTTATGACGTCATTATTTAAGAGGAGCCTCACAAACGGCGCAGTCTAGGGCCTCTCATCATCTAAATGCCGCCCCGACCGTAGATCGTACTAAATGACCCTTCCTTCATTGTAAAATTATTTTGGTTTGGAAATTTCCAATAAGAGGATTTCCTCATTTAGAACATTTTGGTTTTTAAACTTAAAAAAAAAATCGCTCATAGATTAGCGGGCATGATGGCCCATTGTTGAAGCGTTTAACTCGGATATTCTGGCATCGCGGGAGAAAATCTCGGGTTCTATTTTATACCCACCGCCTCACCCAGGGTTTTGAAAACTGAAGCAAAGCCGAATCAACAAGATTGCTGCCTGTCTAAAATATAGCAGCTATCACGCATCAGTAGGCGTGATTGCCAACTGTCAAAGCGTTTGACTCGGAAATTTTGGAATCGGGGTGAAATCTTCTTAATCCTATTTTATATTTCAAACTTAGATTCAAAAACCAAAAAGTTTCAATTGTGAAAATCCTCTTCTAGAGTGCTCGCACAAAGCATTGTTCGGGTAGAAAGACGTATAAAGAAAGCATCAAACTATGTAAAATCAACTTTCCCGAGTTCATTGCTTGCCAAAAAAAATGAAACGATTTTCAGAAACCAGAAATTGAATTGCTGTGATCGGTCAGATCTTTTGCCCACGCCCGCAAGACCGCTAAACATTGTTAGGTTCCCCAATGGCGGGCGTAATAATTCAAATTTGATTCGACCAATCATCATCGAGGAAAATAGTGCGTTCGCATGACGTGGGAAGCAGTATAAAATTAAATATGGAATGAGCGAATGCGCGCCATAAGGAAGTCCTGAATTAGTCTCGTTATGAAAAAAGTTCAGTAACATAACTTTCGTTTATCTGTTATGAATCATTTTGATATGAACAATTCGCTCGATTTCTAATTTTAATTTTTTTTTCCAACAGGAGAGCAATGCTGGATTCCTATGGTTTGCCACGATCAGCTTACTTGGAGAAAACTTACGGTGAGAGCTTTAGTAGTAGTTTCATATTGGTGGTATTTCACTTCATCCATGGGAACACTTTTTGCAGGGAACACTTGCTAAGCTAAGGCTTTACTTTAGCAATGTTCAGCATTCATGCCCATATATTCAAAGAGTTCTTTCTTGTTCTATTTCAGGAAGGACAGTGCACAAAAGAAGAAGAGAAAGCTTTGGGAGGTTCGTGTCCACAATATAATTTCTTTAAAATATGTTTTCAATTTTCAAATATTTGCCAAATGATTTGATAGCAAACATGCCCGCAAACAATCGTTTTGGTACTCTTGGAGTATGCGTACCAAGATGGCGGACACTCGAACGTAGTATGTGTACCAGGTTAGGGTTATGTCATAATTTTAGGTACAAATACTACAGTCAGTTAGCTGGTCCCAAAACTCGTAATAGAACTAAAATAAGGATAATTAGAATAAAATTATCGCCTAACCCTAACCCATCTCACATTCTTATTTTTACCCAAAAAGAAAGGGGTTCATATCTTCTAACAAAAAATTCCACTTGATACGAATTGTAAAACTAATGGCTCAATTTAAATTCAGTTTCATTTATGTTTCGCAGCTTTAACACAACGATTAGACGGGATGAAAAGTGAGCTCTATCAATTAGAAAAGGTGTTGGAAGAAGCAGAGACGAACTCCGTGCCACTCTCTGTTGTAGGTGTTAAAGAAACGACCACTCCCCGGGGTATAAAAATCTATGTCTTTTGGTATCGCATGCACTAGCATAGATATTGAAAAAAACCTTTTAGTCATAGTAATCGGTAATAAGGCGATTGTGCAAAAACGCTGAAAAGAAAGATTTTAAAATTTATTCTCATTGCCATTCAGTCATTCTTACCTTAAAGTACCCAAAACTATAAATCTTGCTCCAAACTTGTAATATAAACTCACTTTTTTCACAGGATACAAGGACAAGAAAACTTCTTCGGCCCTCACTTCAATCGTCCCTGCTACATCCCCGTGGTCAACTAAGGAAGCCTTTCTTTCTACCGTGCGTCCACAAACTACAAAAGTCGAACAGAGTACAGGTTGGTTTGGCCTCCTCTTTCTCGTTTTTCACTGCGAAAATATTTCTCCCCTAAACGCCCTAAACGCGGCGGTGTGGATCATCGTGCTAAGCGTTAGGAATACGCATGACGAGTGAATGAGTGCCTAATTTATGTTAATGTCGATTTTTCATTTTTGACAAATTTCGCACCGAACAGGGCCTATACAAGCTACCACTACTATCTAACGATATGTACGGAACTATATTTATTGTAAGTGCTGGAATCTTCCTGATTCAGCATTGTCTACAAAATTTATTACATCCTCGGTGAGACGGGGGGCATGAGATTTGTAACAACGATGACAGCGTAGTGAAGTCCACCGGTTTGGGCATATTATTGGCGCATTTCTGGAATGTGGAATTTGTAAATTTTGTTTGTTGTAGTTTGAGAGGTTCAGAGTTGAAGACAACATTTTCGACTTTGAATTTAAGACTCGCGTGAACTCTGAATCCTTCAATTTATAGACCAGACATTGGCAAACCACGAGAAGCGGGCCAAATCCGGCTCGTTGGGTAGTTCAATATAGCCCGTCTAATGCTGCCACAACCAAACTAAAACCAAATTTTGATGTTTTAATTAATAAATAGCTTGATGAATTTGTTGAGATTGGGATTACATTTAGTTTTGGCACGAGGCTTATTGTTTTTTATTTTGGCTTTTGTAACACTGTAAATACACTTCATAAGTGAAGTGCTTGGAAGTGTTTGGAAACGTGTTCACAACTCGATCGATCTCTTCTGTTGCTTCCACACACCAAGAGTCGACCATGACTGTGACCACAGGTTGGGGTAAGATTTTTATCAGTGCCCTGAGTAAGACGAAAGTTCATTAGATGGTTGGACCGTTGCAAAATAACGCCAATAATATTTCAACAAGAAGTAGTATTCATATTCCAAAAACTTTTGAATATATTCATTCATGACATCACAATATCGAAAATATGATGTCATACTATGAATTATGACGTTATACGATAAAAAAAATGGCGTAATAATTTAGATGGTTTACTTAAGCCGAACTTTCTCCAAGATTTTCAATATTGTTGAATTCATTGCTTCAAAGCTTTTTTCCTGATCGTATTGACCTGAAACGCCTTCAAGCTTAACGTAAATTTATATTTACTAGCGCGTAATGCCCCATCATAACCTGAAATAGCCTCTGTTTAGTTACCATTGCTGCAATTTCGAACTATATTTATAATACCACACCAAGGTGAAGGTTGTGGCGGCTTCAATATGTTCGGGTTTATCCAGAAACACGATAGCTCTCAGTCTCCAGTGGTTTTCAAACGTTTGCGCGCGACCCACAATTGGGCAAGTTAGACAAGTTTTTGAAAGGGCGTGAAGTTAAATGATCTTGCCGTCCATATTTTGGATATATATATTTCTTTATTCTTCAGAAATTGCGATTCCATCTATGTATTTTCAACGTGTTTTTTTGGGGGGGGAAAACATACTTTCGCTATACTATCAGTTATTTGAGGCTTATTGTTAGCTCGTTATTTTTGAGGTGGGCGCGAGGCTTGATAAATTCTAAAAAGGGAGCGCGGCCTAAAAATTTCAACTACCATCTATTTGAGATGGCTGTAAAAGCAAACATGATGCAAAACTATGTTATCAGTGATGATTATCCGAGTCTCTACTACATCAAGGTTGAGATACGGAAGACTTGATTATGTTCTGGCTTTCTAACAACACGAATGGGACAGCTTGCTGTTGTCGATTGTGTGACATTCTATAACAGAAGTGTCCTGTAGTCCCTTGAAAAGCTAGCGATTTCAAATTAGTGCAAAAAACATTTTGATTTTTTTTCGCAGATGTTCTCAGTACTACTGTTCCTAATGGTTTGGAATACGATGGCAAGTTGTTTATCCCTCTAATAGGGACGGCGAAAAGTAACAAAATCGAAGCAGAATCGAGATGCAACGAGATTGGTGGACAATTGGCGAATATTTATAACAACGATCACATGGATAGAATAGGAGATTTCATACGATCAAATTTTGAGATTGAAGGAAGCAGAAGCTTTCATCTTGGAATGACCTATAACGAGGTGAGAACTAAAGAGGTTTCGCACGCAGGGGCAAGGAGTTGACAATCACGGCGTTCATTTCCGAATCAAAGCTATCTGAGTCAACCCTCGTATTTGCCTTGCACTTCTGAAGCCGACTAAAATATGGCGAATATCAAACTGTCTGACGCAAAATCATTCATAGATCTAGAAGAAAACAATAAAAAGCAATTTTAACAATGACGTTACGTTTTCAATTATGACGCCATAACATCCAATATTTCTTCTAAAATGAAATTTCAGATAACCCACTATTGCGCTTTTCTGCTTTCAAATATATTCATCACATAAATAGTCACGTCATAATACACAATAATGACCTCATAGCACGATGATATGACATCATAAGAGTAGGAAAGAGTGGTCTTGTGCCCCACATAAGAGAACAATAGTGATCGCAGATTGATCGCCGTTTTTATATTTTCAGAATGAAAGTGTTTCCTTCCGTAACGGAACTGCAGTGGACAAGACTCACTTCAGGTGGGGAGCAGGTTTTACAAAAAACAACGGCAAACTAGTCTATCTGCGTGTGACAAAGAATGAAGAGAGAGTCAATCAGTATCTTTGGAATTGGGGGGACGTGGAAAAATTCGTACTATGCGAGCGCTGAGCTCGAAACATATTTTATGGTAAAAGCAGAAAAAAATGCCTGCTTTTGGACTTTTAACTAGTTATTGGACACGAAATGGATACATATATATATACATCGTTTTGTCATTTCCTTTGTTATTGATATGAAAAAATCGCTTTTATTATCAACTACTGGACCAATTGCTTTGAAATTTCCGGTGGTTATTTGATACTCCCGTAGTGTGTAGGTTAGGTCATAATTTATTCCAATTTTCATTATTTTAGTTCTATTACGAGTTCGGGGACTGTCTGTGTTAGCCAAGTGAATATACCCCCTGCTCATAGATTTCAGTCCCTTTACACAACTTGATTAAAAATAAGCAAAAAAAAAGGATACCTCCATATTGGTACACAGACTTCTAGAGCGCCTGTTATTTAGCTAATATCACGGTGTCTCAATTATCTTTTTTCCAGTGATGGAATTCAAAATTTTAGGAACGGGTGGTTCGCCTTTGTGTCGAACTCACAAACAACGGGTTCGCTCATTTCAGAGAATATATGCATGTTATGACGTTAGCTGCATTAACATGACACGCGTTACATAAATATAATATTTAGCTTTCGAAACGCAAAATACCGTGTTTCCCTAAAAATAAGACCTGGCCTGAATTTTTAAAATGGTTTTAATATAACCTTAAAATAAGACCTAGTCAATAGCACAAAGACTTTTTTTCTCTCTTACACGTTTTAAATGATTAATAATCTATGGTATTTTAAATAAAAATGTGCTATTTATAAGTAAATGGCTATTGGTTTTCAAATATTGTATATTTGAAAGTCTCGTAATTGTTCACTTTGTGATTTGTAAGAAATCCCCCCCCCCAAAACAAGCCCTAGTGTTATGTTTCGAGTGAAAAATAATATATCACCCTGTCTTATTTTTGGGGAACCTCCACCAGTCGTTGTCGTTGAATCATTCGACGATCATTTTTATCACTTGCTTTACATGTAATTTTATATTTTTTTGCACGTTTTTGAATCTTTTTTCGTTTTATTTGTATTTTAAACTCGGGTTGAACAAAAAGCCGATGCCCTGACCCCATCTGGAAGTTTAATAGCGTAATCTGATCGTGATTTTAAATATTTCTCAGTACAGTAGTCACATTGAAAACCGTTTAAAGCTGAAAAGTTATCGAAAAAAGCAATAAATATTCGTTTTCTATTCCTGGGCAATGACATCGGATTTCAAATTGGCTCTTTAAAGCGATATGAGGATGGTGTATTTGGGAGGGAAGTTAGCCTAACATCTGGATTATCAATCTATTTGAAGTGTCTTCTAACATTTATATATTTTTCTTTACCTTGGCCTTGTTTTCGGAAATCAATAAAGTTAACCATTCAATACAGGGTTGCTTTCTTGAAATCATTTGTCTAAGAATACTCTATCTACCAAGAGGGCCGAGAAGTTGGAGTTGGAGGAAGCCCACAATGCTAGGCGTAAAACTGATTTTATTTTTCCCTTTACACGGGAACTTCTCGTTCTTCCCAGTTTCATTGCTTGATTTCAGGATGTTTTCCACTTTGCGCAGTTTAGGGTTAGGCTATAATTTCAAGTACAAATACCACGGAGTCACTTGGCTAGTCCCCGAACTCGTGATAGAACTAAAATAAAGAAAATTGGGATAAAATTATGGCCTAACCCTAACCTGGTACACATACTACGCTCCGGTGTCCGCCATCTTGGTTCACATACTTCGGGAGTACCAAAAATTTTGGTTATTGATCTTATGACATGCGTCGTTCGCTTTGCACAAACTAGCTGTTAGGACATTGTAACGTCATAGACATAGACAATGAATTGGATTCAGGTATAAGCTTTGCAACGCAATAGGATTGGAACTACTCGCACCTACCAGATTAAACTAAAATAAAACTCATTTGCGGGCCGCATATCATTCAAAATTGGCACTTCTCTTCGGGCCGCACAATTTTTCTTGTGGGCCCCCTTTGAACCGCGGCTGGCAGGTTGCGCACTCTTTCACAGGTTTTCCTGTTTATATCGACATGAACTACCTAAGTCTCGAGTCTTTCATCATTTACCAAGACGTAATTGGACACGTAGTGGACATAACGATCGTTTCAATATTATGTTGTTGTTGTTCTTTGACACGTTTTTAAAAAGTCGCTTTTCTCTTCGAATACTGGATCAATTGCTTTGAAATTTTCAGTGGTTAAAGATAAAAATTTTCTCCAGAAGGCTATTACTTTTTTTTTTGCTATGACGTCATCAAAATTATGTGACTCTACGTGTCCATATATTTGAGCATAGGTCTCTTGTTCTACATTATGATTCTTTATAGTGCCATTTCGGCGCTCCAGAAGTGTGTGTACCAATATGAAGGTAACTAATTTTGTTCGCCTACTTCACATCAAGTTGTGTAAAGGGACTGAAACCTATGGGCAGTCATATTCACTTGGCTAACGCAGACAGTCCTCGAACTCGTAATAAAACTAAAAGAAAATCGGAATAAAATTATGCCCTTACCCTTGCTTGGTACACATACTACGGGAGTAGAACCACAGTGATCGCACTTCGCTCAGAGAACAGTTTTATGTACTTCTGAATCAATGCGTGCGACCTTGCTTTGAGCACATTTCTTTTAAAAGTTAATAACTCTCGACTCTTCCTCCGCCCAATTTTATAAAGAAAACTTTTATAACTTATATGTCCTACTGGTAAGCAATTACAGAATTTTCAAAATGAAGTCCAATCTAATTTTTTTACCCCCCCCCCTCCTCAGCACTATCACTTACACAAAATCAGTTCAGTACCTGATATGTCACAGCACATATAATTTCTGGGTGAAAATACATAATAAATCAAAGATGCATAAAACAGGTAGTATGTGCTTCTAAACAAAAACCGATATACATTTCAGTGATAATAAAAATGTCTAATTTGAAAAGATTCAACAAACTCGCAAGCACATTTGGGGGTTGAAAAAAGTTTGGGTGCCTCAAAAAAGGCCCATCCCACTAGTATGAATACTCCGCGTTTCACACACGGGGTGGAATTCCGTGCTTGGGAAACGCTTTATGATTTTGAGGAGATACTGCAATATTACTTTGCAGTCGATGTATTTTTACACTGATGAAAAACGATATAAATTTCAGAAAATATAAAAATGCCCTAATTCGAAGAGCATCGACAGGTTACCAAACACAATTGGGGGGTGGTTAAAAGTTTGGGTGAGTCAGAAATACAATGTCCCACCAGTATTTTAAGCATGTTGAAGGAGGTATATAAGCAGGGCTGCCATAACGTCCTTATTTTGACAAGTGTGCTCATTTTAGGGGTTAACGTTATTATACCGGGTTCGTAGATTGGTCGATTGTGTTATCGATTTGCTAGAAATGATATTAGAACCACATTGATTGCTACGCCAATTCATGGGTGCTCCCGAAGTATGCGAACCAAGATGGCGGACTTTTTTCCAATTTTCCGTATTTTAGTCCTATTATCAGTTCGAAGACTATCCAAAAGCCTCCGTAGTATTTATAGCTAAAATTATGGCCTAACCCTAACCTAGTACACATATTACATTCCGATGTCCGCCATCTTGGTTCGCATACTTCGGAAGCCCCAATTCATGACGTAATAACAGCAAATCCATAATTACAAGGTCAAAACAATAGTCTACCGGCAAAGCTCAGTTCATGTAACTTGTATCAAAATACAATAGTCAATCGAATTTTAATCTAGTTGAATTCTACAAGTGAAAGTCAACTCAGAAGTGAGATGGAACAGATAGTTTCTAAGAATAAAGAACTGCTGGAGCAAATTCTTTCTAGTGCAAAGTATGATTTGATGGGGTTGCACATTGTATGATTACATTTTGTTCATTTCGTTCTTTGTTATCTTATTATTACGTTTCCCCGATTTCCTAATTTTTGAGTTCATATCGATGGCAGCCCTGTATATGAGGATACCGAATACTAGTCAAAGGGAGAGATGTGCATTACAAAAAGACTGGGAACTACTGATGCAGAATGAAGATTTATCCCCCTTAAAAAATTAAATTTAGGGAATCCATAGATATACATCTAGAATAATTATCAAATAGAAAAAGTAACTTCAACATTTTCTAATAATTACAAATAGCTACATATGATAGGATAGATAAAATCACCATGCTTTGTAAAATAAATATCATAACCAACAAAAACAATTATTTATTCAGCAAACATGAAGATATAGTATATTAGAAAAAAATAAAATAATACCGTTTTCAACACATTCACGACAGCAAAGAATTTTCAGTGTTGGCTAAGGACGGAAGTCGGGTCAATAACAGAATTGTGTCTCGCTAGTGGTTGGTAGAGTCAAGATTTCAATTCGTTCAGATTACTTTAGTCTTTGATAAACGCAGCACGAGTGGAATCACTGTGTTAAGTTAGTCTAACTAAGTTGATAATAAATCTGAGCAGGGGGCATATCAAACTCTTTTGCTGCCGGAGTGAGTTTCTGATAATGATGCCCCTTATACCCAACTTCAAAATATTTCGGGGTGATAACAAGTTATAGATATTGTTATGAGAATGAATTAATTCAAGTAAGAGTGAATTGTTTGTTTAATTATTATTTGAATCATCAAACTAAGCAACAAAGTCACCCCTATAACGCTTCCAGGTGGCCCCAGTTAGACACACCCCTCAGTCCAGGTCATTTGGATCAGTTAAGTTATCTTGAGCAACTAGAATCCAACTCAATTCGAGTTATTGACTCCCCAATGGTTATTCAACAAACACAACGACTTAAGATTAATATAGTTGAGAAATATTAGCCAGGTATACATAAAAGATTGATTAATATTTTTTTGATATTTTCTATGCCAATGCATAATACACAACCCTTATTCGCAAAAATTGACTTTGAACTGGAGAAATACAATTTATACTAAAAAATTAAAACATGCTTTTTTGACGTATTTATGCTACAGCCCACGATTACCATACATATACAGAATCTTCCATTCTCTCTGAAAATCATTAGTTACAGATAATTTTTTGTTAAACCAATAGAGCTTAAAAAGCCTTGGTAAAGAGCAGGTATCGTCAAACTCTGGCCCTCAAGAGGGCCATAAAACAATTCTTTGGCGGCCACAAGCGGAGCCCTCGAACTAGGTACAAATTTTCAATGACTACACTAATTTAAGGTAAATTGACTGTAATTGCTTTTAATTTTTTTAATAGTAATGTTTTACTTTCGTTTGCTGACTTTTTATCATTAAACATGGTCGATAAAACAACTAATGGAACACATGAAAAAACAAGGTATTTTCATTGAAAAGCAGGGGGCCATAGAAATTAAGAGCCAGTTAAAAGGGCCATGAATAATACAGTTTGGGAACCATTAGTCCAGAGCCTGGTCCTTGAAGTGCTCTGTATGAAGCCCAAAGGCTTCGTGAAAGAAACAGAGGCTTTGTGAGCTATCCGTTTACTTATTAAAATACTAAATATTTTTTTAAATACTAAGCAGCGCATGCACCAGAATCCTTAAAAGAAGTAATTTTAGTTTGAATGCAGCAACAAGGTGGTAATTCAAATATGACATTATTTATAAGTTCCAATGGTAATTTTAATTTTTAAAATTTAGTGTGGGGATTCGTAAATGATAGTTTACCTCTTCACAGGCTAAGTTTGAGAACACTTGTTCGACACTTGTTCTTAACTAAGACGTAGAAGAAACATGAAAAAGCAAACAATAAAAACAATCTTTCAAACATAGTATGCATAAAATCATGAATATTTGAACAATAAAAATGATGAAGAAATGAATATATATAATCACAAACGCACAGCTAGCACAGAACTGCGTAGAAATCCAGAAACCACGAGTCAATTCTTGGTAATTGGTCATTTCATTTAGATTAGGGGTGTGCAACCTTTAATACAGGAGGGCCAGATATAAGTAACGGAGTGAAACCGTGGGCCGCACCCTTATCCAACATAGATTTTCTAGTAGTTGCAGGCACAAAAATTTTAGTTATTAATCTTGTGACATGCGTAGTTTGAACAAGTTAGCTGTTAAGGCATTGTAACGTCATAGGCATAGATCAAGGGCAGGCAAACCATGGCTCGCCGAAGTTTTTATGCGGCTTTTCTTACTAATTATATATTATCAAAATTTTAATAAGAGAAACTGTAGCGTAACAGTTTTTTTTAATCCATTAAGCAGTTGAAAGTGTTTTCATCAATGATTAGAACAAAATAGGTTTTAGTATGAAAATAGTAGTGTGGAATTTAATTTAAATCAGTCAAACGACAAATTTTACAACCCAATGATCAAATGTTTGTCGCTGCGTTGGTGGTTTCAACTACTTATGATATGGCCTCGCTATATATACTTTGAAATATTATTATTATATGTATCGGTGTATAGTTCTTTTCAGTTCACTGTATTCTAATATTATTAATTTGAAAAATTATGCGGCCTTCACATATTTCTGACTTGCTGCATGCGGAACTTACACTAAAAATTTTTGCCCGCCCCTGGCATAGATAATGAATTGGAATCAGGTATAGGCTTTGTACGTTCCAGAATAAACTAAAATAAAAACTCGTTTGTCAGACCGCAAAGTTTGCACTCCTCCGCGGGCCGCACAATTTTTTCATGTGGGCCGCATTTGACCAGTTGGCCGCAGGTTGCACGCCCCTTAGTTATATATATCAAGTCATGTCGTGCTTAAGATAAATGTTTACCTGAGTTGAGTAAAAGATTCGAGCCTCCCCAAAATTGCAATGAGATGACAATAAAAACGACAAAATATGATTATTCACACCCTTCTTATCTAAATAAACAGTCTTATCAGCACTTATATCTTATCTGGAATCCTTACTTTAGATAGGAGATTCAAAAGATCTTAAAAGACTAGGTAAGCATAATAGGTGACACAAATCACATTCTTACAGAACAGGGAAAATGTAGTATCAGTGAAATATTTGAAGAAAAATTGGAACTTGTTAAAATAGGACAAGCGTTCAATTTTTTATTCAAATTTTTAAGAATTACTTTTTAAACACATTATTATTAAACTATTACAAATTTTGAAAACTTGAACCTGCTTTTTCAACCATCCGCTTATAGGTAAATCAGTGATTCCCAACCAAGGGCCTATGACCCCCAAAAGGATAAAGGGCAGTTGGGAGGGGCCACAATGCTAGGTGCAAAACTGGTTTGATGTTTAATTTACAAGAAAACGCCCTGTTCTTCCTATTTTTATTGCTTGACAAGGTTATTTCACAGTTTTTGTTTTCACTTTGTTGCGCATGAATTGTTTGAACATAATGGGATTTGGAATCTACCAATCAAAATAACACTATAAATACCACTGGAATGATAAACAAGGGCAATGGGAGCTAAGAGCCTCCGGGTGTGTGTGGGGGGGGGAGGCTACAAGTCATAAAAGGTTGAGAACCACTGAAGTAAGCTGTACCTATTTTCATACAAAATAGTGGTGGTCACGACAAAAACAAGAACACGTTGGGAAGCCTGGATTCAAAATTCAAATAGACTTTATATGGGGAGTTTAACACTTTGAGCAAGGCTTTGGACAAGCTTATTTTATATACATCAGGAGTGTGCAACATTTTTGTCAGTGAGCCATATAACTCCTGACATCTTGCTGGGCCACACAAAAGAAATACACAACAGATTCCAAAATTTTCACCTAGCCTTTCAGCAATAAAGGCCCCAAGCGAAACAGCGAAAGATTTTACTCTGCCACAAGAGCCATGTGAGCACCTTTTTAAACCTAAACTCTTAGATTAGGATTTTATCTTTGATGGAAAAAAATCTGAGTGTTGTCAAGGGCCAAACTAAATGACTTAGCGGGTCGAGTTGTGGCCCTGCACACCTCTGATACATAAACGAAAATATCGGTTGGAGACCGAAGACTTATCGATCGAAACTGCGGTTTCAATTCATGACTCTATAGTGACACCACGTGTCCCATCATTAATTAATTAATAACTCGCTAATTATACAACATAATTCATCCAAAATCAATAGGCTTCTGGTCCGAGATATGATGAATGCACATGCAAAATTTGGAGCAGATTCAACCACGCCTTCATGAGATATCGCGTGCATCTAACAGACAGACAAACAGAAAAATACCCATCAACATACTTACCGATCAAGATCGATAAGTAAAAACTACCATTTATGGAAGAACTATATTCACCAACATATGCTTGTTTAGATTAGAGGCCATGCTCATAGTGAAAATCTGAAAACACCTTTGAAAGTTACTTCAGACCCAAATGAAACAGGATTTGAACTCAGCTATGCGTTTTTGTAAAAAAAATGATGGTGGTGGCAAAAAAAAGATTGAAAATCACTAAAAAGTTCTTAAAATCAAATTTTAACTACTTATATATATAGATATATATTTTGAACAACTGCATACATATAATCCACATATCAGTACACCTTCACACATAAATAGGGCTGGACATTCAGAAGAAATTTTTGAATCGGCGCCATCTTGTTTTTTTTTGCCGTGAAAGGTCGAAGTAAATTTTTTTTATCGAAGCTATATTTTAAAAATGCAAATCTACCTAAATCAAATGACTCTTTTCTTCCAAGTGAGTTAATTATGAAACATCTTTCTTATTGTGTGTGATGAATTCCATGCTTTCAGTAATTAATGTGTCTGGAGAACCATTACAATGAAAAAATCGTACACAATTACACATTACTTCCGAGTATTCGAGACTCGATTTAAAAAAAATATATTCGATTTGATTCTGGAATAATCAGGTATTCAAATATGCCCAGTTCGACACACAAACACACAGTGAGACAGACTCTTTAAAAAAATACGAATCTTTCACGAACGCAACATAGAATTTTTCTTCATTGATTCAGTGCAAATGGTGTAGGCTTCAATATGCTGGAGTTTGTTATATCTCCTGAATACAAGAACATATTGTCAATATAACGGCAAGTACACATTTAAATGGATGTCCCCTTGACACTAGAGAAATTTTTTCTATACTTTACAATTGCAAAATTATTGATACATACTTATTTTGAGAGTGTATGTGCACCAAGATGGCGCACATCATGAACATAGTATGTGTATCAGGTTAGGGTTCAGTTTGTGCGCCATCTTGGTGCATATACTTCGAAAGCGCCAGAATTTCTTCCCGGTTGCGAAACATTCCCTTACCTGATTCAAATGTGTTCTCAATCTCTCAAACAGCCACAGCTGGTCTTCAGTTTTCATCGCGAAAATTGTCGGTAGAATTTTGTTTGGAGTCGGTACACGAATGAATGCTGACATGTAGACGAAAACAAACGTCGCAACGAGGAATTGGCAATCAAATCGATCCATCATTCCTCCATGCCCTGGAATCACGTCTCCGAAGTCCTGAGAGTAAAAGCGAATGAAGTTTGGTAAAACAGTTTATACCTTGCCAAGCCAACATAGCCCTTGAACTATGGACCTCTCCCCGACCTTTGACCTCCGAAAAATTCTTCCCATACTTTACCATTGCAAAATTTTCGGGGCTATTTTAAAAGTGCTTTTTTTGAGTTGGCGCCTGTAAAATGGGGTATGTGTTTCAAACCATCATTATGATTTATCGCATACAACAATCTGTTTTTTGAAAGGACCAGTAAAAAATTTTATCCTAGTCTATCACAGCTATTTCTACACTCATTTTCATTACTGAAATTAAATTAAAACACCTAGGAAGACAGAGCGATCATTAAATTATCTGATTTATATTTAAGTTTCCGAAACACAACTGAAAACGTCACTTTTTGTATCATGCTGATTGGCTAATGTCACGAAGTAAACAAGGAAGTCGATGCTCGAGGAAAGGTCCATAGAGTCATAGAAAAACTTATTCGTGATTATGCAAAATCTCATCTGACCACCAGTTCATGTCGGGTATGGTGATAATAAGACAGTTATTTGTTTTGTATCAGTGGTTATCAATCGGTGGGGCGTGTTCTAGGAGGGACTATTTTTTGAGGGGGTGTGGAGCTGATTAAAAATAAAAATATTTGTTAGATTTGACCCTTGCCGCATTATTTTGGATACCGTATTTGCTCGTTTTGTAGCCCGGGCCCATATTTTATTCAACCAACTCACTAACCGGGCCCTTATTCAAACCCGCCCTTATTCAAGCACGGGCGCTTGTTATTTTCGATCGTTACAATAATTAATATATTGTTATTTCCAGTTCTCAAGTATGATTTAAACGAGAACAACGAAAATTTTGACTTTTTCTACGCACCGCAGGTACAAATCCGTAAAAGAAGAAAAGTTTTGCGACGCCCTATCAATATTGAAACGACGCACTTGGTTGTCGCGCTGCTTAGTTTGAGAACCACGGTGTTACGTAGTTTAATGCTATCTGTTATGTACTTGGACGCCTGAGACGTGAGTGTTATCCACTGGCGCTTGAAATTCAACAGCGTTGTGACAAAAGCGCTTCTTATTTCCTATTGTTCTCTACCACTGAAAAATCAGCTTTTACATCGGGCGGGTATTCAAGCACTGGCCCTTATTTATTTTTATGTTCTGTTCACACGGGCAGCTATTCAAAAGGGCCCTTGATAAAGATCGGGCGATAAACCGAGCAAATACTGTATTTACATTTCCTTATTGTTTAGAGATTGCAGCTGTTGTGACAAATTTTGGCTGTTTTTTAAACTTTTCAATTATTTCATTATTTAAGTTCCATAAAACATACTTTCGTCTTACTATCTGTTATTTGTAGCTTATTGATAGATAGTTATTTTTGAGGTGGCGCTGAGACTTGACAAATTCTAAAACGATGACGCAACTCAAAAAGTTTAAGGGCCACTGTTTTTTATGATTAAACTTGATAGGTGGAGTACCAAAAATTTATATCCATAAAACTATGGTTGTATTTTCAGTAGGTACAAGTGGGCCGGATAAAACATTTTACTTGGTCGGATCCGGCCCGCGTTCTAAACAGACTGGGTTCCTTTTTTTTGGGTCACCTTGTAAAATAAATATCTGAAATACGTCCATACCTTAACTTTGAAAGCTCTCTTGAAGCCACTGGCAAAGAATCCTCCAAACGGTGCAATGATGGAACTGAACATTCCAATAGCAAGGCAATGTAGCTGGAATGGTATTGCAGTAAATGAGGTCATCTGCAGCCCAACCTGTAAAATCAGTGAGGCATAAACGATCTGAATATTCCTTGTATATTGATTTGTAACTAGGATAACGCGGGTCTGGTATAGTTTAGTACAAGTACTTCCAGTGGGCGTGGCATAACGAATTTTGCATATGTTATTCGTAACCCCCACCTGACTATGCCATCCAAAAATTACGTCACCACGACGTCACCATCACGTCATAGGGCTTGCCAAAGTATAATTACGATTGCCCGAAATGGCATCTGCGTTGCCGATAACGAACTCGCTAAAGCCGGCGATCTCTCTCCTATCGTGATCGTTGTGACCAGAAAACGAGAGAAATAGCTTGCTCGATTTCGGGTGATCGTCTGCGCTTTGGACAACCATCCGCATACTTTGGTGGGCCCTATTACGCCACTGTGAAGAAATTTTCGTAGTCAGGTGAGGGTTAGGATTGACATATGCAAAAATTGTTGAGTCAAGCCAACTAGAAGTGCATGTGGTACTGAACTATACCAGACCCAATAATGCTGCCAAACTACTTCAACACAAAATAGCTATAATACAGAACATACACTTTTTAGCAAGACTTGAATAAACAGTGGGATTTCATATTCAGTTGGTAGACTCATTCACCGAATATAATCAATGGACCATGACTAGACAGAATATTCTCTTGATTTACAGATTAGAGTGATGCTGCCAAATCACACCATAGTAATATTTCAACACAAATAATTTACCAATTTTCAACAAAATTATAAAATAGTGAGAGTTTATATTTAGTTGTCAGATTCATTCATCATAAAAATCAATGAACCATGACAGCCAGATTATCTTTGTAATTCACATATTAAGATGATGCTGCCAAAAATACTAGATGATACAAACTCATACCAGTTTTAGGAAGACTCAAAAAAAACAGTGGTATTTCATATTCAGTTAGTAGAAAAGTCGAACACAGAAATTCAATCAAGCGTATCTAGTCAGAATATTTACATTTATCCACAGAATATGATGTTGCTGCTTTTCTATTTAACCCCAAAAAGATTAGCTATAATACAGAACATACCAGTTTAAGGAAGACTTGTACGAACAGTGGGATTCCATATTCAGCTGGTAGAAAAGTTGACGGCAACTCGCAATCCGTGTGGACCTGGAAATTTGCTCTGATTTCTGTCGGACAAACCAGGAATTTATACTGGCTCAGGTACCCTGCAAACTGATGAGAAAATGTTGATAAAATTTTTATTTTTTTTTGTATAAGTATTTTGTTTTGGACCCCGCGTCCACATATCTAAGCATCACTCTCTTGTTATGGTACGTTTCTAACGCATACTTGCCAAGATTGAGTTAATTGTTTTATTTTCAGTGTTGATTAGGCGCTCAAGAAGTGTGTGCACCAAGATTGCGCACAACCTGATAACCCAACCTGGTACACATACTATATTCAGTTTGTGCGCCATTTTGGTGCAACAACACATTCATCAAACATACACAAAGCACGAGGTGCTCCCGAAGTATGTGCACCAAGATGGCGCACAACCTGAATGTATGTGTACCAAGTTAGGGTTATCAGGTTGTGCATCAAACTGGAGTGCCGAACACAATGCAAAGGAAGATAAGCCAAGAGAGCAGTCAGAGAATGTCTGATTCATATAACTGAGAAAGTTGCTTGACTGAGTGATATATCACTATGCTTCGTTTGGTACAGCTTAGACCAGCATTTCTCAAACAGGGCCCCAAAGCCCACTAAGGGGGCCACAGACCATAGAAGGCGCAAAACTGATTTTACCTCCCGTTCTTCCTAGTTTTATTGTGTGACAAGATTATTTCACAGGGTATTTTCATTTTGTTGAGCGTAGATTGTTTGAACATAATAGGATTTGGAATCTACCAATCATAATAACACTATAAATACCACTGGAATGATAAACAGGAGACATGAGGAGTGCTAAAAAGCTACTGAAAAAAGCCACGAGCCATAAAAGGTTGGAAACCACAGGCTCAGACACTATAGTAGTTCCTTCACTAACAGAAATCTTAAGCACGTCTCAGCTCTCAATTACAGAGAATTACTTTATTGAAAAATCAATATTTTCCATAAATTGAAATCTCTGATTTGTTGGCGGCAAAGGCACAACATAAAACATCACTGTCTTACATAATTGTGAAAGCAAGATTCTCAACCTTTTTTTTCATAGCCCAGAAAGAACGGAGAGCTTTCTTGTGAAGTGGAAAGCAAAATTAGTATTGCACCTGGCATTGTGGCCCCTCCAGTTTCTTGGTGGCCCCCTTGAAGAGCCCTTGGTCCCAATTGGAAACCGCTGTCACAAAGCTCATACACCATGGTATACACATACCACTATACAACTCAAATTACCTAGTATTACTCTATTGATTAATCAATATTTTCCATGAATTTGAACCCCTGATTTGTTTCAGATTATAACTGGTAAGCCGATCTATTTGGAGATTAGTGCCATTGGACTTTGAACATAGTAAAGGTTAGGTATTCAAATGAAATTACTCCGACCATTAAATGGACAAATATGTTCGGTATTTGGAACAGAATTGATCGGTTAAACCGTTGTTGGTGTCTAATGCAGCATAATCTATTGGATGTTGCACCGAGCATCGATTTCCTTGTTATTTTCCGTAACAATGACCAATCAGCAATAAGTCAACGATAGACCAATCGATGCTTTTTTGAAATATATCAGTGCTCTTGGCACTTCAGTAGTTGCACATAACCGTCTCCAAATTCTTGTTCGTTCCTGAGTAAGTGCTTTTAGCCTTACTCTGAGCAATTATTTTTGAAAATACTGTTTAAAAGCAAACTTTTCCCCAGACCCCAATCCAGGGCTGCCATACCGTTCTTATTTCTAAGTTTGTCTTTATTTTGAAGTTCTTTGTCTTAGAAAATATTTTTGGTAATATTTCTAAGAAACGTTCTTATTTTGACACGTGTTCTTATTTCATGGGTAGAGGTTCTTATAACAGGCACCTAGATTGGTCAATTGGAATGATTGATTAGCTAGAAATACTAATTTATAACCTCATTGATTGCAACGTGCATTCAGTACATCATAACAGCAAATTAATTGACACAATTACAAAACAATAGCCTACTGGCCGGAAGTTCGCATAACTTAAATCAAAATACAACTTGAAAGTGAATTAAAGTGTTAAGAATAGAAGAACTGCTGGAGCAAATCCTTTCTAATGCGAGGATGATTAGAAACGGGTCGCACTGGCATGGAAACATTTTTGTTTATTACATTTAGTTCTTTGTTATCTTATTATGTTTCCCTGATGTCCTTATTTTTGGATTCATATCAGTGGCAGCCCTGCCCCAATCATATCAAAATATAATATACTCACAATCCATCCCAGCAACACAGTGAATATCCCGCCTCCAATGAATCCCTCCCATGTCCCTCCCAAGTCTTCTTAGGAGAAAGCTGAAAACAATTTCAAATTTTTACAGCTGAAATACTTTGTGTATTAAATTAAGTAAAAGTACGCCAATGTGCTTCATGCCACTAATGGTGAATATAGGATTTATGAAAGTGTATTGATTGATGTAAAAAACTTAAAAGAAGAATGATTGAAGTAAAACAAACCTGGTTAAGATATATAGAGAACCAACTTCAATTATACTGGCGGGCCATGTAAGTGTGACGTGAAAAGCTACATTTTGTGCACAATATTTACAGTGTTTCCAAACCAAAAATGGAAAACAATAAGCCTCGTGCCAAAACTAATTTAATCACAATCTCAACAAATTCCTCAAGCTATTTTTTTAGCTAAAACATCAAAATTTGGTTTTAGTTTAGTTGTGACAGCATTAGGCAGGCCAGATTGAATAACCCAACGGGCCGGATTTGACCTGCGGGCCGTAATTTGCCCACCGCTGATGTAAACTGTATTTTATGGGATGACATAGAACAGTTTTTTTTTACTTCCGGGTGAGTAGGTGCAATGTTGGTGGTCTTTAGATCAAAAAAGATAAGAAAGTCTGCTCCATAAATGCTTACCTTAATCAAGGGTGTCCTTCCAAAGAAAAATCCAGTAATGTACGCCATGCTATCGTTACAAATCACCATAGAAACGGGAACCAAAAGCCACACCATCCCGTCCAGTAGGTTGGTCATGATGAGATGAGACTGGCTGACAATAATCAACAGAGTGACATGAGTCCAGCCAAACTGTAAAATGAAAAATGATGATATTATTGTGTATGTGGGCGGCTCATGCGGGTGGCCACATCTTGCCAAGCGCTGGGAATATGCTTACATCAAAGCGTGATTATCCCACGCAGGTTCAAATCCTATTAAGCAGTGGTTCCCTAATTGCCCCTTGGGCAGCAAAAACTTACAAAACTTACCATGAAAAACTGCAGTCTGTATCGTTTCTTCACCAAACTCAGAACAAAGAGCATAAAACCAATGAGATATAAAGTGAACGAGATCAAACGATGGTATTTGAGAAGAATGGAGACAAATTTCTGAAAAATAAAAAAACAACACATATCATAAATATATTGTTCAGTGTGACAATCCTGGGGTATTTGATTTTTGAAGACAATTTGAAGCTACCCAATATGTGAACTGACAATCGAAATTAGTGATATAATAATATTTGGTGTTTATTAAATGATTTTCAATTCATTATAGCCAACACTTCTCAACCAGGAAACATTGAATCATGGAAACATTTTTAAGCAGGCCACAAACCTATTAAATATTGCTAGAGTTAGTGACAAATTAGTTAAACTTTGTTTGTAGTAGCAATGAATAATGATGCCCTTTTTGCTGGGGATAGTGATAAACACTTCAATTTTATTTATTATTGTACATTAGTAGGTTAATGAGCCATGGAATTTTTTGTGCACCATATGTAGGTCACGGATGAAAAGAAGTTGGAAATCACTGTTGAAGCCTAATCGAAAAATAAATATAGATATGACAAAACCAGGGCGAATACTCCAGTATGAATACAAAAGACTGTGACAAAATTTTCAACTATGAGTCACAATATTTCTAAAACCACTACTATTATGTGTTCATAATTGAAAACTTATATGTGAGATGACACATGATATGACTCAGTGAAATGCGTAGAGGAAGCAAAATCTATATTGTGTTTCGTTAATCAAGAATTGATTCAACAAAATTCTTCCTATATTTCACCATTTAGAAAGTATTTTTGCATTTATTTATGAAAGCTGGTGTTCACAAACTGGCTTACATGTTTCATAAACATCAGTTTGATTCAAAATATTCAATCCCCATTATTTAAAAGTACTGATTGCTTTGAAGTAATTCAATAGTCTTGTTGCACACTGACACACACACATACATTGTGTCTATAAAGTCCCTTTACAATTTAAATTTTGTTATGAAGTAAGTTCTCAATATACCTCAACCAGGTTTGTTGCCAATGTTTCAAATTTATCAGAGATTGCTTATAAAAAGCCTTGTTGAAAGCAAAAACAGCAAACAAAGGGTACTCCCTTAGTATGTGAACCAAGATGACGGACGACACCGGAACGTAGTATGTGTACCAGGTTAGGGTTAGGCCATAATTTCAGGTACAAATACTACGAGAGGCACTTGGCTAGTCCCCGAACTCGTAATAGAACTAAAGGAAAATTGAATTAAAATTATGGCCTAACTCTAACCTGGCACACAACATATGTTTAGGTGTCCGCCATCTTGGTTCACATACTACGGGAGCACCAAAAAAAGAAAGTGATAATTCAACTTACGTAATCCATCAGATTTGAGAACATTTCAGCTCGAGTTTCTCCATAGAAGAAGTAATTCGAACAGACGAGAAAATACCAACTCAGAGTTCGAAACCATGGAAGATCGTAGGAACGGTAAAACTGGTGGCCGATCGTGATAATCTCGTGGAAGCATTTAACTTGTATAGCGATGATCTGAGAGGAAATTGAGTAGTTTAATGCAGGGAACGTAGCTAGGAACCTTTAAAGGGGGGGGGGGGTTCTAACATTTCTAATTGCCAAGTTAGACCATAACAGCTAGCACTTAAGGTGCTAAAATGCGTTACAAGTTGCGAAAAATTACTATGTATGATACAAAAAATGTTTTTTTTTACATTTCAAAAACAGGTTTTACAGCAGTTTTTTTTTATAAGCAGTAGAGATTCAATGAAAGGGAGGGCATGCATAAAGTCAAATACTCCTCACCAATGTTCCCTCAAATTTTTTGTAGTATGTGTGCGCAGAAATTTTGGTGTGTGCACACTTTTTTGGAAATGACTAATATTTGTGCAAAAATCAATGAAGAAATTTTGGCATTCTAACCGGGTAATGAGTGGGCCAACAACAAACTTTCTCAACCTGCCAACCGAGAACATTGTTACATTACATCGAAATTACGTCTGTGTGTAGTAAATCTACGCGTGTGCGCAGCCTCTGAAAGCTGTGTGCGCGCGCACACCCTAAAGGGAACACTGCTCCTCACTAATTACGCATCATATCGGTTTCCAGAGTATAAGTCGCTAGCTGTAAAAATAGGGCGCATTTGAAATGATTTAAATCTGTCAAAACACATTTTCTGGAGTTCTTTTCATTTTGTCATAGACTGAACTATATTATCATCACTCGTATTTTATTTGTCTTCTTCTTAGCAAGAACTAGATTATTGCATCATAAGTGGTTTAGGGAGGATGAGGAGCTTTAATAGCCACTGACATTACATTAGAACAGGGGGTGGGCAACATACGGCCCACGGGCCGGCCCGCGACGAGATTTTAACTGGCCCGCTGACTGTACATTATGATATTACATTATTACACTTTTAGTACATTATGATAAATTCATTATGTGTTTTTTGGTCTGTATTTTTTGTGAAGTTTAAACTTTACTTTAAATGTTATTTATACATTTCTTTCTTGCATTAGCGAATAAATATAAATACTATTCATGTTATAATCCGGCCCACCGAAGACTTCATTTTCCCACATCCGGCCCGCCGACTAGAGGAGTTGCCAACCCCTGCATTAGATGTTGCGACTCTGAGTAGGTTTAGGTTTGATTGAAACGATGCCAAATGGCTCTTTAAATGCTAATGGTTGCCGACCTGTGCACTGCCATGAAACAAGTCAAGCCACTACTGTCAGGGAACAGAATTCCAGATAACATTATGAAATAGCAGTCCTACAGCTACAAAAAAGCGCAAATACTACAAAAATTTTACTCACAATGAGCATAAAAGCGAAAGGTCCCCCCCAGACCAGCAATAAAAATCCAAGTAACATAAAAATTGTGAAAAATCCTCGAATCCACCAATTCTTCCATTTTGGAGGCAAATCCTGAAATAAAATGATGAATAATAAAATGAATCAGCTTTTCATAAATGGAGAGGAAATATTCCCATGCTGGGCGCAAAACAGATTTTACTTTTCCTTTTCCAAGAAAACTCCCCTTTCTTCCCAGTTTCATTGCATTGCATTGGGTTATTTCACAGAGTTTTTTCACTTTGTTGAGAATGAATCGTTTGAACATGATGGGATTTGGAAAAATAAATACCACCGTAATGATAAACAGGAGAGTCATGAGTGCTGAAAGCCTTGAAAAAGGAGCCACAAGATATAAAAGTTTAAGGACTACTAATCTAAACTATGAATAACCAGACCAAAAAGATATCTCAGAAAGCAATGAGCTTAATCAAGTATAAAAAAATAATAAAAATAGCAACTGATATATCAATTGCAACTTTCCATTCAGATCCTGCTACACTGCTTGGTTTTCTGTATAAAAATGTGGGATCTTTTCAAGTTACTCCCCCCCCCTTTTTTTTCATTAGTGAGTGTGAGTATTCGTATACAAGTGGGAGGTAACCGGAAAAGGTTAAAAATTGGATATAAAAGTGAATGATTACCTTCAAAGCCTCTTTTAGGATCTCAGGAGTGTCATCCCTCTGAACAGCAGGAGGATGAGGCTCTGGGGCTGACAACTCATCACTTGGAGAATCCCCTGCAGAATCTCTTTCCTGGGAAAAAATTTGTTTAGTAAAAGCAATTATGACAATATAAAATGATGGTCTTCTGCAGCGGGTAAACCTTATTTGTTCTTCGGTGGATAGGATTTAACATATTTCATATTTATCTCAGGGGAGAGAGAAACCCATAAGACGGCTTAATCATACCAAGAAGTATTTTGCTCACAGATGAATGGGCTTGATGGCAAAGAAAGCTGTAACTGCCTAGTACTGTAGAAGTTACATGATCAACTATTAAGCCCGGCGGCCAATGACGCGGGGTCCACCAATCCTCCCACACATAAATGGAACCTGGGAACCCACGCAGAATAATCAGAAGTGCGATGGCGAGCGCATACCTAACTCTTAGAATAGTTAGCCCTCATAGGTGAAGCTGTTCGAAGTCCATCACTGGTTTCATCCTCTCCCCACTCAGCAATGCATGCATTTTTTTATCATTCAGTCATTCTCAATGATTATGTTTGTACAATGTGTATCTTCGACATGTGACAGTGTGATGAAATAAACTACTGACTGAAATAGTAGGATGAACCACAACCGTAAATCATTAGTTATTGTTCAGGTGTTGGCCGTACCGAAAATAATCTGAAGTTACCTGGGTTCGCAGGGGTCTCACTTCTAGTGGGCGTAGCATGACAATTTTTTCACATATCAATCCTAACCCCCACCTGACTACACCATCCAAAAATTACGTCAACACGACGTCACAGTGACGTAATAGAGGCCTTCAAACTATACGAACTGCCATCCAAGACGCGCAAACGAGCACCCAAAATCGTACAGTTCTTTCTCTCTTTTTCTCGTCGCAACGATTCCGAGAGGAGAGATATCAATAATGTCAGTCAGTTCTTTATCGCCGGCCCCAATTCCATTTCGGGCGATTGTCTGTATATTTGGCAAGCTCTATGACGTGATTGTGATGTCGTAGTGACGTAATTTTTGGATGACGTAGTCAGATGGGGTTCGGATTGACATATCAAAAAATTGTTATGCTGCGCCCACTAGAAGTACGTTAGGTACGAAACTACACGAGACCCGGTTGGCAGTATAAAAAAACTGAAAAAAAAAATCATAAATTCACCTCTCTAGCTTTGTCAATTGAATGCTTTTTGCGTTGTCTTGTTTCCATATTCAATTCCTATCGTTTAAACTTTGAATCTATTGCTGCAATAAAACCAGCAAAATTCTTTGAAAAAGGACAAAACTTCAGCGACACGGAAAATGACAATTTGTTTACTTTTCAATTGATTGACAGTTAATTACTCAACCATGGCGAAGGGCGTATTTTTGACGTCATCAAGTGGCGCATAGTTAAGTTTATTTTCAATAACAAATCAGAAAACAAACATTAAAAATACGATTATATCAGCAACAATAAAAAATTTAAAAAAATAAACTGAAAAAAATGAGACTATGTAGAATTTGTGCGAGAGGGCTGGGCTCTTTGCCGTCGCAAGCAACCGCTAGTCGGTTACCGTTACCGTATCCTTTACCAACAATGGATCTTTCCCCGACCTTTGACCCTCGGAAAATTCTCCCTATACTTTACCATTGCAAATTTGTCAAGGCTATTTTAAGAGTGCTTTTGCGAGTTGGCGTCTGTAAAATGGGTTATGTGTTTCAAACCATCATTATGATTCATCGCATACAACAATGTGTTTTTTAAAAGTACCGGTAAAGAATTTCAGGCTAGTCTATCACAGCCTAATTTTTATTACTGCAATTAAATTAAAACTCCTAGAAAGACAGAGTGATCATTGAATTATCTGATTTTTATTTAAGTTCCCAAAACACAACTGAAAACTAACGAATAGAGTTCAAAAACGCAAAAACGAGGTAATGTTTACAATCACGCTTGAAAATCTGTCTGAGTGAGAAAAGTGTCTGAGCGAATGCGAAAAGGGGGCATTGTTACGTCACTTTTTGCATCTTGCTGATTGGCCAATGTCACGAAGTAAACAAGGAATTCCATGCTCGGGGAAAGGTTCATTCCAAGCATCTGAAGCAAAATAACTGCCTAATTCAACTAAACTAATCTCATACTCGATATGGGCTGGTAACCTGACCAGAGCGCGTGGTTCACCATCTGATTAGGACCACTCATCCACTTTCCTCACCCTTCGGATAAATGCGAAAATCTTATCATATGCTGCATAGCGGGGGCTAGCCTAATTAATATTGTTATTGCTGATTCTTGATTGTAAATTATTAAAAAAATTATTTTAAAATATCCCATAATGAACATGTTTATACAATTGATACAAACACTTCCGTGATTTTGTAAGATTCATTTGACGTCACTACTTCACGCACTATTGCTCTTCTGATTGACACGAAGACACGCTCTGCTTCTCATTTGCCACGAATGCACGATTTATAAAGAGCGAATCTTGTAGATTGAGCGTCGTTTTTTGTCTGACATTGGAGGGTTTTTGAACAATTTATAGGATGGAAAAGTTGTATTCTATACCGTATTCTGTACTTCAATTACCTAATTTAAAACTGAAGAAGCCATCGTGGATTTCTCAACCATCAGCGATGACCGTTTTTGCCGCTGTGATGGTGTCTTATTTTTTGGTTACGGCAGGTGAGATTTCTGGATTTTCTGTTTTTGAATTTCGTTCTAGGAGCATATTGTTAAATGCGGATGTTTTTCCGTTATACCAGGAAAACATTGTGTTGCGTTAAACTGTAAATACATTAAGGGCGGCCCCAATGTCACTTTTAGACTTCACGATGTACAGATTTAAAGGAGACTAGCAATGCAAGCCATATTATAGAATTATACATATTTTGGTATTATGGTTAGTATGTCAAATTTCCTGTACATTTTCTCATCTACAAACCATGTTCTTTCCATTTATTTCACACCATGTATTGTGTATTATTTAGAAATGGGTTTTATCCGATAAATAAAATTATATTGTTTAAAAGAACAAAAGAAAAAGTACACCCACCTTACGTGCTGTTTTTGTTTTAGGAATTATTTATGATGTGATTGTTGAGCCACCTAGTGTTGGACAAACTGTCGATGAAAGAGGGAACGCAAAACCTGTTGCCTTCCTGGCTTATAGGTCTGTAATCTTATATTTTGAATATTCTATTTTAATCTACACCATGAAATTTTTATAAAGTGTTTTTACACCTAGAGGCTGAACTGAATTGCTGGACTCTTCTCCGTTGCAGGGTGGTTCACGTAACCGCTGGTCGGTTACAGCTTACTCCACCATGAAGTGCATCTGAAACCAATAACTGGCTAACTAATCCCATACCCGATATGTACTGGTTACCTGACAAGAAGCTGTGATCCACCATAACGGCTTTTCTTTTCTCCAGGATAAAAATGTGAATCCTATCTCATATACAGAGTCCACAATATGTCTAACTATATTACCAGTTCACATTGCCACCCAATTTGTTACACCCTGGGTATCAGTATTTTGTTTTTTCACCATACAGAAACAATGTGATGTGGTAAGCATGAGATATGTAAGCTACTTGAGATATATAACTTGGCCGTAATTTTGACCCGTTATACCCAAGATCAGTACTACTCAATACGGATCTTCTAGGGCTTTTATCATAGTCTCATTTCTGTCCAAATTCCTATATTTTTGTAAATTCAAAATCTAAAATGCTCTGACTATCAGCGTAGGTCTTGTGGTAATCTGGCTTTCACTCATGTGGATAGGATAGGATTTACATATTTATCCCGGGGAGAGGAAAGTCGATAAGAGGGCTTATCCATATGACGAACCACGGCCTCTCGTCCGGTTACCATTCCAAGTCGGGTATGGGATTAGTTTTTTACTGTATTGTTTGTTTTTTTCGGAAGCATGGACTTGGTGGTGGATAGATAACTATCACTCACACACAAATAGAATCAATAGTCATGGGACATTTACTGTACATTTATTAAACAGTAATGCTCATAATAACTGTAAACAGAAAGAAACGAATGTTAATATATGCATGTAATGGGGATAATTATATATGCCCCCCCAAGTCTTTGAGAAGAATGAATCACAAGACTGAGTAGTCTTTGAATGTTCAAGCCATTACTGCGTTGACTGACTTCGTGTTCTTGGTAGAGCATCAGTGGATTCTCCGAGTCCAGGCGAGTTATGGGGCATAAGAGCCCGTAGTGCACGAGGCAATTTTTGTGTAGCTGGAGCAACGTCTTTGTGTCCTGTGGGAGGTAGAGGTCTTGGCTTTGCAATATCTTGCTGGTTCATGACTGGTTGTGAGAGTTTGGTGACTTTAATCTCAGTCTGAGGAGGCGGAGTCACAGGTAGCTGGGGCACGAATTGTGCCTGATTGTACGTATTGTTGTGTGTTGACTTTGTGAGTGGTTCACGGTCGATGACTGGTTGGTATTTACGTAAGAATTTACGATTTCTGAGAGTGACACGACCGGAACCATCTACTCGAACCACATATTGATCGAATTGTCGCACCTCAATGACAACTCCAGTTTTGTCCCATTTTAGAGGGTGTGGGCCAGTCTGATTTTGGATGCGAACCAGTTGCCAATAGATAATGGTGGCAGAGATCGGTTGTGTTCGTAGGCGCTCTGCAGCTCTCATATGCCGATGGCGTAAGGCATATTCCCTGGCAATCACGTGTCTCGCGCCATGTATTATGTGGTTTGTATTTGCCAGGATGGATGGGGATGAAATCACGTATGGCACGGCCAAAAATGCACATAGCAGGAGATAAGCGAGTATCCCTGTCGGGAGTATTGCGGTACTGAAGTATCGCTCGTTGAAAATGATCGGTGTCGAGTGAGCCCTCTTCGTCAGTGTTATTGGTGATGAGACGTTTGATAGTTTTGACGGCAATTTCAGCTCGTGTGTTGCTGTGGGGGAACGCCACTGACGATAAGCGATGTTTAACACCCCAATTCTTGAGGAAAGTGGTTGTCTCCTTCGCAGTAAACTCTGGACCACCGTCAGAAGTGAGTTCGTCGCTAATCCCAAAAGTAACAAATGTTCGTCTTAAAGTCGTGATCAGTCCAGCGGCTCCTCCTTTCGCTTGTTCAACAATTGGCCAGTTACTGTATCTATCTACTGCCACCAAATAATGTTTACCTCTGTAGCTAAAAAAATCCGCTGCCAGGCATTCAAAGGGATACATTGGTTGTAGAGGAGGAGTTGGTGGGGCACTAGGTTGTGAGGGGGCCATTCTGTTACAAGCTGAGCAGTTGTTGCGTAGCTTGATGATGGCATTAGTCATACCGGGCCAGAAAAAGGAGGATTCTGCACGACAGCACATTGTTGATACTCCTTGGTGTGCAGAGTGTAAAGTTTTGAGTACCCTATCTCTTAAGGAGGGTGGAATGATAACGCGATCCTTGTAGAGACAGACACCGTCAAACTCTGAGAGATTGTCACGGTATTGATGAAAGGGGCGAATTTCAGTGTGGATATCTGCTGGTCGGTCTGGAAGCCGTCTTGGATTTTGTCGATAAGAAAACGCATTGATGGGTCGCTGGCTGTGGCAAGCCGTATGTCATTCCATGTCACATTCTTGATGATTTCTTTTGTGGAATCGGTTGAATAAGAGCAGATTTCCGCTGTTTCGGGGTCGAATGTGCGAATGGCGGTGAAAATGGCGCCTGAGTCAACGTCGTCAGGAAGCTCCAACATGTTTGGTTCGCCAACTGGGTGGCGTGATAATGAGTCTGCAGCGACATTGCGAATGCCAGGCAAATGTACGACTTTGAATCTGTAGCGCAGACATTTCTCCTTGAGATTGCGAAGGCGAGGATTGGCAATGTCGTTTAAGCAGCGATCGCCCAAAACCTTTACTAAGGGCCTGTGATCAACAGCAATCATGAGATCTGAACAGCCTAGTACAAAGTGTCGTGCTTTGTCAAGTGCGTCCACGACAGCTAGTGCTTCCCCCTCAATTGGCCAGTAGCGAGATTCAGCCCCGGAGGTGAAACGACTGCCAACCAGTGTAATCTTCCAGCCAGTTTTACAACAGAAGGGTTTAGCTGAAGTGCATTCGCAATGTTTCTGCATTAGCCAGAAACCAACACCGTCCTTGCACCAGTCAGTTACAAGGCATGTGGGTCTTGACTTGTTAAATATCTCGACGCCCTTCTTGATCTCATCTACAATGACAGCCTTCGATTGCTCAAAAAGGTCGTCAAGTTGTTTAGTCCATACAAATGATGTTTTAGATTTGAGGAGAGATCGGAATGGTAGCATGTGTTTTGTGGACGCAAAAGCGTATGCAACTTGGTTGACAAGTCCAAACCACTTCGAATGTCTGTAATGTTTTTGGGGTTGGAAAATCTGCTATCGCCTGCAGTGTTCTTGAGCAAGGACGAACTGCTGTTGGTGTGATCTCGAAGCCAGCGAAAGCTACGATTGGTGATGCAAATTGGAATTTGGTGGGGTTTTGAATAATCCCATTTCGACCACATTTGTCTAGCCATTCAATTGTTTGAAAGAATGCTTCTTCCGTGTCATTGGACCATATGAGAGTGTCATCGACACATTTAGTCTTGTTGTGTATATCAGACACTATTTCGTCAAAACGACGGCTATACCCATCACCTGATGCGACGTATCCCTGTGGTGCTACGCAATAGCGATATCGGCCCCAGGGGGTAATAAAGGTGGTGTAGTGACGGTCACTTGGGTGTAGGGCACTGCATGGTATCCATTCCATGCGTCGAAAACTGTCTTTAAAGTGTTTGGTGGGACCGCTCTAGCTTGATGAAATGGTGACTGTGTATGATGTGTTTCACGTGTAGAGTGTTTATTCAGTGCTTGGAGGTCGACCGTGCGGCGTGGTTTACCAGACCTTTTCGCGCAGATGACCATTCTGTGGCACCATGTTACAGGTTCACCAATTGGTACAGGTTCTATGACACCAAGTCTGCAATCCTGGTCCAGGCCTGACTTTACCTCATCTTGCCAGTGTATGGGGATGGGAATTGGTGTGTGGTGGGCGACCGGTCTTGCTTCTGGATCCACCATCAAAAGGGAGGACCACTCATCCTTGGCAATGGTTGATGTTGACAAACGTTGAATGAGCTTGATGCGTAATAAGTGAGGATCCATTTTTCCAACTTTTCTCGGTTTTCGTGGGTGAGTGGAAAAGGTGCCGAGGTTGGGATTGGCGGAGGTGGTTCTCGTATAGGCATCCGCAAGGAGCGACCATGTCCGATCCGGTGTGTAGGAGACGAAGTTGTTTTAGACCTGTAGCTCTCTTTATGTTCGCCAATTGTTGGGAAGGATCGAGATATGAGGCCGAGTGCTTTACAAGCCTGTTGAGATAGGTAGAGCCTATTCGTTGAGTCAGTGAAGTATACCAATTGGCGTGTTTCAATTATCGACGCGCTTGAAGGAGCTGATATTCTCAGCGAAAGTGCGCCTATGATCTGAATACGACGGCAGTCAGCTGCACTCATCTGCAATTTTACTGGGTTCAGATGCTGTGGGCCAAGACCCAGCTTTTCCAGTAGATTGATGCCAGCGAGGCATGACTGGCAGCCAGTGTCAGCTATGGCAGGGAATGTGACAGAACGTGTTGGGTTTGAAATTGAGGGCTTGAGCCAATGAGACGAGTATCAGATGGGTCATGGAGGATTGAGACATTAACACTTGGCTGTGGGTCAGAGGCTCTTCTTTCCCAGATATCACACAGTTCGTTAAATGTGATGGTCAAGTGTGACGCTGCTGGCCTCTGGACTTTGGGAAGAGCTGTCATCTACTGAGCAAAGTGTTGCAAGGATAGAGGCCGCGTCTTCAGTGTTTCCAGAATCATTGTGAGCTTTTCGTTTTGGGGAAGGAAAGACCTTACGATCCCGTTGTCGCAATTTCCATTCAGGTTGGCGGCATAAACTTCCAAAGTGATTTTTGATCCCGCATCTTGAGCATGTTTGGCCATATGCTGGACAAGATTTAATTCGATCTTTGTTGCTTCCATGCTTAGATTTCCCACAGTATTCGCAGGATTCGCGTTTGTCACGAGCCCTATCCCGTTGCTTTCGCTGGTAAGACTGTTTATAGCAGCAGAGGTGTCATGTTCGGTGAGGCGATGTGCTGAGCGTTTGCCGCTTTCTTTTGCCTCGATGAATTTGATGGATTCCTCTAAAGTTATTTCCTCGTCGGCCTGTGAGAGGAGATCAAGACGGATGTCGTCATCATAGAGGCCCCAGACAAGTGCGTCACGAATCATGGCGTTACTGTAGTCTACATGTGTTTGGGGGTCACATTGGCATTTAACATGAAAGCGGCAAGTGCTAGCTTGCCCACGCAGTCGTGCCACGAATGCTCGAATAGGCTCGTCTCGATCTTGTTGGAGCTTGTGTAGTTGAAGTCGAGCTACCAAGATGTTCTCCTTTCTGATCGCTAGAGACATTATGTTTTTTAGGATTGTGTTTTCATCTGATGTCGATAAATCATAGTATGTTCGTGTGAGGTCTCGTCGCAAATCTTCAGTACAGCAGTCTAAAAGTTGATAAGTAATATCAGGATCAGTTATTCTTGAAGCACATTTATATTCCTTCCATCTTTGTAAGAAATAAGTCCACTCCTCTGCAGTGCCTCTCGGTGCGATGGTTGGACGTTTTGGTTTTTCTACTCTTACAGTCTGGTTGATAGGAGTAGAGTGTAGGGCTTCCTTGTGGAGCTGAAGTAAGGCTACTGCTGCGTTATAGTCTGCATCATCAGGTGTAGAGTAATCACAACCGGTCCATGGGCATTGTACAGAAGGCATCGTTTGATTATGAGCATAGATAACTATCACTCACACACAAATAGAATCAATAGTCATGGGACATTTACTGTACATTTATTAAACAGTAATGCTCATAATAACTGTAAACAGAAAGAAACGAATGTTAATATATGCATGTAATGGGGATAATTATATAGTGGAGGAAGCCGTAACCGACCAGCGGTTACGTGAACCACCCAACGACGGCGAGGAGTCCAGCAATCCTCTCGCACATAACCATCCCTGCATGGGATTCGAACCTGCGAACCCACGCAGAGTAATTAGAGGTGCGGTGGCGAGCGTATTCCTAACGCTTAGCCCGTTGAGCCACACCGCCGCCTGTGTATCATGCTTACTCAATTCTACATACCGTATTTGCTCGTTTTGTAGCCCGGGCCCATATTTTTTTAACCAAACTCACTAACTGGGCCCTTATTCAAGCAAGGGCGCTTGTTATTTTTAAAATAAAATTATACACACAAATTACGATATCTTTGAAAACAAATAGTTGACGACATTAATCCCTTTCCCATGTCAATTTATTCACGTCAAACGCACGTTGAAACGACGCACTTGGGCGTCGCAATGCCCAGTTTGAGAACCACGGTGTTACGTAATCAATGCTATCTGTTATGTAATCGGACGCCTAAGGCGTGAGTGTTATCTACCAGCGCTTAAAATTCAACAGCGTTGTGACAAAAGCCCTGTTTATTTCCTATTGTTTTCTACCACTGAAAAATCAGCTTTTACATCGGGCGGGTATTCAAGCACCGGCCCTTATTTATTTTTATGTTCTGTTCACACGGGCAGCTATTCAAAGGGACCTTAATCAAGATCGGGCGTTGAAACGAGCATATACGGTAGTCCCAGTAGCTCATGAAATTTTAGTGGTGGCCTGTAACTTTGCTTACAGATAGTCTTCTTTCACTCTGGGCATTTCAGTGCCTGTAACTCTGCTTATTTTATTCTATTTAATTTTGACAGGGTGAACGGTCAATACATTATGGAAGGTCTTGCGTCCTCGTTTCTTTTCTCACTAGGTGGTGTAGGATACATTATCTTGGATAAATCAAACGCTCCGAACATTCCAAAACTCAATCGAACCCTTCTACTTGTGATTGGCATGATTGCTGTCATCCTCAGCTTCTTTATGTCAAGAGTTTTCATGAGAATGAAGCTACCGTGAGTTGAATTTGTCTTCTTTTTACGACAATTATTCACCGTTTCACCCCGAAATAGGCACTAGGCTACATAAGCAGCCACTGTTTCTAATGATATGTAAAGAGCTTCTTTATGCCGAGGGTCTTCAATTTTTGGTTCAAATTTCTGTGGCCTGGGAAAACTACAAAAAAAGCAAAAAATTCTTTCCGCAAAAATAGGCACATTCACGTAATAATAAGAAAGCCACCTTGTAGCAAAAACAGTATCGTCATTCATTACTGCTCACGTCAATCCAACTTAATTTGCCAATAACTCTAGCAATTTTGAATAGGTTTGTGGCTCATCTGAAAATATTACAGTGCCCAGAAGTGAGCGATGGTTCACTGGTTTTGAGAGCAGTGCACTGGGCCATTACTCTTTTACTTATATGTGTGTCAAAATTGCTCATTTCTCTGGCGAGCGACTGTTATTGCATTATTAAGTACAAACTCGCTTACGGGCTTTTTCAAATATATTAAGGGTGGTTCGTGTAACCGTTCTATCACCAAGTTCATGCTTTCGAAAACAAATAACTGGCTAACTAATCCTATACCCGACCTGGACTGGTAACTGGATGAGACGTTGTGGCTGACATATGATTAGGTCATCTTATCAGCTTTCCTCTCCCCCTTGGATAAATATGTAAATTCCTCTCCTAATATCAAACTCTCATTCATTTTAATTCCTTCTTTTCCAGGGGATATCTCCAGTCCTGAGAAGTTCAAGTTATTTCATTGAAGCAAAATCAGCACTTCCTCATCAAAACATGAAGCTAAAATTTATTAACGAACTTAAAAAACTAATTATATGTAAATGAAATTCATTCAACACGAGTTGTTTGAGTTGTTTTAATAACGGATAATATTTTTTGAGAAAATAAATTCTTTCATTTTTGCCATCTCTGTAATAAAACTTGAAGCTCTATTATATATATGAAGCCTGGCATTTAAAAAAACTTATTCCCATCTCAGAAGTACAAAATTATTGATTTTGCGATGTCCTATTCTGGTTATGAATTTTTGAAATCACGATAAATAAAAGGTTTTCTATGACTGTTATTTGCTTGTGTATTATTTAGGGAAAATTGCGTACTCCCGTAGTATGTGTACCATGTCAGGTTTAGTCCATCATTTTATTCCGATTTTCCTTATTTTAGTTCTATTAAGAGTTCGGAGACCGTCTGTGTTAACCAAGTGAATATACCCCCTGCCCATAGGTTTAAGTCCCTTTACACAGCTTGATGTAAAGTTGGCAGACAAAATTAGTTACCTCCATATTGGTACACGCACTTCTGTCGAGCACTGAAAAATTGTGGTCTTGCTGTGTTATCCATATGAATTGACAAATCAGACGTTTTCTGTGATAAGTTGTTTCAAACAAGCCTTTACTGATACAGGAAGTGGGACAGGGTGTAAGGAGATTGCTAGAGCTTATCTGGGTTTGCAGATCACCATGTTGAAAATTTAACCAGAATATGGCTTAGTTGAATGATATTGGCCAAAGCCTGTGGAGAAGGGGTGATGTTCCAGAACTGGCTCGGCAGTGTTGCGCATCATGATAAGTGCTAGGAATAAGGACTCCTCGCTGTCGTGGGGTGGTTCGTTACGACTTTCTCCATCAAGTCGAACATTGTTCTCTATTTTGTCAGTGATACTGATTTTTCCAAATGAAAATATTTGAAATTCGATTTGTTTCAGACATCCTCGACTCTCACCATGATATTTCAAGAATTCATAGTACCACATTTGTGAATCACAACCTAAGTGTCATTAGTTCAAATTTAAGCGCACCAGACCATGAGACTATAAAAATATTAGAAAGAAGCATATTTGTAAGCACAATGGTCCATGAATGTACGTTGCTATCCCGCGTGTACCAAATTCTATCTCTCCATAAAACTATGTAGATTCACACTCAGTAATTCTGTTATTACTGTAAATATATTTATTGCTATGATAAAGTAAGATACATTTGAAAAAATAGTGCAATTTAAAAACATATTACTCACTGGTCGTACACAAATTTATTATTCTAACAATTAGTTATTATGTTAACAATTATGTACTTGGTACATAAACTCATAAATCCCAAGGCGTTGCTGTATCAAGGTTAAGATCTCAAATTTGAGTCTTGCAGGCAAAACCTCAAATTCAATAGTTCTTCCAAATTCTTGTTTCATGGAGATTTAATGACCTAATAAAGATTCTTTAATAAATGGAAAGTCAGGTCTGTTGAGATTCCAAATACCAACAAAAGTAGTTGTAAAGTACCGGACATATTGGAATATGTCAGCTGTCAGGGACAAAAATATAATGATTACTTAGTAGCAAAATATATATATAAATCATGATCTTGCAATTAATTAAATAAAACCTATGATGTAAATGAATAAAAAGCACAAAAAAAATAAGTTTCAATTTGACATAGCTACTAGTAAGTGCAACAGTACACCAAATTATACTACTTGACATCAGCAAAGTTTTTTATATTATAAGATAATTTGCTAAAAGCAAGGCCATGCACCAGTGGCGTGTCTGCTGCCCGTGGAGAAAATTTACGATAAAAACGCTAGAAATTTTCTTTACCCCTGGTTGATGTAAATTTCAGCTCCAAATTCACAAGAAATTTAATTTTTGATAATGAATATCCACAACTCAGCATGATAATTTTGCTAACAGAAGAAATACAATCATTGCAACTTCTTAGCTTCCGAAACTAATTTCTTTATGCCAACCATCCATTGCATAACACTTGAAGAGTGATCGCACATTAACGCAACATGGATATCCCAGGCTTCAGAGTACTTTTTCACCATCAAATATTTCGTCAGCAAATCCATTTTTTCTCTAACAATATTCGGTAATTTGTTATCATTTAACTGTTTTTCGAAGATGTCGATTTTTTTCAAAATTGTTTGTCCAACTTGTTTCGAAAAAATATTCTCTTTTTCGCATTTTTCGACAATATTTTTAAGCTCTGTGACTACATCAATATCCATGGTCTCTAAATCTACATTTTCCATCTCTTCAGACTTTTTCAACTCTTCATTAGTTGTTTCTGCACCCTCAATTGGACTAAAAATGGCAGGAGTGGGATTTGTTGCTGAATTTTCTGAAGATATAGGATTGAACATTGTAGGCATCGTATTCGATTCTTCATTTTGGTTCGCAATTTTAGTTTTATTCGTTAATTCAGAAGATTTTTGAAGTTTTGTGTCATCTGGAGGAGGTCCAGAAATTTGAGGCGGGGGTAGAGAGCCATCTAATTGTGTTAGAGTTTTATTTTCTGTTTTTTGAATTTCCGAGGAATTTTTAGCAGATGGCATCTTCAAATCTGGTAACCCTACTCTCTTAGTGAGTAGATTTCTTCTACCAGTTGTCTGAGAATGAGTCTCATATGAGAGAGAGGGGGGATCGTTCCAACCAGGCCCGCCAGGATTCATTGTCTATTGTTTATTTGTAGATCTGAATGAAGGAAAATTTGATTATTAAAGTAGCTGTCCAATTCTAAGTTGTTTTATATATGTTTTTGGTACCCTCATGTTATCTTTGATGATAAGATAGGATTTTCATATCTAAGCTGATAAGATGGCTTATTATCGCCTCTCGTTCAGTTCCAAACCATGACAAATATGGGAATAGTTAACCCGTTATTCGCCCCTGGTGCGTGAATTTGATGGGCACAAGGGGTTTCATGTAGTTTTGTAACTTTTTGTACTTTTAGTGGGCGTATATTTGGCAAGCTCTATGACATAATTGTGATGTCGTAGTCATGTAATTTTTGAATGGCATAGTCAGGTAGGGGTTAGGATTGATATGAAAAAATTGTCATGCTATGCCCACTAGAAGTACCTTAGCTACGAAACCACACGAGACCTGGCACAAGTAATACCGATTACAGATTTGCTAAGCAACTTTCGGGTCTGGTATAGTTTAGTACCACATAATATACTTCTAGTGAGCGTAGCATCGAAATTTTTCGACATGACAATCCTAATCCCCACCTGACTACGTCATCCAAAAATTATTTCACTACGACATCACAATCACGTCATAGAGCTTGTCAAATATATGCAAAATCGCCCGGAATGGCATCGCTGCATCGGCGCCGACGACAAAGAAATGACTCACGTCAGCGATCTCTCATGCTGGGATCGTCGGGACAAGAAAACGAGAGACATAGCTGTTCGATTTCGGATGCGCAGATGAATGCGTCTTGGATGACAGTCCGCAAATTTTGAAGAGCTATATTACGTCACTGTGACATCGCAGTGTTGTAATTTTTGGATGGAGTAGTCAGGTGGGGGTTAAGATTCACATGTGAAAAAACTGTTATGCTTCGCCCACTAGAAGTATGTGTGGTACTAAACTATACTAGACCCCAACATTCAAGCACACATATAAAGCGTTCGTTGGCACTGAAGATTAAATATAATCGTCTACAAAACAAATTACCTTTGGAAACCAGAACAAGATTTAATCCTGCAACTCGATTTTAAAATAAATTGACAAATCGTTAAAGTCATCTAATCTTAGTAAAAATCTCATTATTTTCAAAAATTTCTCAACCATTTATTGTCAAAACAATGCCAAATTAGTTCAATAAGTCATTTAAAATTTTGTAAATACTCCACATTTTAGTAAGATATAGCCTACCGGTACGATTTCACATTTTGAATGAAACTAATCCATCATTTCCAAATGCAAACTACCCAATCCTAACAAGACAAGACTCAGGCTGTCAAGACACACTTTTATAGACATAGACTACGAAAACAGATTTAAGTAATTTTTCTATTAACTTACCTTACGAGTGCCGGCAACTTTAAACCCACCAAAATGAAGAAAACCAGATATAGGACAGCCTCTCTCAGTCCAAAACACTACACAAGAAAGCGACTTCAATCTAGTATTAGGGAAATCCCCCAACTTTTAACACGTCACAGGCGGTGACGTCCAAAACAAGGCAGCTGGCGGTGGTGACGCGAGTCACAAATACAGTAAAGAGGATAGGATAGGAAGACACCAAGAGACACCAAGTAGCAGTTTTATCGCACCATCGAAGTTCATACAAATGTAAAAATTTATTATTTGAATATTCCCACATGCGGTCGTAACGGCAAACTATCGCTGATTTTATTGTGATTGTTTACTGATGTGATGCTTGCTTCAGAGAATCAGAGTGTCTTGTCCCGAAAGAAATTTTCAACCTTTAAGTCTTACCCGCGCCCTCCCGATTATTGTCGTTTTTTTCTTACTTTGTTATGTACTTGTATGTAATGAAATATTCAAAAATAAATTATTTTCTATTTATCTGATCCAGTAACCCAGCGGTAGACAACTTGATGATATCGGTTGGGCAAAACATGATTTAAAACCCGGCCATTCATTCACCCAGATGGGCCCATCGCTCAATTAGCCATTACTTCCTACTTTTAAGTCATCCAAAAGCAGCGTTCACAAAATGTTTGATGGCAACTTCAGCATAAAAAACCGTTTTGACAACTGCACCATCCCTAACAAGTTACCGTATTCTTTCCGATAAATTGATGCGGGGGAAGTCGTAACCGACCAGAAACCTGTGGGTATTGGATAGGATTTACATATTTATCCCGGGGGAGAGGAAAGCCGATAAGACGGCATATCCATATGGCGAACCACGGCCTCTCGTCCGGTTACCATTCCAAGTCGGGTATGGGATTAGTTATATTGTTTGTTTTCGGAAGCATGGACTTGGTGGTGGAGGAATCCGTAACCGACCAGCGGTTCCGGTCGGTTACGTGAATCACCCAACGACGGCGAGGAGTCCAGCAATCCTCTCGCACATAACCATCCCTGCACGGGATTCGAACCCATGCAGAGTAATTAGAGGTGCGGTGGCGAGCGTATTGGTGCGGTGGCGAGCGTATTCCGAACGCTTAGCCTGTTGAGCCACACCGCCGCGCCTAAATGACCGCGCCTATTGACGAGAGAGGGGTTTGTAAAAGTGCGATGACCTACCTATGTTAAAACCTATAGGCAGGGGTATATTCACTTGGCTAACACAGCCAGTCCCCAAACTCGTAATAGAACTAAAATATAGAAAATTGGAATAAAATTATGTCCTAACCGTAACGTGGTACACACACTACAGGAGTACTCTTTTTTTGTACCATGCCAGATTTCAAAACAGTATATCTCACTTTTCAATCAATAAAACTATTTTAACAGCCATATTACAATGTGCTTGAAACTTATATTTTTACAATAAATCGCTATGCATTGAGGAAAATGAACAAAGTTATGAACAGTGCCAAAAAAAAAAAAAATCAACAATTCAACTGTACCAGTTCAAAAAGTCCACAAAACAATTCCAGCTTTCTGAGAAATCCAAGTTTAAAAAAAATATGTTTTCGGGGGTTGTAAAATGTCCAAAAACAACTACTTGAAGGCTAGGCATACATGGGTAGCAGTCCTGAGGTTTTTTCATATTTGTGACGCATACATGTCGCACAACTGTGTCCAACACTGACATAGTGTTTGTACACATATTCACAGTATTTACACTATGTAAGTTTACTTTCTATGTAGGTAGTTTAAAAGGCACAAACACATTTTGGGGCAAATAAGCAAACATTAAGTCCACCGGAAAGTCAAGCTGCATATGTTGGGAGCTCCTGCATGGATATATATTTTGATCGATTTCATATATTATTAACCATTCGTCAGATGTTACGGTTCCTATCAGAGTACACAATACAGTAAAATATTAATTTGAAATATTTACATATTGTAGGTGAAACATGAGAAAAATCATGCATATACAGAGCAATCGAAACCAAATGAAAAAATGGTGATTAGTGAACATCATGAAAATAGAGTTACAATACAGAATAGGATGAAAAATATCCAAAACTAGGATGTCCAGAGTTTACTTTTAACAAAACAGAATTTAAACTCATGTGTAAAATGCCATATGGTATGACTATACAGTTATAAACAGTGGTGGGATTCAAATTATTTGTCAGCCGGTTCCATTAAAAAAGTCATATTTTTCAGTCGATTCTGTTACATGTTTTTTAGTAATTCTAACCGGTTCGCTGATTTCATAAAATCCTGTGAGACAGTTCTATAGAACCGGTGCGAACCGGTTGAATCCCACTACTGCATATAAGCCACCAGCAAAGTAAATTGTGTTATGACCAAACATGGGATGTCAACATATCCAAAACTAGAGGATGTTGCAATCAGAGTTTAAATGAAACTTATAACTTGAACTTATCGAAAAATATGTGCAAAACGCTAATGGTATAATAATAGATATCGTGAATACTGTTTTAGCCACTAAAAATGGATGAGATGATCTGACATGCAATGTCCACATATCCAAGGCTAGCGATGTTCAGAATTTAGTGACCTCAAACATATCAAACCATTCATGTTATCAATATATGATAGATAAGGGTTTCTCAAACTTTTGTGAAAAACCTATGTGATAGATCATAGATTTTCAAAAAATGCATCCAAAATACAACCATTCCTTAACAGTCAACCCATACCATTAAATAAGTTCAAAAATATCAGCTCATTCAAAAACGCTTTCACATGTCAGGTATATGCTATATCGTCCAGATATTTGGCAGCACAAACAAAAACTCAAACCTACACAGAAAAAATGTTTACTTTGTATTTTATTGATTCCAAAATGTGTTCTGACAGGCAGAGAGTTCCATTTTGTTTGCGTACTTAACAAATACTAACAATAAATTGCCTTAATGATGATATTCTGTTTGAATTAATGTTTACTTTGTAAATATCACAAATTTGAGCTACACAAAAAAATTGTTCACCTCATGTAAATTAGTTACGATGTGCGTAACAAAAATACAAGTTTACTTTATGAATATCATGAAGCGAGCTACACGGAAGAATTAAATGTTCACTTTCATATAAATTAAACTACGATGAAACCTGTTTAAATTGACAAAAATACAAGTTTGCTAAGTGAATATACGCGACAGGAGCTACACAGAAAAATTCAATGTTCATTTTATATAAATTATTTTATGATGAGAGTCCCTAAATTAACAAAAATACATCTTTATTCATAAATGAAAAATTAGTCGCTAAGCTTAAATGAATTACTTAGAACAAAAAACTGAAACTTTCTAGATATGCAAAACAAAATTAACCACCGAAAAAAAACTTTTTTTGAAAAAAATTCCTCAAGGAATTATGAGTTTATACATTTATTACACTAGATACTGGAAAGAGTGACTTAAAGGCAGAATGAATAAAATTGGGGAACACTGAAAAATATTCGTGAAAAAAACTTCAGTCATTTTTTAAATTGTTTGAATTTTAAATTTTTTTAAATTCTAAAATCCTCCCTTAGAGGGGAATCCCCAATTTTATTCACCCTACCTATTCAACAAAAACTGTAATTATAATTTTCTGAAAGCGTCATTCAATAATTTCTTCTGTTGTATGATATGGGAGGCCTTGCTGCCGGATGCTGGCGCCGATTCTGGCTGACGGCCGGTGTAGCTGAATGATAAATGGAGTAGTTAGTAATATTTTTGTATTATGATTTCCCATTTTGCATAAAAGATGCCACGTTTTTCATCATGGTGTCACATTTTTATAGTGATGCCACATTTTTTATCACAATGCCACATTTTTGAATCATAAAGACAATTTTTTACCTCGTGGAACACTTCTTGTGCATCATGAAATATTTTGAAATGGGAAAATGGCACATTTTTTTGAGCAAACTGCGCCCATAGCTCACATTTTTTTAGGCAAACTGTGCCCATAGCTCAGGTCAGGGCTGCCATATGCTAGATACGCCACTAATCACACCCCCTAATATCAGGAGATACCTATACAACTTACTGTACTCTTCTTGACCACTTGCTGGTGTCCCTATTCTAGGTGTACAGTAGTCATAGTAACATTTTTGCATTAGGATTCCCCATTTTGCATAGGATGATGCCATGTTTGTTTTAACATGATGCCACATTTTTATAGTATAATGACACATTTTGTGCCTCGTGCCAAAATTTTTGTGAATTATGGAATATTTTCAAACAAACACAGTTTCTTACATCCAGTAGGCATATTGATGTCGGTGTTCACAACATGATGCCACTTTTTGCATTATTGTGACACATTTTACCGATCATAATGCCACGATGCGAGGAGCTTTAAATTTTGTCCTATCAGACCCCCTAATAAAGGAGATACCTATACAACTTACTGTACTCTCCTTGACCACTTGCTGGTCGTCCTTATCCTAGGTTTACAGTAGTCATAGAAACCCATGTTCTTGTGTTCTTCTTGCGTCCAGTCGATTCGTGCATTCGGATATTTTTCGAGTTCTTTCTCAACAAGATCGAATGGGAAAGGAGCGATTTGTTCGATCCTGGTGATGGCCACGTCATTTGTGAGTCCTCGTTCATCGCGCTCCTGTAATAAAAAATGGAATTTATTAGGAACTCCAGTAGTATGTGTACCAGGTTAGGGTTAGGCCATAATTTATTTGGATTTTCCTTATTTTAGTTCTAATACGAGTTCGGAGATTGTCTGTGTTAGCCAGGTGAATATACCCCTGCCCATAGGTTTCAGTCCCTTTACACAACTTGATGTAAAGTAGGCAAACAAATAGTTACCTCCATATTGGTACACATACTTCAGGAGCGCTATTTTTTCTTCATACGATAGGATATGATTAGCATAGCAAGAGTAAAGATAACTATCCTAAGTGATTCAAGAGTGTTGCTGCACACTAACACAAATATATTTCTGTAACGTTTCGTCTGACAACGGTCAGACTTCCTCAGACAAACATTTATCAGGTTGACAAACAAATATATCTTGCTACAGCATCCTTGCAATATATGCATACGGATCACCGACACAAAAGCATAGAAAAAGGGTTGAGAGTTAGTCCAGCAGAAACCAAATAATTATACCTTTTTGATGTCATAATACACCTTTCCAGTGCAGAAGATCAATCTTCTAGTTTCCTCCGGGTTTTCACTGGCCGGACCACTTTCTGGGATAATCCTCAGAAACTTTTCCCCGGACAACATTTCATCGAACGAAGATCTGGCTTCTGGATGACGAAGGAGACTTTTTGGAGAAAATATGATAAGCTAAAAAAGGAATTTTTGAACAAAGTTGCCTAACATTCATTAGCAGAGGAAGACAACGCACAAAAATGGTTCTAGGAAAATTCATCGTAGAAAATTTCATAGCATAGAATCGTTGTATGAAAAATCGCCTTAAAATTTAAAATTTTCGTTATTTAGGAATTTAAGAGCATACCCTTAACCCTATGAACCTAACTGTTTTATTTACAAATACTTGTTTTACAGCAAAGTGCTTTTGCGATTTTTCCTAAGCAACGAAATTTCCTGTGACGAATTTTTCGGTCACGCACACAAATACACAGACAGTCTGATTAACTACCCAACAAGGGAAGAATCCCCCAACAATGAACTCATCAGGGGATGTCTACATCCGACTCGGCACACGAAGAAGAAGCATTTAATAAACAATCGACTTTATTTTTAGGAGAACACAGACAGTCTGATTAACTACGCAACAAGGGAAGAATCCCCCAACAATGAACTCATCAGGGTAACTGACAACAGATTGGAATGGAAGGCCATTATTGTCGATGTCTACATCGGACTCGGCACACGAAGAAGAAGCATTTAATAAACGAACGACTTTATTTTTAGGAGAACCAGAATCTTTACGTTTCGGCGTTTCCTGCCAAATTTTTTAACACCCTGGGTGTGGTGGGCACAGTAATCACCAAGCCACCTCGGCCACAATGCATTGTGTTGGTTAAAATGAAAGTTGAGATTATTTCGGTTACTCTAGTTGAAGAAAGATGATAAGGCTGAAGAGTTGAAAACAAAATACCGCAAAGCTCCCACCTGGAAAAAGCATAATAAAATTCCTGCATTTTTTAGAGGAAAAACACTGGGAGCATTCACTTACCGGTTTTCTGAATGGCAGTGCAACCTGTCTCTTCAATGCATGAAAATAGTTGGCTGGTGTTGAGATATTCATGATGATCCAGTTTGCATCTTGGAGTTGACGAACCTGGAAAGGTAAAGAAGTAGTTTTTATAGTGATTTGTGGTTATTTCACAGGAACCTACTAATCAAAATAAGATTCACATATTTATCTCGTGGGTGAGGAAAGCCGATAAGACAGCTTAACCATATGGCGAACCACGGTCTCTCGTCCGGTTATCATTCCATGTCGGGTATGGGATTAGTTATTTGTTTTAAAGTACTGCTGGGATGATAAACAAGGGGGTCATAAATGCTGAAAGCCTCCAAAAAGGAGCCACGAACCATAAAAAGATAAGAACCATCGTATCAGCTTATGATTAGCAAGACTATTTGGGAAGATTAGCGATTGATTCAATCGATCAGAAACCAGTAGCTTATGCAAAAATTAAATTGTTCAAAACAGCGTTGTTTATGGAGCCAAGTGAGGCAATAATTTTGCAACAAGAGAGAAATGATTTAATGATGCCGAAAATCGACTCGATATACTATGAGCTCAGGGAGCGTGTTTAAAATCATAATTGATCCAGCTCAAGGACCAGGGCTCCTCTCTTTACCGAATATACTCCTATATAAGCAGAGTTTGAAACTAAAAAAAAGTTGCCAAATTTAGATGACGGTTTATACAGTAAAATAACAACTTAAATCCAACAGCTACAACTCGAACCATGCTAATGAGTCAACCAAGTTCTCACGATAAGAGCGCACACACACATACACCAAGCAGCGCTTCATATGCTATGACAGCAATAACAGTCTGTAACTGGTTGCTATACAAATGATCAGCGTGTTCCAATTTGTAGGGTCAGTATTTATGCGAATTTCTACAAATTCACCGTTTTAGGGCCGTTTTTAGGGGGTCAGGTTATATTAGAATATATACGAAACCGCTCTCTTGTATTGGATCTCACACGAAACCTCTGTGCTTGGGTCAATCTTTATCAAAAAACTCAGTCAAGATCGGGCTACCCCAACACTGTATACACTAGAACAGTGTTCGGCAAAGTTTTTCTAAGTGAGGCCCAAATAGTAAAATAGAAGAGATTTCAATGTCCAACAATTTCGTTGGAAATTTTATAATTAATACACTTGTTAAGGGACATTTAATTTGTTTAGCTGAAATGAACGTAATGTATGATCGTTTGATAAATGAACAAAAACTATTTGGAGAAAAATGCATATGTAATGTTCGTTTTATAGAACTTTATTGTGTATCGCTGCCACAAATGAAGTTTATTGGGGGCCCACTAGAAAATGCTCGGCGGCTCGCAATCGGGTCGCAGCCCACAGTTTTCCGACCACTTCACTATAACAATTGTAAACTTGGTGGAACAAAATTTTTCATTCAAAGTGGATTGCTTGAAACATGCACAACTGTAAATGTCATGAATAACAAGACGAAAATGATGAAAAACATGGATTTAAAATTGGTGAAACAGTCAGTAGTTGCGAACATATTAATTTTACATAATTCTTGTTGCGGGCGGATGAAAATAAATTTTTTCTACTTGTAAGGGTGTTCTAGGTCAGGGCTACTCAACTTTTTTTACCGAAGGTCCGCAAACAAAACTTCAAAAATATTTGGGTCCGGACTTTCCAGAAATTATACTTCGGCATCATTGAACACGCAATTCCTCGACCAACTAATGATTATTAGCTAATCAAGATTGTTTGTTATGGCGTTTTAATTCTTTTCATATATATTTTTAAATCTATAAAAGTGATTTTATAAAAGGAAACTTCAAAAGTTGGGCTAATGATCCAAAATAAAGAAATATGCGCGGTCCAAATCGAATACCCGAAAGGTCCGGATTCGGACCGCGGTCCGCCAGTTGAGAAGCCATGTTCTAGGGGGTAAAAAATAAAATGAGAGGATTCGTAATAGTCATTGACTTCTTGCTTTTAATCTTATTCTAGGTAGAGTGGGAAACAAACTTCATAATATGAATTGAATTATTCATTTCTTGTTTCTTTTCTCGAACTTCAAAGAATCGATTAGGAAGTAGACCCACACAGCAATGGATTTAAAAATGGTAAAAATTCGAAAAAACTATTTTTTGTTCAACGAAACAATTTTCCATGCCATTTTAGGAACATTCAAATAGATAAATTCTAATGGGGTTAAAACCCAAATCTGACTGAAAAATAAGACTTTAAAAAAAAAAATTTTTGTCAAATACCAATTTTCTCATTCCATTTTACATACATTCAAATGGATAAACCAATATGAGTGGTATGAAATGAAAGTTCCTATGTACATTTATGAAATGATAAATTAACCAATCAGATCTTGATTTCATTTTAAAATTTTTATGAAAAAACATTCTGCATGATATGACTCCGTCCATAGACTAACCTCGTATTCTGATGCACTCATGTTCTATAAGATGTGAAAAAAGTCAGTCAAGCGAGACTGGTTAGAATATTGTGCTTTGATAAAGTATTGTAAAATGCTGCCGACTGCAGTTTTATGCTTAGTGCACATTTTTATAATATTTTTCAACTCAGGACTCATTGTCCTAATTCCCAAATTGGTTATAAAGATGTGCAAATTTGTCAGTCAAGCGTGACTGGTTAGAACAATCTAGCTTGATAAGCTATTGCCCAATGCTGCAGTACTACACTTAGTGCACATTGCTATATTTTTCAGGTTAGACCTGTTAGAATATTCCCATAGTAATAGCGAATAAACTTCAGTAATTTAAAACTCATCCCACACATAAAAAGTGAAAAGTTTTGGGTGCAAAGTTGTAAAGTTAAAAATAACAGTAGTATTAAATTAACTTTATTTTCCAACTAAAAATCTGATTTGGTTATCAGTACTCAATAACTTTTCAATTAACAAAAAATTAGCCAAGCATGGATAGTCAAAATAACCTCAGCTAAATAAAGTATTGCCAATGCTGCCATGAGTACCCCCAAAACAAAAAATAAAATTTTTTCAAACTTTAAACATTTTTAGTGAGGAGAGGGAATCACCTCAAAGTCATCAGTGGCTCCAAACACAGGGAAACTGTCTGGATCGTCATTCTGCATCTGTAAGAATCTTTCTGGTCTGGCAGATGAATGCTCAGGTCCCATGCCTTCGTATCTGAAATGGATAGAAGCATAAATTTATTGCTGTTAGCAAAAGCGTGTTCTGGTGATTAATGTTTTGACATAATCGGAATACTCAATTGATGAGCGTGACAACTCCTAACTGTCGCATAACCATTTTTCTATTGAAAAATATACATATATTATTACAAACTCTCGGTTTCGTGAAAAAACTTGCGGAACCCCTGGACTGTACTGGAAGAAACACTGAGGTTCCATGGAACCCCTGTTGAAAACCATTACCCTTCAAGTCAGAATCTACCAAAATCCTGGCCTGGGCCAATTTCTAACTGTTTTTCATTGAATTTTTTTTGCTTTTCCAAAAACTCCCAAAACTTGCAAAATTTAGGTCTTTTTGGTAGTTTAGTCAAAGTTAAGACGTTAACCCGAGACATTGGAATCTATGAAAAACGTCATAGTATGTCCGACTCGATTTTTCAAATTACTCAAAATCAGACCAGCCTTTATAACAGTGGTTTCCAACTTTTTATGACTCGTGGCCCCCTTCCTGAGGCCTTTAGCATTCATGGTCATCCTTGTTTATCAGTCCAGTGGCACTTATAATGTTATTTTGAAGTTGGATCCCGAATCCCATCATCTTCATGTTCACCTTGTGAAATAACCTTATCAAGTAAACTAAGAAGAACGGGGAGGTTTTCTCGTCAAGAGAAAAGTAAAATCATTTTGCACCAAGCATTGTGACCCTCTCCTACTGCTCTGTGGCCCCCACGTGGGTCACAAGCCCACATTTGGGAACAGCTGCTTTATAACATCACAACCTATCTTTGTCTAGAGCCTTAAGGTACATAGCAAAAGTCATAAACACAAAATCAATTAAAAAACCATGGCGCACTCACCCATGAGGTAATAGCAGAACAAGACCACTCATTCTCATCCATTTAGCTTGACCACAAGAGATAAATTGATCAATAATGCATTGGGCTGTGTTCATGAAATCACCAAACTGAGCTTCCCATAGTACAAGAGAGTTTGGGTTCGTCATTGAGTATCCGAGCTCAAACCCTGGAATATATTGGAAATACTTGAACGTTATTAATATACAGGGTGTTGTCCATAAAGTCCCTCTGCAATTTCAAGAACGTTATGAAGTCAGTTCTCTATATATCTTAAACAGGTTTGTTGTTTTTTAATCAGTAATCGTTCACGCATTTTCAAATTTAATTCGTCTGTGAGGGGCAGGGCCGAAGCAATATATATATTGCTCGTCAGGAAATCCAAGTATTTTATTTGATCGGGGAACCCAAGGGGGGAAAAGTTGAGATAGACTCGTGAAAATATCTACTTGAAAAGTAATTTGAAATAAGGGGGCTCCCGAAGTATGCGAACCAAGATGGCGGACATCAGAATGTAATATGTGTACTATGTTAAGGTTAGGCCATAATTTTAGGTATAAATACTACGGGAGGCTCTTGGCTAGTCTTCGAACTGATAATAGGACTAAAATAGGGAAAATTGGAAAAAAATTATCGCCTAACCCTAACCTGTTACCCATGTTACGTTCCGATGTCCGCCATATTGGTTCGCATACTTCGGGAGCACCGAAATAAGATCATAAATTGTCTAGGGCAGCGTTTCTCAACCAGTGGGCCATGCCCACAGCTGGGCCACCGCGACTGGGCCACGAAGTTATTGATAGATTTAGCTCAATTTTAATTGCAGTACCAATGAATGATGACGCTGTTTTTTGCTACTGAGTGATAAATTTTAGTCAAATCATCAAAGTACAAACATAGCTTTTGCTTTTTTTATAGTTTTTCCCTTGCACGAAAAAGTTTGTGAATTTTTGTGCAACGATAATGGGCTACAACAGAAAAAAGGTTGAGAACTATCGGTCTAGGCTGAGAGAAAACATCCGCTTCAAAACCGACAATTCAAACGCGAGGTTCAAAGTAGACTCAACTCTTAGAAAAGTTATTGGCAATCCCTAAAATGCCAAAAGTTACTTAAATTGTGTATATTTATTGTGGCATATTTCACATCAGTAAACACTCGTATGCATTGTTCGATACCCAAACAGATTGTTAAAACAGAATTTAACCCAGATTTCTATACAAGTACATGTGCTAGGGCGCTCCAGAAGTATGTGTACCAATATTGAGGTAACTAATTTTGTTCGCCTATTTTACATCAATATGTGTAAAGGGACTGAAACCTATGAGCAGGGGGTATATTCACTTGGCTAACACAGACAGTCCCGGAACTCGTAATAGAAGTAAAATAAAGAAAATCGGAATAAAATTATGGCCTAAACCCCTAACCGGATAATCTCACAAGATTAGCTTTTATAACCTGAAACTATCAACACGGAGTGATGTATTACAGTGCACAACCTCTTACCTAGAACTCCATATTCAGACAGTGATGAGTTACAGACAATGTATTGTGCTTGATTATCAGATACATGGTTAAGAGGAACGTAAGTCTTCTTATCAACTTTTTGATCATGAAGAACGTGATGACGATGACTGGAATAAATTGAAAATATTAATTCGAAAAAGAAACTGTTTCGAGAAAATGTGGAAAAACATTTTAAACACCGCTAACTTTTTATTAAATTTCTTTGGCGAATATAATCTAAAAGCGTCATTTGATTGTAATATTTAAAATATTAAAATAATAATTTTCTAGAAACTCCAACATTCACCCTTTTGTCCTGGTTGAGTTATACGAAGTTTAAGCCTTAAAATATTTATGCTTGCTAAAATAAATATTCGCTCAATGTAAAAATGCAGAACGAACACTGGTTGTTAGCGTTACTGACAGCCTGTTTTACTTACCATATACATTACCTGGCTAGAACAGAAAAATTTCTTCAGACACGACTTCATCAAATAATATTAATAAAGCCTACATTGATCAGTATTTACCAGAATAATTGAAAGATTTTTTGGGATAGGATTTAGAAGGAGAGAATAAAGATGCAAAGACAGCTTAATCATATGACGATAGGAAAAATAAAATTGTTGTATGTTTCGTACCTCGTCTAACCATGTGTATTGTAGGCCTATATAGATGCTTTGGGGCTCCCGAAGTATGCGAACCAAGATGGCGGACATCGGAATGTAATGTGTACTAGGTTAGGGTTAGGCCATAATTTTAGGTATAAATACTACGGGAGGCTTTTGGATAGTCTTCGAACTGATAATAGGACTAAAATAAGGAAAATTGGAAAGAAATTATCGCCTAACCCTAACCTGTTACGTTTCGATGTCCGCCATCTTGGTTCGCATACTTCGGGAGCACCGATGCTTTTTCCCAGAGTTAACAAAAGAAAAAAAAAATCAAAACATTATCGCAGCGAGGGCCCAGTCTGCTGTACGATCAGAGACAATGTCTCTTGCGCTTCTTCCCCGAAATTGAATACCACTGTTAGAAACCCCCATTTCTTGAATTTCGGAATTAAAAAATGCCAGATTCAACTCTCTTAAAGCCATGGTACCCATTTTTTTGGCAATATTTCACTTCGAAATTCTATTTCTGTAATATTCTCTTAACCCAAATATTAAATATTACCATTTTAGACCCAAATACCCCCAAATTTAGAAATGAACCCCCATTTTAGAGCAAAATTCCCGTTTATATGGTTCAACATGATCTCTTGCCCAAAAGATTCAAAGCATCATTCCAGACCCCAGGCACCCTATTTTCTTACCCAAATATAGAAATTGTACAATACTCGTTTCATCCCAATTTTACCAAAATACCCTCCGAATTCAATTATAACTCTTTTATTTTACCCGCCTTTTAACCCACATTCTGACCTGAATTAGCCCCCGTCAACATCTTGGAATTGGACCCCAGAATTGGCCCCTTTACATATATTTAATTACAATCCTTTAGAACCCAAGGTCCCCGTTTTATCCACAAATTCAGTGACTTATTCAACCCCCAACCTGTAGTGCCCACTCCTATGACATGTCTCAAGTTCTCTTGCAAAATTTCATTCCCAGATTTGAATATTTTCTCTCTTAACCCCAATATTAAATATTACTATTTTAGGCCTATATACCACCCACACAGATTGCCATTTCTGGAATTTTAAAATGCTCCCGCTCCCCATTTTACCGCAGAATTCTAGCCCCCCCCCCCCCCCCCCATAATTTGAGGGCATCACCCCAGCCCCCAAGCCTGCTGTTTTCCTACCAAATCCAGAAATTGTATAACACTCGCCCCATTTTCCAAATTTTAACAGAATTCTACCCCAAAATTGCCCCTAAATTCAAAATTTAATCATATCTCTTTTACCCCCATTTTAACCCCCAATTCCAACCTGAAAGTGCCCCTTTCAACGTCTTGTCCGCTAAGTCTGACATGAGTGCCGTCTTTTAGTAACGACCCAAACGCCAAGGCTTCGGCAAGTGCCCAGTCTACAGTCCGATTTGCAACCATTTCTCCTCGAGCTTTTAACGTCCTTTTAAGTCCCGGATGAATATTCATATCCGATGCTTGTGACATGACTTCCCCTATGTGTTTTAGCTCTTCTTCTGGAAGTCCTGTGTCCGCGACCTTCAAATCGACCTTGCCATAGGGGTCCTGTAATGAAGATGAGCTCCATGAAAAAACTATTCACAACAACAAGAAATAGAGAAGAGATGGACAAGGTTTTTGGACCAGGGGCCGGACTGGTGGGCCATGTAAGTGTGACGTGAAAAGTTACAATTTATGAACAATATTTACGTAATTACAACAAAAAGTGAAAAACAATAAGCCCCGTGCCAAAGCTGAATTTAATCATAATCTCAACAGATACCCGAGCTATTTTTTATCTAAAACATCAAAATTTGGTTTTAGTTTGGTTGTGACAGCATCAAGCGGGCCAGATTACCCATCGAGCCCAATTTGTTCGCGGTTCGTAGTTTGCCCATGCCAGAGTTAGAGTAGGCCTCTCGAAAACATCGATCAAGTTTATTTTTTCAAATCAATAAAAATATCGTACACAAATTAAGAGAAATGGATATTTAGAGTTTTACTGGGGAGGGAAAGCCGCAGGGAACCAAAACTAGTTACACCCAAAGTTCCAATATCTAATTTAACAGATCAGGAATTTAGAGTTATCAAATTTTTTGTTACTATTTGCGAATTACCCATTTAACATTTGATTGGTTCACCAAATTGTAAAATCAATTTCGTTAGAAATTAAGGAGCCAATCGTCCTAAAAAGAAATCTGTTAAATACCAAATTCATCTTATCTGAACATCCCTCAAAATTTTGCTGCTTTTATCAATGCTGCCATATTTACAAATCAGTTCTAACTAAAAGGTTAATTAAACTTTTACTAAATATAGAAATGAAATTTATAGAAAAGTTGCAGGCAAACTCGATGAGACCCCAAAAAGAAGAAAAATATCACCTTGAAGAATCCTTTCCATGGGGAATCAAGCCAGTGTCTAAATTGCAGCATAGTTTCAGTTTTAGCTTTTTCGATCGCAGTCTCACAAATCTTTTCGTATTCATCGAGCTTCGTTTCAACGGTGGCATCGTCAACGAGACCCTTTCGAGAAGAAAAAAATTTTATAAGAAAAAATTGATTAATAAATCATTTTTTAACGGTTTTTGGCGGTTTTCAACACTTTTTGCACATTTTTGCAAGCTTCTCGTTGTTTTTTGACAATTTTTCACTGTTTTTGATTGTTTTTTACAAGGTTTTTGCAAGATTTTTGGTGGTTTTCAACGATATTTCACTGTTTTGCATGTTTTTCTAATGATAAAAAGGTCGCACACACCAATACATATATCATTCATTACCCTTGCTTTCAGCTTCTCTGTATAAAGCTTGAACACATTTGCATGTTTTTTAATCCTTTGGTACATTAGTGGTTGCGTGAACATTGGTTCGTCCATCTCGTTATGTCCAAACCTTCGATAACAGACTAAATCGATAACGACATCCTTGCGGTAACGCATTCTCCATTCAGCTGCAATCTGAAATGTAAAGCAAAGGTTTTGAAAATGTCATGACCTGCTAAATTGGAAATATGCAACTGGCTATACTCATAGGACGCGGGCCACAAGGGGGCGTAGACAATTTTTTTAGGGGACATGGAGTTAATTAAAAACAACATTGTTTGTTAGATGTGATCTTCCCCGCTTCATTTTGGATATTTTCATTTGTGATACCCTCCACGTTTTTTCAACATGTTTTTTGAATAAAACATACTTTCGTCTCACTATCTGTTGTTTTGAGCTTATTATTAGCTAGTTACTTTTGAGATGGGGCGCAAAACTTGACTAATTTTAAAAAGGAGGCACTGCTTAGAAAGATTGAGAATCGCTGGGATACAATATCAATACTAACAAAAATGCTTTGAATGCAGAGACCACAGTATCCATTATTTTCCAACTGAAGTGAGATTTCCTGAATTTAATTGTTTTAGTGAAAGAAATTTTACTTGTATCTTCACACCTACCTTGGTACTCCCGTAGTATGTGCACCAGGTTAGGGTTAGGCCACAATTTCATTTTGATTTTCCTTATTTTAGTTCTATTACGAGTCCGGGGAACTGTCTGTGTTAGCCAAGTGAATATACCCCTGCCCATAGGTTTCAGTCCCTTTACTCAACTTGATGTAAAGTAGGCGAACAAAATTAGTTACCTTCATATCGGTACACATTCTACTGTAGTGCCCCTGACTTTACCTACCTTGCACACATAGATGACAGCCTCTGGATCATCAGCATTTACATGAAATATCGGAGCTTTCACGACCATTGCCACATCAGTACAGTAGGGGCTGGATCTTGAATGCCTGGGATCAGTGGTGAAGCCAATCTGATTGTTCACAACAACATGGATAGTGCCTGGAAAAAATGTTATTGAATATGAAGTACTGTATATACCAGTGGTAGGCACTCTTTTGAGGGGACATGAATCTACTTAAAAACTAAAAATATTTGTTAGATTTGATCTTGCAAGCCTTATTTTGGATATTTACATTTCTTCATTATTTAGAGATTGCAGAAAGCTGTTGTGACAAAATTTGTTTGTTTTAAAATTTTTCATTTATTTCATTATTTACGTTTCATCCACATGTTTTGGACAAGTTTTTTCAATAAAACTCACTATCTGTTATTTGTAGCTTAATGTTAGCTAGTTATAAAAAATAAATTATCAAAATCCCACAGACTTACCGTGAGTGGTATAAGCTGGCAAATCACTCAAGTGAAATGTTTCATAAACGACTCCTTGGCCAGCGAAGGCAGCATCTCCATGCATGAGGATAGACATCACCTTAAAATTGAAAAAAAAATCATCTTTTTAAGACAAGAAAAGTTTTCTGCATGATTTCTATAGGAATGCACTGGCTGGGATCTGAAATTTCTAATTGCAAAGTTAAACCATGACAGCCAGCAGATCTGGCCAGAAAACGTGAGGACTCTTGCGGGTCCTCAAGAGCGTTTCAAGCTTGCTATGTATGATAATAAAAAATGATTTTTCACATCTCAAGAGAGGGGTTCCAACTTTCAACATAGCTAATAAAATATTCCAATCCCTAAAAAGATCAGAATCTCATTGCTTACTTGTGGCTGCTTACCACATAGTTTGAAATTTTTGGGAGACAGAAAAAGTCGATAAATGCGCAGGAAATTAGTGTATTTTGTAAATTTCTGTACAAGAATTACTCGTACAAATATTTTGCTTCCGTATTTACCAACTTTCCAAAGGACTGGCTTCCTCAATAATGCCCCTGGTCGCTTGTACACTATATTCACTATATAAAAAACAATCTTACCTTTTCGCCTTTGGTATCTCCCTGGTAAAACTGCTCAGCTTTGGTTTTTCCTTGAACGACCGGGTCAACAGCTTCAAGATGGGATGGATTTGCACAAAGAGAAAGAGTGACCTGTGAAAAATTACAGGTTGGAAATTAATGAATACAAATTCTATGTAAATTATATTGTAAAATTTGATATAGATTATAAATACCCTACGAAAAATTTAAAAAAAATGGACGAAGTCGAATTGAATCAAGACATCTAATGAACGGCCTCGTCATCGACCAACCATATATCTATATTTGTGCATCTGTTTGGTCAATCAGTGCAGATTGCAGTAGATTGGCAAGATGGTAGCTTTGGGACTAATAAAATAAATGATAATACTTGTTGTCACTGATGACGCAAATTTTATTTCTTCTGAACAATGTGTTTCAAAGTTATTATTTTTGAGTCCATCCCAATCAATCAATCAATCTTTTATTTGTCATCACAAAAAACAAGCATATAGAAAAATTTTACAACAAATAAAATATACCGATCGTGTTAATTGTGTGACTGGAGTCACGAGGGACCTATATAGAACTTCAAGCAGCGACACCTAGCTGATACAGATTATACTGTACCATACCATACTTTCTTTTGAGTCAATCCCACACCATACATTATACTGGTGGTGTTATGTTTATGACCTTTTGCATCTCTCATTCTTTACGATTTAGTGCGTAAGTGAGTCAGGGTATGTAGGATAAAAGTGGCTCTCTACATCTTCTTGTGGCAACACAAATGACGCCAGCTATTGTCAAAAGCTATCCAATAAAAAGTCATTGAGCAGCGATGGAGCGTTATTTTGTCAACAGCATTTGAAGGATTAAAGTAAGTAAAATTAGCTTATATGACCATTTTTCAATATGAAATACCCGACATTAACTACAAAACCTACCATTCTGTTTGAGACATGGTTAATCCTCTGGTGAGACATTCCGAGATGGTATTTGACGTCACCAGACCCTTCGTCATTTGGTTCTAGTTTTGAGTCAAACTGACAGAAAATTTGATCGAGGTCTTTTCGGATCACATTTGCTAGAACATTCAGTCGGCCCCTGATATAATAAAATTGAAATATGTTGCAATTACATGGATAAAAATATAAAAAAGATAAATTGCTGCTTAGGTGCAGACTTTTGCATTTATGAAAACAAGATGCAGCGTTAGAAAGAAAAGACTCGAATCTCACCATACAAACAGAGAAAAAATTTCTATATTGACTTTGTTATTTGTTTAAGTAGTCTCAGAGCATTTATATAATATATATAATCGATAGTTTTCCTTATCATAAGGATAAATTAGCGGTATCAATTTGCATTACATCCACACATACGAATCCGAAAGCACAAAAGTGTGAAAAAGGGATAGATAGCGGGTCTTGCACACCAGTTCTCAACCAGTGGGCCATGGCCCACTTTTGGGCCACAGAAAAATTTTCAGGTGAGCCACAAATCTATTAAAAATTGCTTGTTGATAAATTACTTTATTTTGATATATGATAAAGCTGTTTTTTGCTATTAAATGATTAATTTTTATTTCAACTACTAAAGTAGAAATCCCGATCTTAGCGAAGAAACATCGAGTGAGAAAAAAGATTTGAGAGCTACTGACCTAGCACAACCATAGCTGTTACATTTCAAAAGAATGAAAATCAAAGAAGCTAATCCCTGAATTCCGACATTCAAATTATCCATTCTCACCTGTGTGGCATTCCCATTACTACACTATCAACTCCAGCCGAGCTTGCGCTGTCAATCAAAGTCTTCAAAGCAGGTATCAGCATCTCACATCCTTCCAAACCAAAACGTTTCTCACTCGTCCATTTCTTGGCAAGAAATTCTTCGAACCTAAAAAATAAATAGTTAACAATGTTTGCCTGTGGAAGTTAGACCGAGGTTTGGGAGACCCAAAATATTGAGTTGTTTTGAGTATGTGAGCTTGGCTATGTATCAAAGACTTAAATACCCAAATCTATAAATTTAAAATATGATCATAGACATGAATAGCTAAAATGAATTATTTTACTATCAGAATTAAAGTTGGCTTAAAAATGTTACAGGCTTCAATCAAAATTCATTTCCTTTGGTCGACTCTTAATAATGTTCAATAAATGACCATGTAAGATGTAATCGCTGTTTTGTATGTAAACAGCCATTGATACATAATAGGTATATATTTTAAGTAAGGTTAGAAATCTCATCTCAGCATTGCCTACTGCAGCAGTGAGGTGACGGTGGGCACAATCAGCATAGCCTACTCCAGCGGTTCCCAAAGACTGCGCCCGAAAATTAACAGAATTTACGTATTGTATTTATTTTAGTGTTTTGTTGTTTCTCATTTTAAACGCTGTATATTCGAATCGATAAATTCATTTTATCTTTCTACGTTGTTTACTAGCTGTTACGTAGGGTTGTGTTACATTCACAAAATAAAGTTGCAATTTTTTTGTGCAAGTGCATCGTTAGTTTTTTCCCTCATAATTTGGCGCTACATGAGCAAAAAGTTCGGGAACCGCTGGCCTTCTCAATTTAGTATACCATATATGAAGTGGCAAAGTAGCCATTTTAACCCGAAGTCTTCAACCATTGGTGCATGCATATTTTGGTTCAAAGCCCGCTAATTACTAGGGCATTACGCTGCACTGGCTTTTTATAAAAATAATTTTTTAAGAGTAATATGTAGTTATGATACCTTCTAATCCCATATAAATTAAATTCCCATATAGATTAAACGTATTCATAAACAAATCACCTTGTTGCCCTTAGCAACCGTTCCCACGTCAACCGTTGTTCCCATTCACTGAGTTCCATAATTCTTGGAGTTTCAAACTTTTCTCTTATCCAATCACATTGCTCCCTGTTGTTGATGAACATGTATTCCACTCCTATCTTGTCACAGTAGGTTTCCTAGGAAATAAAAAATCAGAAATAAAAGTTGTACACGCACCTTTGCTTTGTAGAAGGCTCTGGGCCAGAAAAGATGGAGTCATATCTATACCAGGAATACGGGTGATAAGTTGGTGTGATAATATGGTAAAGCTACCCCTGAGTTTGCTAATAAGTTTTATGGGTACTCCAGAAGTATGTGAACCAAGATGGAACCGAAACATAATATGTGTACCAAGTTAAGGTTAGGCCATAATTTTTGCTCCGATTTTCCTTATTTTGGTTCTATTACGAGTTCGGGGACAAGCCAAGTGACTCCCGTAGTATTTGTACCTAAAATTATGGCCCAACCCTAACCTGGTACACATACTACGTTCCGGTGTCCGCCATTTTGGTTCACATACTACGGGAGTAACCCTTTGTTCAGTAGACAGCTTTGGGCAAAAAATAAGTATCATATTTATAGGGGAGCCGGGTGATAAGTGTGATAATATAAAAAAGCAATCCCAAAGTCCGCTTACAAGTTTCCTGGCAATAAATAATTACATTTTTTATGGGCCTGCAATATTTGCTGCATTAAAGGCTCTACTAGCCCATTGGTCCTCAAACTTTCATGATATGTGGCCCCATCGCCCTAAGACTGTCAAAATTGAATTTCCATGAGTATGCACTATTGCTAAGATCTAGGTCAGAAAATGGTACTCCCGTAGTATGTGAACCAAGATGGCGGACATCTGAATGTAGTATGTGTACCAGATTAGGGCTAGACCATAATTTTAGGTACAAATACTACGGGATCATCTGGTCAGTCCCCGAACTCGTTATAAAACTAAAATAAGGAAAATTGGAATAAAATTATGGCCTAACCCTAACCTGGTACACATACTACGTTCTGGTGTCCGCCATCTTGGTTCACATACTATAGGAACACCCAGAAAATATGATAGTCATAGCCATGTGAAGAGAGAGGAAATTCAATAGTTGACTTATGCCTGTGGCAAAGCGAGGCCCTTCATACGGCTACCAGTCTATGTGTAGGCATAGACAACTGATTAGTCTTCTCTGCCATTTAATAAATATTATGACTGTTTATTTATATGGAGCTTTATACTTCATTCATTCCTAATGAGTCTCTGTGCAAGCAGACATTTCGGTGCTCCTGAAGTATGTGAACCAAGATGGCGGACACTGGAAGATAGTAGGTGTACCAGGGTAGGGTTAAGCCATAATTTTATTCTAATTTTCCTTATTTCAGTTCTAATATGAGTTCGGCGACTAGCCGAGTGACTCCTGTCGTATTTGTACCAAAAATTATGCCCTGACCCTAACCTGGGACAAAAACTACGTTCCGGTGTCCGCCATCTTGGATTACATACATTATGAGTACCGGTACCTTTCTTTTATATGGACATTTATACTTCTTTCACTCTTAATGAGTCTCTGTGCAAGCAGACATTTCCATGTAAAAAGATTCTATATTTTGAAAAGACTGGAATCCCTATTTGCCACGTTCTAAATCAAGAAACTATCCAACTTACTTCTAGTCTGTGTATAATTTCCTTCAATTTGAGAGATTTTTCTTGTCCGCCAATCATTGTTGTGTGAGGAAGGATGAACTCCTGTTCCATGTCTTGTTCACCTTATAATTGGTAAAAAATGGTGGATGTAGGTAAATTCTTATAAGTGAAAGGTAATTAGAGATGATTGTGAAACAGACTTAACTGGACAAAATATGGAGGATTTATGTAAATTCCATTCCAAATCCTAATTTCAACTAAACATGGAAGATTGACGTTGAGATTCTTATTTTGGCTACTTATGGGAAACAAATTAAAATAGAAAAATTTGGACAAAACATGGAGGATTAGTAAATGCTTGTTTTGCCCACAACAAGCTAACATGTGGGAGAACTGAAAAAAAATCTAACTATGGTCTAACTATCAGCCCCATAATATTGAAGCTATAAAAATAAATTAGACAAAAACAAAACACAAATGCAAAAATAAGTTTATAACAACAATACTGCATTGCCATGCGCATGCCACATTGACTATGGTAAATTTTTAGCAAGGCTGTTAAGCTTTGTTTCGAGCGAACATAGTAAATGCTACTTAAAAAAAAAAAATTTTTTTTTCAGCTATACGTGAGTTAAAGCAAATGATTAACAGTGCTCCCGAAGTATGTGCATCAAGATGGCGCACAACCTGAACATAGTATGTGTACAAAGTTAGGGATCAGGTTGTGCGCCATCTCAGAGCACATACTTCGGGAGCACCTAATAAAAAAAATTTCCTTCCATGCACCAAAACATCACAGGCAATGCACATTTGAATGGCAATATTGAATGAACCACGAAAACAAAAAAATGATAGAAACAGTGACATTAAATTGAATATGGCGAGTGGAGCACACATGATATATGAATAGCTGAAACACACAGCAGGCCTACGTAAAGCCACGCAGCAAAATTAATATTAGTGATGTTTTTAGCTCTCAAAGCAATTGTAATTGTAAATTACATCATATTTTTAAAAAAATTGCAGATAGCAGCAGGGGCATAGCCAGGAAGGCAGATTCTGAAATTTCTACTTGCCCAGTAAGACCGTATTAGCTAGCAAGTACGACTAACGTGTCTTTTCCAGAATATAGAGGATCTAAATGCATTTCACGCTTCCAAAAATTTCTATGTATGGTACAGAAAAATGATTTTGCTTACATTTCAAAAGAGGGAGAGGGTTCCAATGTTCCACCCCTGGGTATGCACCTGAATAGCAGGTTTAAGGAATCTACTCGAGGTGTGTTAATGAGACTCATCTCTGAGCAAAGCTATGCTCACTTACTCACAAGTAAAGGAGAGTCATCTCTGAAAGTAACGGGCACTCACATAGCAGTAAAGAAGACTATCTCTGATAAAAGTTACTGGCACTATCCCGTACTATTACTATTATATTAGCGAGTTGGTTCATTTAGTTGCAATATATTTTAATTCTATGTGCCACAAGAACAAAATGTGTGAATTATTCCTTTTGAAACATACACAATACAAAATTCCCTACTAAGATACATTTTTCATATTTCAAAATTGGCTATTTTTAACTCTACACAATACGGAAATCCATTTTTGAGAAAGCCTTTTCATATTTTGAGATCATTCTCCTCTGAGAAAAAAAAAACAAAATGCAATTCGTATAACAAGTAAAGCAGGATTGGTTGAACCATTTAACGGTTGATCGGTCCTAGATAGATAACATTAATTTTAATTCTATACAATAGGAAATTCCCTTTTAAGAAATTTTTTCCATATTTACAGATTGGTATCTTATGAAGAAATAGGCATCTGAAGGCAAAGCAAAAAATGGTTGAACGGTTTAACGGTTTATCGATCCTACAACCACAATTTGAACCCTTTTTAGATATTCCAACACAACAACCCTAGAAAATCAGGTTCAGAAAATCCCGAAAATATGGTATATAGATATATTGGTGCAAAAAATTATATCTAAACAAGCCTCTGAAACTGCAGCTTTAGAAAATGTAGTATGTTAATAGGGAAATTCCCTACGATGAAAGTTTTTTCATAGATAGCTATCTTACGAGGAAATAGGCGCCTAAGAATATAGAATTTAAAATACAACCACTTTTTGAAACTATTTTTTCTGAAATCTATTTTCGTTTTTAGAAATTTAATGACAAAAGTTCCTCAAATTTTGGCAGAATTATAACCATTTCATTTAGGCTAGACACATTAATAAAAGAACAAGTCTTAACATGAATGTTGCACTTGATTGGCAGTTCATGACTTGTTTAGCTGCCTGAAATATCAATCCTACTGTCTATTTGGCGGTGAGCTGGTTAAAATTTATACAACATTCTTAAGGAAATTAGCTCAATGAAAAACTGTTGCTTTGTTTTTTGTGTCAGCTCAATAAGACAAGGGTCATTAAACAATGATGGATCAAACTTTACAAATGCAGACAGTCATGAATAACAAAGCAGAAATGGCCAGATCTACCATTCAAAATACAAATCTAAAATAATATTTTCAAATCAGAACTATATTCTAAGTTAGGTTGTAGACACAAAGAAAACATAAAAACTTTTGTTTAAATTTTAAATTTGGAAATCAAGACAAAAATTTTTTTTTATTTTTTCCGAGTTTTCCGTTTTTGTACTTATTCTGAAATAAGATTTACAAATATTCAACGTTAATATTTTCTGAATTGGAACACATTCAACAAATAACACATAAAAGTCATGTATATTCATTATATTTGAATTTGGACATACAAGTAGAGTAGGGACAAAAATAGACTTCCTCGGTTTCCTGTTTTTAAAGTTATTTGAAATTGAATGAGACCTACTTGGCTATGCTGTTAGATGTCAAAAAGATAATCTTTCAACTATTTTGAAATGTTCTTAAATTCATAGATTTCAAATATCAAAGGAAACCAATTCTTTCATTTGGACATCACTACCTGCAAGCATGAATAATATTATATTATGAGGCTGTGCAGCTTGAATAAAAATTCAGTTTTGAAATTTAGTTTTGAAAAAACAGTATATTTGGGCGCGAAAGGAAATATACCATAAAGCTCATGAAGAATAATAGGCCATGCTTTACAAGTGCAGATACCCATGAATGACAAGTGTTCATATAAAAAGCCTTCGAGCATGAGTGAGTTTATAAAGCCATTATTGGGCTCGGTTTGTTTGAACTTAAAATTGGGTACCGTATATAATTGCATATAAACGGAGTTTAAAGCTCAAAAAAAGTTGCCAATCTAAGAGGTTGGCTTATACGCTCATAACTCTGATCCATTGAAGGAATGGAAAGATCCCTTTAGGAGTTTGACAGTGATATGACGAATGAATTTGAAGGATTTTAAACTTTATTGATGAAAGCAAAACATAACAATAATGGTTATCATTTTCAGTAATGTCATAAATCTCTTAATTTCATCTCTTCTGCAACCATCAACTATTTCCAAAATGTGTGCTAATTTTGTTAAACCAATGACGAAAAAACGAAGGGCAGTTATAGCGACATAGTTCAGAAAATATACTTTACTTAAATACAGCCAATGTAAATTTGGTCTTGTAAAAAATGATTGTCAAATACATATATACCACAACACAATAGTCCGATACAGCCGATTCAAGTTTTGGGTTTTATGACACAACATCATTGTCGAATATAGCCAATACAGATTTTATGTCACATGGTATAAAATAATTGTTGGTGTTTCTGTAGTATGCGAACCAAGATGACAGACAATGCGCAGCACATCACAATTGTCAAATACAGCCAGTGAATTTTTGTATTTTTCGTGAAGCCAAATTGTCAAATGCAGCTAATAGGAGTTTTATGTTACATATAAAGTCAGCTAATTTCCATGGTTATTAAGATCATTAGTTTGAGGGCAAATACAACCAATACTCAAACAATTGTCAAATACACACAATAGAAGTTAATACCACAATTGTCAAATACAGCCAGCTAATCTTTCATGGCTATGATCATAAGTTTGGAGACAAATACAACCAATCTCGAACAATTGTCAAATACAGACAATTAAAGTTTACAACACAATTGTCAAATACAGACAACTAATCTTCCATTATCAGATCAGTAGTTTGGAGGCAAATACAACCAATACACAAATAATTGTCAAATACAGCCAGCTAATCTTCCATTGCTAAAACTATTAGTTTGGAGGCAAATATGACCAATCTCGGACAATTGTCAAATACAACCAGCCAGTTTTCTGTGGTTAAAAACATTAGTTCAGAGGCAAAATCCTCACAGAAATTATGACAAAACAATTAATTATTACAGTGCCTTTAATTAAATTATTTAATTACAAAGCGCTACAACATCTAAGCTAGTGACACGCCTACTACACTGAAACCACACCCATTTTTTATATACCAAACGGGTAATTCCTTCCGAAGATATAACTGATTTTGTCATCATAGTCTTCTAGTGCTGTTGAATTCACTTCCAGTGGGTCTAGGTTACTCATGAGGTGTCCACGAATCTAAGGGTCAAATGAGTTCAAAATGAAATGTTTGGCTTCTCGAGTGATGGACTGGTAGCTGGTAGTCATGAAATTTACAAAATTTCCAAAAAAAAAGTTTGTTATGTTCGAGGCGAAAATACAGAAGAAATAGAGCCACAGTTTTGAGGGCAGAGAGAACGACCCCTTTTACTGAATGGGTCACAAATTATATTTTTATAATGAAAAAAAAGGATTTCGGTCACAGATGTAATCAATGCCTGCATAAATGAGAAACTTTGGAATAACAGTTGCATAAAATGTTAAGTATTCAAAAAAAATTTCAATCTGAAAACTTTTCGATTCGCAAATATTATTATATTTTTTTACATTGGACCGTGTGATCAGGGAAAACCTTAAATTTATCACAAAAGCACTTGGAAATACACATTCAATAAGATTTCATTGATTCCCAACAGGTCCTGGTAAGCCCTGTTCAACTCGAGTTTTTACAAAATCTACTCACTGTGGGCTTAACAATTGGGTTGAAAGGTTAAAAAAATGTTAATTGAACCCAAACATCAGCTTCTTATCAAGGATCGTAATAAAATTTCGACTATGCAATATTTTTAAATTTGGATGTCACTTCTGCCGTGAGTCGAGAACCGGATTTCCTAACCAGGAGTGCAGGAGAACTGTTTCTAGGTGATGCAATGAATCACTTTTGCTGAGGGTGTAGTAGGGTTCATTTCTCATAGGTCTGAGATACTCATGAAATTTCCACGGATCTAAGTACGAAACAAGTAAGAGCCTGGTATAGGCTTTGCAGGTTTGCTAGGATCGTAGGATGCCGAGGGAAATTTGGACATCTCTAGTGGTTTAGAAATGAGGTCGTATTGCTTTGAAATTTTGATCTTTATGTTTGAAATGGAAGATACAAACTAAATAATATCAAAGTCATTAAAAAAGAAAATTACAGACGGTCAATATTATATATAAGGACCTGAACAGTGGTAAACGTTGGTTGAAAAAGATGAACACTGAATAAAAACAGGAATTTGATAAAACAAGAAAAGGGAACACTGAATTAAAACAAGAACCAACGGTGGAGTTCCTGCGAAAAATTTAACTGTTGCTAATTCAACTTACTTCATTCTTGCATTCTGTTTAGAAAACCAAAAATACATGAATAAATGAACCAAGCACGATGACTTTTGACATTACGAGAACAAACTACCAAACAAAATGTCTAAAAAGATGGATGAAAATTTCAAAACAAAAACCCCATGCTTTGGACCACAAGAGCATTCAAAATATCCTACTGAAAGGCATCTTTCCGCCAAAGATATTATCATGAAGTAAATCTTCGTTCATTTTTTCCAGTGATACTCGAGATATGTTCAACGGGTCTAGATAACTCATGTAATGGCCTCGAACCTATATGGAGAGAATCGTTGGAATTAATTTCAATGTTTGCGGATTTGGGGACAACTGTTTAAGACAGGGATATGCTGCCAATTTATGCTTCAATGATTCCTACATTGGAGTGAATCTTTATAGGTTTGCGGAATTAGTAACATTTATCTAAGACAGAATAATTCTGTCACTTTATGCTTCAATGATTCACATGTTGGAGTGAATCATTATAGGTTTGCGGAATTAGTAACATTTATTTAAGACAGAATAATTCTGTCAATTTACGCTTCAATGACTCCTAGATCAAAGAGAATCATTGGGGAACTAATTTTAATATTTACGGAATTGGCAACATCTGATTAAGACACAATAATTCTGCCAATTCACGCTAGGTTAGGGAAACTAGGCAGCAATATAAGTCAGGCCTCGGACCTAGAGAGAGACTCACTGTGAAATAAATTTTGAAGATTGCAGAACTGGTGGCATCAGTCTAATTATGGATACCGTTTTTATGGTGAAAAATAGGAAATCAAAAACAAAAAGGAGTTAATATCTGAAAAAAGGAATTGAGAGTTTGCACATTGCAATAAAGCATGTGTTTAGTGAAATTCTACAAAAACATCTCTTTGTGAAATTAAAAAAAAATGCGTTCTGAAGTAAAATTCCCGCAGAAAAGCAATATGCTTTTAAAAGGGTTAAATCATAATAAAAATTGCACAAAAAAGTAATGTGAATTTTTAAAATTAAATGTGAATATCAAAAAATTCCTACAAAAAATTGACGTGCGCTTTATCAATTTTGTGCAAAAAATAATGTAAACTCCGCAAAAAAAGTAATGTGCACTCAATGGAATGTCTGAAAAAAAAGAAATAGAATTTCCACAAAAGAGGAGTGGAACTTTGCATAGTTCCAGCAAAAATATAATGTGCATTTTTTGCTTTCATAATATCATGTGTGCTCCACTTTTATTTATTTGATTTTATAATTACCCAGCCCATAAAACTCCTTCATTATCTCAGGAGCTCTGGTGTGGTCTAGATCAGCTGCCAGAATTCCAAGGGGATCAAGCTGTGCTGTATTGTGCCCTCGAGTCTATATGAGAAATGTTAGGGTTATTGTTTAAGAAAAATTTGATTCCATTTACAAAATCGATCGATTTGGCCGTGGGAACCTTTATAAAATTATTAATATGGTGTGGCAAGTAATTTATATTTATTTTTATCATTATTTTTGTTAACTACTGGTATGTAATTTATCACGTTCTTCTTACTATATCTCTTTTTAAACTTTATAATTTCTCTGTGGGTGTGTGTGTGTGTGTGGGTGCGTGTGAGCATGTGTGAAATAATTCAATTACTTTAGGTGTGTGAACACGTACAACTTCTTCTTTGCAAAACCTTCCATTTTATATTCTGTACGTTTTAAACCTTATCCAAGGTTTTGTTTGCTCTCCTGATTTCATGATCAGTTTTTATTTATTTGTTTTTATCAACCATTTTATGCTGATTATGGAGTCAAAAGAAACTTATACTTAAATATGATTCAATATTAAACAAATTATTTTTATGAATGCCTACTTGTGAATAATTACTAAAATTTTAATCACTGACTGTTGCAGAATTGCAAATACCCAAAATTCCCTGACATGGATATAACATATAGACAATGTTATGTCTTATTTGTTTAATATTTGTTGCATACCCTTGGCTCAGTTCCAAACCGTGGCCTGCGTAATGATTTATTATCACCTGTCAAACTTGAGTGAAATAGTTTACCACGTTATGTTTTTCTTCTTTTTGCATTCTAAATACCGCTAATTGTTCAGTCATTATCACAGTTTGAGCATGTGTATATGCGTAACAATTCAATTATATCAGTATCTTAAATATAAGTACTGGTACCGATAACGACCTCTTGCGGACACTCATCTCCGCAAATATTCTTCCTCTTCTAAATTAGTCCCACTGTTAATTAATCAACTTTGGGAATCACTGATATAGACAATATTAAGGCTTATTTGTTTAATAAGCAGAGCCAATGTTTTATTTGTTCTGGCCGAAGGCCTAATAAAACGGCGCTCAAGAAGTGTGTGTACCAATATGGAGGTAACTAATATTGTTCTCCTACTTTACATCAAGTTGTGTAAAGGGACTGAAACCTATGGGCAGGGGGATATTCACTTGGCTAACACAGACAGTGCCCGAACTCGTAAAAGAACTAAAATAAGGAAAATCAGAATAAAATTATGCCCTAACCTGGTACACACACTACAGGAGTACCAATGAAACAAAGTTGTTAATTATGTGTATAGTACGGACTCCCATTGGTAAAACAAAGGTTATTGACCTAAGATCATTGACTGAAATAAGAATGTAAACAAGACGAAATGACCTTTTCGCTCATATTAGGTCACATAGTGGACGTATGTAGAATTTTATCTGGTAGGGGGTCGGAATATAAAAAAAAATGCTTCCGGTCATTGGTGTGGATGATAGGTTGGCTGGAGTTAGGTCACAACACTATTTCAGAGGTAAAAAGAACTTGTCCTAAAATGTAGTCACAAATGGAAACATGCTTAACTGTGATAATGACGTAACAATTTGAGGTATATAAAATGCAAAATAGTAAAAATCAAACTGTTAAACTATTTCACTTCATTTCGGCTGGCCATATTAAACCGTTACGCACTTTAGAAACCAATGGTGTATATAACATTAACGATTGTATTTTGTGAAATATATGACAGTTCATTTGGCCTTATTTTTATTAACTCAGCCAGACAGAAGGATGAGTAAACATGCCTCAATGTCTTATTTGCTCATATTTGTGGTACTGGTGTATTCTTCTGGTGTATTCTTCTACCTGTGGGATGACTATAAATAGAACAGCACCTGTAGCTTTCAATGTATCAATAAGGGTTTTTTAATGTTGAACACGAAGTGGACCTATGGCGTTTGTTATTTTTTGTTGTTGATGATCATGTTAGTATTTCTTTTTTTCTTTTTTTGTTGCGAAAAAAATCGTTTTTCTCATTAACTACTGGACCAATTGCTTTGAAATTTTCAGTCGTTGAAGATTGTATTTTCGCTAGGTAGAAGGTTACTTTTATTTAAATCAAAAATTTTTGTGGCCTCCATGGGTCGTTTTTTCGTGTGCGATGACGTAATTAGCGATTGTGCCCACAAATAGCATCAAAGCAGGGTAATTTGCTTCATGAAAAATCACTGCATCAAGATAGATTTACAAGCTGTCAGTGTCAGATCAATATTATATTTGAACGCAAACTTCACAAATACTAAGAACTGTTTAAATAGGGATATCCGTCATAAAGACACGCCCCATTTTTCGACCAATCACAACATTGAAAAGTGCAAAAGTCAATTAGGCTTCAACATAGGTATCTGATAATATTCATTCATTGTGATGGATAATTTATGAATAATATTAAAAAATTTAAACAAACAGGCCTTGCAAAATCATATTTGTCATAAAGACACGCCCCATTTTCAACAAATCACAACCATTTTGAGCAAATAAGTCACCGGCGCTGATCTAAAGTAAATTAGGCTTTATAATAGGGATCTGGCTATATATTATTCATTTTGAGGACAACTTTAAACAATTTGAGAAAGCAATTTAAAACCAAAATGGCCCTGCCACAGGAAAATATTTTTCGGGCTTTGCAATTTTCAAACATTATTTTATGACAAATGCCCGCATTATTAGATTCGTTGCTATGGCCAATGATGCAACTTTACAATAATAACTTCAAACCAGGGCTCTTCAAACCCCCTAATGGGTCGCAAAAAGGGTCAAGGTCAAAAGGGGTCGCAGTAATATCTTTTTGTGCCCCAATTTATATTAAAACGAAATAACGATCAAATTTGAGAGATTTGAAACCAGTACCACCATCATGAAAATAGAGCCATGATATGATCTCTTGAACGAGAATATGCAAGCATGAAAATAATTGTCAGTTTATTTTTCAATGTTTCCTGTATTATTGAATTTGATTTTATTTTTATTCTAGTTCCTGGGGTCACAAAAAATTTGGCCGTGACGAGTGGGTTGTGATGAAAAGAGTTCGAAAAAAACAGCTTTACACAAAAAATAGCATATTGCCTTTTATGTATCAGTACCTGGTTGCTCAGAGCCTCATTATGAGCAGTCGTGTGAAATTTCAATTAAATTTCGATACAATTGCATTTTCGTTTCAGTACTAAACCAGGAAGAAAAACAATTATTGAATACGTCATGTAAACGCACAGGATATGGCTAAGCAATTCACCTAAAAATGAGTCAATGAATAATGACTCGCTTACTTTGTGAGAAACTGGTTTAGATCTAAAGCAGGGGTCTCAAACTCCCGTCCGAGGGCCAATTGCGGCCCAAAGAACGATAGTTTGTGGCCCTCGCCTTAGTATGAAAGTTTATTGTTAGTGTGGCCTGCAAGTTGCATGATTAATACATTTAATATAAGCTCTCGGATTTTAGACGGCACAATCAATAATGCTTAGATTTATATTGATACATTGTGACCATGTTTTCCATGTGGTGAGACATAACTGTCCATCGGCAAAATGCTTGATTAAACATAAATAAAAAAAGATTTGAATTTTTTAAACCAAGCTTTTATTATGGGAAACCTGATGCAGCCCGGACCCAATCAGTCTCTGCCTTCATTGGCCCGTAGATAAATTGAGTTCGAAACCCCTGATCTAAAGGTATTTGACAATATCATAATTTTGAGACTTTTAACAGTATTTAATCCGAGAATTTAGTGAAGATTTGTATTTTTACCCATTTTACTTTTATTGTGCCTTTTAACACCCCACCCTCTGAAGAAGGCTCCTGACAAGCAGCTTCTGATATGTAAAGAGATACTATTGCTGGTAAAAACTGAAATATTTTTGGTTTGGAGACGTAATTAATTGATTGACAATAGCCGCTTGTTCCTAACTCTTCTTTAGGTTGTATGGAATTATAGGTTATAGGTTATTCTTTAGGTTGTATGGAAATAGTATTATAGTTTAACGCGGAAAATCGTATTGAAAACATCTTTTTGGCAATACCTTCCATCTTATATTCTGTAACTTTTAAACCTCGTCCAAGGTTTTGTTTACTCTCCTGATTTCATAATCAGTTTTTATTAATTTGCTTTTATCAACCCTTTTATCACCTTTTTGCTGATTATGGAGTCCTAATAAACTTATTTTATCTAAAAACGCAGTTGGTAATTAATATTCGGAGTAGATAGAAATATGAAAATCCGAACAAAATTCCTGAAATAATTTTTTATGGCTGCCATTAATTAGAGTCCTTCCTAAAAAGTATTAAAACAATCATTTCTTCGGAAAGACGAAAAAAGCTAAAAAATTTAATTCTTCATAAAACAACATTATAATTATATTTATGTACTGTCATTGTTACATTGCCACCTCCATTGTTACATCATAATTTTCTTTTGTTTGAAAAATCATATGGTATTAAGGCATTGTTAAGCTACATTGCGCAATAACATTACCTGTATTGTCTTTTATTTGTTACAACATAAAGGTTTCATAATTGCGCAATTGAAAGATAAGAAGCGTAAGACAGATATGTCAGTATTATGTATGGCCATTATTGATACAATTGCATTCTAGAGGAGATAATACTTTGTTATTTGGGTGTCTATAATTTTATTTCTCTGTATTGAAAACAAACTCAACATTTCATAACCATTATAGGATGGGATTTACATATTCACCTCGAAGAAGGGGAAAGCCGAAAAGACGGCTTAATCAAACCACGGCGGCGGCGGATGTTGCTTTAAAATGCTGAATGTTTTTATTATAAATAAGAATAGCATTTCTCTCTTTTAACGAAATAGGAAGTATATTTGTGATCTTTTGTTAGGTCATAGTCTAACTTCTTTAGGCATTTTTAATTATTGTATATTTATTATGCATGTGTCCTTTCAATTTAGCAAGTTTTTTTTTTTATATTTCATTTGGCATTGCCCTTCAAAATAAGAAATACTGACATAGTGAAGGCGCCTAGATTTATTGTATCCCCACAATTTCACTCAAGGTGTGAAAGATGTTCTGACACCCTAGTGAAAGGATTGGCATAGGGTTTTGTACCAATATTCTTTTACCTGCCACCCTAGCATGATTAGGGTTTTACTCTACAACCCGAAGACCATTCTACCCACGAATAGCATCACAGATACTAAGAACTGTTTGAACAAGGATTTTAGCCGCAATGACACGCCCCATTTCTCGACCAATCTCAACAATTTTGTAAAATATCTTCCAGATCATTCGTTTTCAAAATTGCACGGAACCCTAGTTTAAATCAGTTGCAAAAATATGATAAGAACAAAAAGGCACACATCACCTGGTATCCTCTGATTAAAGCTTGCACTGAGAGATGTTTATCCACATTCTCGACAGATAATCCCCCCTGCGTTGCTAGGCTACTGGATGTGCCCGTTGGAACCACTGCACTGCCACCTAGTGACGGAGGTCGTTGATATGCTTCACCAGGCAAGGCACCAGAATTGACATTGCGAAAGTAAACGTCCCACGACTGTAACAAAAATTTCAGCGTAAGATTTAAAAAATTTAAAGGCGCTACATTGGAATGAGGTTGTATAATCTCAGTTAAGAATAGGGCCAGGCATTTTGAATACCTGAAGATTTTAGAACGGAATCGAATATTTTTTCAAATAGAATCGAATCTCGAATACTTGGAAGATATGAAATTTTATGTGACTTATTTTTGTAAGATGTCCTCCAAACACCTAAATTACTGAAATAATATCAGACAGTTAGCTGAGCGTTCACACACAATAAGAAACATATTTTATAAATAACTCACTAGAAAAAAATGAGTCACAAATATATCATAATTGCATTTTAAAATATGGCTTGAGGAAAGAATCCAGCACTTGTTTTGCGCTCTCTTTATCGACATAAGACCAATAATGAACTCACATTTAATGATTTACTATAAAACACATCATCCAGCTTCGCAATAAGATTTTTTAAACCATTAACATGACAAAGTTCCTTTACTGTTAAATCTTCAATAGCTTTTTCCACCATTAAATTCCCATCTAAGGAATACAATATTACAACCAACGCCTGGTTTTTCTCAAGCAAACCAGAATTCTCGGCCCATACTTTCAACTCTTTTTTCCAAGTAGAATAAGCCATATTGTCATAAAATTTGGGTGGGTTTAGTTGTTCCGAAAGCATTTTTTTAGATATCTAAATATTACTTAAACAATATACTGGTAATATTTTAATGGCTGCATAATTTACATAAATAATCACATTATCTTAATAATTAACATATTGTATTGATAAAGTATCTATTTTTACACAGTATACTAGGATTTTGTGTAACAAACTGCATGTACTCCTTTCCAATGCAGAACTGGGAAGATTCCAATCAATGAAAAGATACTTGAAATACTCAAAATATAAAGATCTGGAAATCAAGATACAGAAGACATGGGGACTTATTAAAACTTTAACAATAACTGTGGTGATTTTGGACTTATCGGGAAAAAACTCGAAAAATATGTCAAAAACATTCTAGGAAAAATTAATGCAAAACATCTCTGAAAAACGCTATTCTTTGACAAGCCCACATATTACTTTAAGTACTTTCTATGAATTCATGACCTTGGCATGACCACGAAAACTTGGAAGGTTTCCATTCGCCAGAAAGTTGAAATATTTAATAACAAAAAATAATGAAACTGAGAAATAATATAACTCCAATACATGAACATCCGAAAAGCCCACTCCTGTAGTTATAACAATAAATAGCGCAAAACTAGGAAGATTCCAGACATTTTGAAAAAAGCGACCCCTTACATCACAGGGGTGCTTACACGAAGTTATTTTTAGATCGAAAGTATAATAAAAGACTAATACGCACACATTCGAAAAAAGACCACACCTGCTGCTATAACCAATAACAATGCAAATAACATCTCATTGACAGCAATTCGTGTCAAAAACGAATTATTGATAACCATGACATCTGGCAGGAAACTGATTTATGTCACGAAATCTAAACGCATCATGTAGATCTGACTTAAACTCGAAGTAATTAATAAATAGAATTGAGTTTCACTTTTAAACAAGGCCCTGTTCAAGCATCAATACTCCCGTAGTATGCGAACCAAGATGGCAGACACCAGAACGTAGTATGTGTACCAGGTTAGGCCACAATTTTATTTCTATTTTCATTATTCTAGTTCTATTATTTCTGGGACTAGCCAAGTGACTCCCTTAAGATTTGTACCTAAAATTATGTCCTAACCCTAACCTGGTACACATACTACATTCCGAGGTCCGCCATCTTGGTTCACATACTTCAAGAGTACCCATGCGGCCACTGATATAAAAGGAGAACCAGAATCTTTCCAGCTTGGCATTGTATAACCAGTTTTCCATATCTTGGGAGAGGTGGTGGGGTAAAGAGTTTAAACTAAGATTTGGGATCGCAGATGCCAATATAGACTTGTATAACATTCCATAATTAGGACTAGCATTATGGTAAAACATGAGACTATTGTTGTAGTCTTTACATAATAACAGCAAACATATATAGTAAGTATATCCATAGATGGTAGATGACAAATGATGAAGTTCCCAAAAGCATTAATTTTGAAGATTATGTAATAACTTGACCTGATCTGACAGTTTCAAAGTTCAGATTTGAAAACATTATTTTTATGTACGTTTCAAGGTCATGTCAAGTTTAAGGTCACACAATCAATTCGCACAAAAAATGTAAATTAATTTGTTAAGCGAGAAAACATTGAAATTGAATTTATATGCTGTCATTGGTAAACTGAAGCCCATTTACGTGCTTTGTGCGTCAGATGCCAAATTCTAAAAAAAAAACTTTTCCAAATTCAACTATTCTAAATTATACCTAAAATCCAGAAATTTCCTCAGGATAAATATGTAAATCCTATTCTTACTCTCTACAGAAACAACAAAATATAGCTCACCTTATGTACAGTGCTTGGGTCCTGCAGCCAGCTTTCGTACATATCTTCAACATACACAGAACTACTTCCGCTCAGGAAAGGTTCAGCTTTTGCTGCAGCGGCAACAGCTTGCTGTTGTGAGCTGGACGTAGTGGATGCAGATCTGGACGAATTGCTGCAAGATTATAAGGATGAAAGATTCAAATTGAAATGATTAATTTTAGAATGGTATAAGTTGACCTTAAGATACCATATATCCTTGCATATAAGACATCTTGCACACAAAATGACCCCCTAAAATGGCCCTAAAATAGTATATTTGTAAAAAAAAAAATAGCAAATATGCAAACCCCACAATTCGTAACATCCATACGAGTTGTAGCTGTTGGAATCAAGTTAGCGTAATATCATTTTGTTTTAGTGTGATCAGAGTTATTTTAGTTTGGCTACTTTTTTCTAGTTTCAAACTTGGCTTATATGCGAGGATATATGATAACTACCTATGTGTAAAAAATTTCGCATGCCTGTCTAAGACTACTGATCCAGCTCATGTATCTGGAAATAATAATTATCACAGTTATTTATTCCCATACTCGGTGCAATTTGTGGGTGCTAGGTCTAATACAAGTAGGGATTGGTGAGGCAGTTATTTGTTTTCGAAAGTGTGGAATTGATGATGGAGGAAGCCGTAACTGATTAGCGGTTACATGATTTCGGAGTGAATGAGTACGACCTTTCTTTGGGAAATAACCTTGAAAAATCTTGTCACTGGTGCTCCAGAAGTGTGTGTACCAATGTTCCCTCTAATTTTTTGTAGTATGTGTGCGCAGAACTTTTGGGGTGTGCGCACTTTTTTGGAAATGACTAATATTTGTGCAAGAACCAATGAAGAAATTTTGGCGTTCTAACCGGGTAATCAGTGGGCCAACAACAAACTTTCTCAACCTGCCAACCGAGCACATTGTTACATTACATCGAAATACGTCTGTGTGCAGTAAACCTATGCGTGTGCGCAGCCTCTGAAAGCTGTGTGTGCGCGCACACGTGCACACCTTAGAGGGAACACTGGTGTGTACCAATATGGAGGTAACTAATTTTTTTTGCCTACTCTACATCAAGTTGTGTAAAGGGACTGAAACCTATAGACAGGGAGGATATTCACTTGGCTAACACAGACAGTCCCCGAACTCGTAATAGAACTAAAACAAGGAAAATAGGAATTAAATCATGGCCTAACCCTAAGCTGGTACAAACACTACTAAAGTACCCTTTTCCCCAGCATAAAAAATATCAGATAATATAGTCCTATAACTCACCTAGCAACATTATCATGTTTTTTCCTGTTGGCACTCGTTGTGCTTATCGACCGAAGTGTTCTAAGTGCAGGTGTTCGCACGGCAAAATGCCGGACTTTCAATATTGCTTTGTGGGCTTGCTGCATTGTTTTAAGAAACTAAAAATAACTATTTTTAAGAGAATTCATGAGTTTGGAGTTAACTGTAAATGAAAGGGACATTTTAACATAAATTATAAATTGCTTGAATATTATTTTGCCTTCTCCATAGAGCATTTATTATTGGAGTGCAATGAATCAGAATAATTGTATCTAAAATATTAAGAGTCTATGCTGTCATTTTATAGTGACTTGTTTTAGGTATGGTTGCATCTAAGGGCTGTACAATAGCAGGATGTCATACTAATGGCAATTGTGGCCCTATATTATCTCAATTTCTGGAATACCATATGCATGGCAGCTTTAAAGAGCCCTAATGGGAGACCATCTTGGTCCATCCGAATGACAATTGAGGCCATATATCCATCCTTATTAATATCTTTACGACTCAATCTCCAATGAAGTTCATTTCATTTAAAAAATCATCATGTTCTTAGGTATTAAACTTTTGTGACATCCACACAAGAAACTTACCAAACTAAAAACACTCCTGCATCCAGGCATCTACTGTTAACAATGACATGACAATAAAACTGAACATTCTGATATTATAGCAGTACATTATCTCAGTACTTCACTGCACTACTGCAGGCTGCAGCATACTATTCCAATAAGTCGAATCAAATATTCAGATTTCTATGTTAAACATTAAAATTATTTGGTTTCGGGAATCTTTATGCCTGACCTGCCCTGGAACAAATTAGTTCCTTCCTTCTCTGCATTCCTACAAATATTAAAAGAAATGCGGAAGACAAGAAAAGTATATCAGACCAACCTTGAACTATTATCAAAATGCTGAAATGGGATATTCTCAACCACAATCAGACAATCTTGCAGTACCGGTACAGCAGTACTTAACGTCTGTAACGTCTGAACGTTCTGACGTTACTGAAGGGCATTTACAGACTTGTTCAATTTCATTTCCAGTTTTACATGACAATGCCTGAAGCCCTAAATAATGTATCTCTGTATCTGTAAATACAGAAATATCAGATACAGAGATACCGGTACCGGTACTTATTCTCCAGCAAAAGACAGCACGCCGGCAAGCACAGCTGGTAACTTCACAGGTCAGCTGAGTCGAACTGGCTATTATAAACCAAAAATGTCGTCATCAAGGTCGCTATGACGTCTCCCGCATTTTGCTGTCTCATTTCCACGATACACGCCTACGGCTTTAGCCAATCGGTGAACTGATTTTGATAGAAATTACTCAAATTTTCTTCTCCGTCACGTTTTCGTGGCAAAAATTGCACAATTACAGAATTAACTTGATTGATACTCGGAATTTTTGACATGGCGTTGCGAAGGCGTTGCTTAATTTATAGCCAGATCCTCTTTTTACAAATTGTACTGTGAATCATGTGCGCAAATATGAAATTAAAAAACTTAGTTTTAATAATTTAATTATGCCAAATAAAAAAATTCTATCTGTTAGTCTAAATAATAAATATAAATTAATCAGACATGAATTTTATTAAATGTCCGTTAGTTCAGTATGCGATCTTTTTATAATTGTGACGACATTAAATCAAGATTAACTATACTTTGTTCCATCACAGTAAAAAGGTAACGGGATTTTCCCATTTAAAACGCAACCCTCGTAAAAGTCAGAAATATATTTTGATTTTCCCGCAAATATAATTCATACACATAAAACAAACAATGAACACACAGAAGATTGCGAAAATCGGGGAAACTGACAGAACCTTCATAAAAAAATTTGAATTGCTTTATTTATTCGGGCCGCGTTCAGTGACCTTCGATAGGCACAAATCAACATTTAAGAGTTTACTCAACAATTTACCTACCAACTACGGTGTAATGTCAGGAGGACAGGCGCTACCAAGGCGTTACCTGTATTCAAAACTGCAAAGAGTAAAGCAACTCAAAGACAAAAGACCAGAACTGTATAATAATAATGTCATATTTATTCCGATGGAAGGTAAAACGGATACAGACTAAATGTCACATAGATGCACGCTCTTTTGTCCGATTATCAATTCGAGAAGGCTATGTCAGCTCTCGCACCTTCATACCCTCGATCATCTCACGGAATTCCAACTTGTCAGCCCACTTTACATCCGATAACTCTGGCTTGTTCGCGAGAATAAGCAGAAAGTAGGCTATATTAGTGTATTTTATTATTCCATTATCTACTGGACTTGTCAATTTGATTTTACAAACTATCGTCTCCTTTAATTTTTTTAATACCTTAATTTTCTGTATAAGCCCAATTAAACTTACAAGCCTTTGGGCATGAGTCTTCTGAAGACGCTTGGAAAAATCGTAAACGCGTCATTACTTGCCGTCGTATAGCCACGCGAAAAATATTTCAAAAATTAAACTATGCAAAATGAATAACTCATTCCACGTGTGCCGATGGGTGATTTGTTTACATGCGCAGTCGCATCAGTCAGTCTGTAGTTTTCAGCAAAATGAATATACACTTGATCAATCAATCATTTCAATCATTTTATTTCGGCTCTCTGACTAAAACGGAACAATACAAAAAGGTAAACAGACAACAAATACAGAACAATACAAAAAAGTAAACATACAACAAATTTAGATCTACCTGGAAGGCGAGCATAACTTAAAATAAAGTTAAAAAACGTACAAGTACGTGCCCACCCACCAAAAAATAAAATAGAAATAATACGATTATACAAAAAATATGGACACGATTCAAAATCGGGCAGTGCTTATAACTCAATTTAAACGAACAAAATGCGAATGCGAACAAAAACTAGGAAAAACATTAAAAATGGCATTTCACGGCGAAGGTAGGCGCTAAAAAAACAATGTCGGTTTCGAGCAGCGACACTCGAGATGGAAGTTTAAATTTGATACAGATTGAATAGAAAGAAGTCGAACAAATTATAAATAAAAAGATTAATGTCCAAATCCGTCTCTTTCCCATTTATAGCCTACTTATATATATATTATGTGGCATTCAAATAATTTCAACCAGGTGTCACGGGCTTTTACTTCAATACGACTACGAGATAATTTTATTCCACCAAGATATATTAAAAAGTATATTCCACAACAAATTATTATGAAAGTAATAAATCGTCGGATTCGTTTTCGTAAGATTACAAAAACTGTGATAGCTCTTTTACTTTTACCTTTAAGTCGCCATTCACAGAGACCGTAAATGCAAAGGAATTGAGGCAATTGACGAGCAATTAATCACTCGCTAAGAGTGCCTATAAATTACCAATTTATCTTGTATTACTTCGGTACCGTCATGTCACTGGAAAGAGAGAGATTTCATTTCCAAAATTAAATATCAAAAACAATATCTAAATTTTTTATGAAGGAAGATTACCCAATCTACACATTGTTTTGTGTAGGTCAGTATGGCCGTTGAAGGTCATCGAGGCTCCTGGCTCATAATTCGACACTGAACAGCAGAATTACGATGTAATTTAGAGGACGTGTGCGCAAAACTATATATTATACCGCTACAACAATGAGATCCAAGGCATTACTGATCACCATAACAGAACCGGGTGCAGTAAAAAAAATCAGGCGTCAGGTACTGTAACTTGCACCCGCGCCTATTAATTCTCGCTCTCACAACAAATTTTATTGGAAAGAAATAAGTCATGAACAGTACAAGTGAAAACAAGAATATAAAGTTTACCGGAAGCTTACTTGTAAATAACTAAAGTATGTGCAAGAGTGTAGTGTACAATAGTAATGGCCAGGAGGGTAAGAAGGGCGAGGGTCCACGCCCAAATAAAAAATGACAGAAGTAGGCTACTCAGCGAGTCATTACTTATCGATCTTAAGATCGGTAAGGATGTTGATAGGTATCTGTCTGTTTGTCTGTCTGTTTGATGCACGCGATATCTCACGAAAGCAAGGTTGAATCTGCTCCAAATTTTGCATGTGCATTCATCATATTTCGGATCAGAAGCCTATTGATTTTGGGCAAAATATGTCGTATAATTAGCGAGTTATTAATTAATTAGTGATGGGACACACGGTGTCACTATGGAGTAAGACCACTGTTTTGGGGTCCCCTAACCTTTGATCGATAAGTCTTCGGTTTCTGACAGATATTCTAGTTGATATATTGTTAGATATAAGTGGCTGCTTTTATCTAGCTTTGTTCGGAGCAAAAGGCATTATACAAAAAAAAAATTGCCCTTTCCCCAACTTTAGACTGGCTACGGTACGAGTACAAAAGCAATTAGCACGAAAGGTATGCGACAATGCTTGAATGAATATATATATATGTTTCTAAATTTATAAAACATCCCAGGAAAAAATGTTGAAATTTGCGCGGCGCTATGCTCTTTTACATATTGAAACAATATCATAATACGCACTGAAAATAAAACGAAAACACCATATATATATATAGTTATAATAATTTTAATTTGCCAATTTGCAGTATTTAATTGATATATATTTGGAAATGGGTTACACGTTCAAAACTAGTCTATTGCTGATTACACTGTGTGCAGTGCTGGATTAATCATTAAACAAAATGGGCACGTGCTTTGGGGCCCCACCAGGAGGGTACGCAACAGTAAAATTGTCATTCTTTGAAAAAGTAGGCTATTTTAACAAGTGGCGTCGATTCCGATTCTTGGAAACCTTGGATAACTTCGACAGCGAAGTAAGTCGGTAGAGAATTTTTTTAAGAGAAATAACCGCGGGGTTAGTGCACCAAGAAAAATGGGGTGCCACAGGAATTTCTGTAGACGACCTGCGATAGAATCCCAAAGCAATGCATTTATTTCAGTAGAATAGAAAACTGATTAACTATAGCCTAGTTTCAGCTCATGCAGGGTGTCTCGAAATATCTATGGAACCCATTAATTTGATTACCAATTGTGTGAGTTTCATTTATTTTGGGACACCCTATAGTCTTTTCGGATATTTCATCGTAATCTTCAGTGCGTGCGGTAGCATGTTTTACCTGTCGCGGGGCTGTTAAGACAAAGTTTATGGTGTTTTCGTTTTATTTTCAGTGCGTATGATGATATTGTTTCAATATGTAAAAGAGCATAGCGCCGCGCAAATTTCAACATTTTTTCCTGGGATGTTTTATAAATTTAGAAACAGTAAACTAAAGATAAAACGGTCAGTTAGCATAAGAGACTGAAAGATAGATAAGATAAAGATAGAAATTGATAAACCGTCCTCCAGTCTTAGTATTTCTCCACTGACATTCAGAAGTTTGGTTTGCACATTCACTCCTATGCGTCTTGTCGCCGATGATTTCATAATAACAAATTTATCTTGTAAAAAGTAAACCAAAATAAACGATTAAAAACGGGATACCATATAATTTGCACAAAGATCCACACATTCAATAGTTTAGGCAGCGCACTCGATATTCCCAGACGAACGTCTTCCATTGAGGCACGAATACACCTGCTTCAAATCAACGCCGGGGGAGGGGTGCAGTAGCAGAGCAATAAATAGAAACCAGAGGGCCAGCAATATGCAAACCAGGGGCAAGCCGCCCAGAAAATGCAATCCTTAGATCAAGGATAATTAGATGGAGTGAGTGAATTTAAAATATAAGCCACCGAGGCAAGCAACATGGCGCTCCAGGAAGGAAAGAGAATAGTAGAGAAGACAGGCAGCGAAGTGGAATAAATAAAGAAGCCAGAGGGTCCAGCGAGTGATGTTCAAAAAAACTGAAAATGGTGTGAGTGACAAAATATGAAGAGAATGGGGAAAAAATAGAATACAGCCAGTCGCCAAATGAAGCCATCGATGCCGTCGCTCCGAAAAGAAGAAGTACTAAAACGGGAAGAATGGTGAGGAAACAAGTAGAGTGATACCGCAAAAAAAAACGTAAAGAAAAATCCGCAAAGCTGACTGAGCAAATCAGTCAAGAAAAAATGTAGAGATAATATGTACTCGTTATATAACTAAAAGAATATGTGCTCGTTATAGAACTAAAACTAGGAAAATTGGAATAAAATTGTGGCCTAACCTGATACACATACTATGTTCCGGTGTCCGCCATATTGGTTCACATACCTCGGGATGGTTCACGTAAATACGTTGGTTAAGCTTCCTCCGCCATCAAGTTCGCATATTCAACTATACGTAGACTCGAAAAAGTAAAAGCCTTCTAGCGAAAAATACAATCTTTACGCACTGAAAATTCCAACTTGGTCCAGTAGTTTTTCCGATTTGTTTCATAGCGATAAGTAGAAAATGCCAAAAAGAACAACAGCAACATAATAAGGAAATGATCTATAGGTCCATTTTGTGTCCAATAACTGGTTAACTAATTCCATACTCGACAGGGACATATACCCAAGCCGTCATATTGGATTTCTCCTGACCCGGGACCAATATTAAATTTCTAAGTAGCTTTGTCGACATTCAAATCAACACACTGTTAAATTGGACCTCCAGAAATATGCGCACCAAGATGGCGCACAACCTGAACGTAGTATTTGTACCAGGTTAGGATTCAGGTTGTGCGTCATTTTGGTGGATATACTTCAGGGGCGCCGTAGAATTTTATTAGCGGATAAACATATACATACCGTGATCGTAGTTTACCACATCCTTTCTTCACCATCGGCTCGACGGTTTTTCGCATCCTGCTAAGACTTAGGAAAACCCTAGCCGCCGCACCTCAGTTTCCCCTTCGTGGGTTCGCATCCCATGCGGAGACAGTCATGTGCGAGAGATTGCTGGACTTCTCGTCACCGTAGGGTGGTTCACGTAAACGCTGGTCAGTTATGGCTTCCTCCACCATCAAGTCCATGCTTTCGAAAACAAGTAACTTGCTAACTAATCCCATACCCGATATGGACTGGTAACCGGACGATAAGTGCATACCGTATAGGATAGGATAGTTTTACATATTTATCCCGGGGAGAGGAAAGCCGATAAGACGGCTTATCCATATGGCGAACCACAGCCTCTCGTCCGGTTACCATTCCAAGTCGGGTATGGGATTAGTTATATTGTTTGTTTTCGGAAGCATGGACTTGGTGGTGGAGGAAGCCGTAACCGACCAGCGGTTACGTGAACCACCCAACGACGGCGAGGAGTCCAGCAATCCTCTCGCACATAACCATCCATGCATGGGATTCGAACCTGCGAACCTAGGCAGAGTAATTAGAGGTGCGGTGGCGAGCGTATTCCTAACGCTTAGCCCGTTGAGCCACACCGCCGCATATAAAAATGTAATCCTAAGTCGAGCACAACCTGGCTCATAAATACACGACTTAATCGTCCATTTACCATCTCTGTATGATGGGCATATCTATCACTGGTGCATCGCGTCCCCCATCACACTGAATTATATTTGTTCAATGTATACTTTCGGTTTGTGATAAAATAAACTACTGACTGACAGGTTATGACAAAGTCTCGCTGTCTAAGCTTCTTTACTCATCTGCAGCACACTTAAAGTGTGATACGCAAGGATAATAGGAAATACAATTTATTATGAAAATTGGCAGAACGATGATACGAGCAGAGAATGTGCGAAAAGGGCCAACGTATAAACAAAACTCTACATATAGGGCTGAGAAAATCAATTTTTAGTTTATATTCACATACCTATCAGTGGTGGGATTCAACCGGTTCACACAGAATTTTAAGAAATCAGCGAAACCGGCTAACAATAATCAGTTTATTTGCTGAAAAAATATGACTTTTTGTAACAGAACCGGATGAAAATCATGACTTTTGTGATGGAATCGGCTGATAAAAAATTTGAATCCCGCCGCTGTATATTCTATGTCACAAGATTAATTTACCCATGCAGTACATTTAGGTCACACATTTTGAAACCCTTTCGAAGTTGTGGCAACTTGCCTGAATATTGTCTGTTTGTTAGCATTTGTGTACCGGAATTATGTATTTTGTACATAGGAGTCTCAATGTTGTTATTCATAGAGTCGAAGGGGCCATAGAGCAGATGGAGAGGGGGCCGCAATGCTAGACGAAAAACCTTTTTTACTTTTCAATTTACAAGAGAACTCCTTGTTCTTTCTAGTTTCGTTGTTTGACAAGGAATCGACCAATCCGAATAACACTATAAATATACCTGGAATGATAAATAGGGAAACCATGAGTGCTAAAAGCCTCAATAAGGGAGCCACGACCTATAAAACGATGGGAACCATCGGTGCAAACAGTTCATTTAACATTGGTAGGAAAGAATATGAATGCAGGCCCCTTTGATAAATTCTCGAAAACATGACTATGCTTGCACCAATAAAACAAATTCCGAGCTTTTAAATCTACTCGTACATATAACACTGTCTATTTGCTCCTCATATTGGCATGTCCGATACTACTAATACATATGAAAAATAAAAACCGGCATTTAGGAATAATGAAAACTGGTTTGAAAAACATTTTATAAAATGAGATATGACACATTCTTTCAGGTGTTTAGGTAATTAACAGCACTGTTTTTGTGGGAAATTGGATTTTCTAATAATAGCAGTTCAAGAGTCTCTAAACCAGAGGTCGGCAACATTTTGTCGCTCGCGGGCAAGGTTGCAAGTCATTGGCGGGTCGCACATATTTTTAGAAAGTTGAAAAACCAAACGGATGGTACTTTTTAAAATAAAAATCAAGCAGTGATACATCTCTCGAATAGAATATAGGGTGCTTCCGAAGTATGCGAACCAAGATGGCGGACATCGGAACGTAACATGGGTAACAGGTTAGGCGATAATTTTTTTCCATTTTTTCTTATTTTAGTCCTATTATCAGCTCGAAGACTAGCCAAGAGCCTCCCGTAGTATTTATACCTAAAATTATGGCCTAACCCTAACCTAGTACAGATATTACGTTCCAATGGCGCCATCTTGGTTCGCATACTTCGGGAGCCCCGAATATAGATTTATTTCCTCATTGCATCTCATAAAATTCCATTTGAATATTTTCAGCGCCATTGAACCCTTTGCACTTAGCTGCATTTCTGCGTTTTGTTGCCATTTGCTTAATTATAATTAAATGATATGCTCATTAAACGAGTAATTGTGAAATATATAATTGTTAGGTTATAACAAAATTTAGTCTAAAGGATATATTCGTCAAAACGGATGTTTTGTTACTATAATTTAGTGAAGCGTCGCGGGCCGAATTATAGTGCTCAGCTAGCCGGATCCGGCCCGCGGGCCGTAGGTTGCAGACCCCTGGTCTAAAGTTGGCCATACATGTCGGGAGCTTCTGTGAAAGTTTTTTACGACTTGAAGTCTGCATCATTTTTTCAAGAGGTCGAATCGTAATTTTTCCCAGACTTCAAAGCTCTTGAGCAAATGTTTAAAAATGCTAATACAAATAACATAGCGATGATAAAATATAAGAAAAAGTAAGAACATATGTACAATTGCTTTAAAAATACCGATGAAATAAAAGATGCAACATTAGTCTGCATTTTTGCTAAAGGCAGGGATGGTTGTTTTTCTTGCGACTATTGCAATCAAAGCTAGAATATATTTTCTATAGAAAGAATAACTTTCAAATTAGAAGCGGGAAAATGTTAGCGGGCCGGGAGAGGGGAGCGCCGACAAGGGGCCAATACCCGTACCGGTGCGTATAATTCAGATATCAGTACAATTGAATTGTAACGAATATACACATTCTTTAACTCTGATAATGATGTAACAATTGGCAATATCTAGAAAGCAACAAGGTAGAAACATGATGTGTTAAACATTTCACTCAAGTTCGGCTGGTCATATTAAATTGCAGTAACTGAATCGAACCCTTGTTCAGCGATATGACTCCGAACTTAACATTAGGCTTAGGTGACTTTATGGGGTAAGATTAAGGGGCCTCTAACCAGCAAAGATCACTTGTACAGATAGTATTAACTGGTTTTATTTGAAGGGCCAGCGTACTAAAAAGGTCGGGGATCACCTGTCGTTTGGAGCAGGGTTTCCCAAACTTTTTAGGCTGCGAATTTTCGTTTTGACTGACGCCATCCTATGCCGTATCGGCTTCTGTGCCCAACCAACGAGGAAGAATGATGTTTCATTTACAACATAAATGACATTAATGTGATGGGTGAAGCTGATTTTCAATGCACAATTTATCAATTCCCGGAACAATTTGTGACAAGCAAACTCATAGGTCCTGTGCAGTTATCACGAACCTCAGTTTGGGAAACCCTAATCAAGAGAATCGTTCAAAGCGATTGCAAAACATTTTATAAAAAAAGGAAATATGAATTCCATAGGAAACTTTCATGGTAAAAAAATTGCAAAAGTAAAGAAAAATGTTGCTACGTAAATGCATAATGAAATAAATGTATTATATCGAAAGTATGCGAACGTTTATTCAATTTTACCATTTAACCAATATCTTACGGTCAATGGCTACAAACTAAATCCTCTATGTACTTTCACAATTCAATGTATTAAATATAATCATATATTATGCCTAAACAAAAATGGTTATCCGTTAAACCAATATTCCATGGTCAACCATTACGCATTGATCATTTATAGCTAGAACAAACTATGGGTTGCATGCATTATACAGCGGGTGTCCACCAAGTCTTAAATTGCAAAAGGAATTCATTGATACCATATATTGTTCGGCCCTCACGGATGTATTAGATGAAGTAAAAAAACTTAAATAATTACTGATTAAAAAACGACAAATCTGGTTAAGATATATATATTGAGAACTGACTTCATTACAAAATTGAAATTGTGAAGGGACTTAGGGACACCCTGTATATTTAGAACGGTTATTTCTTTGTTGGATCCGTATTTTATTGTCAATCCCTAGTATATATATCGCAACAGTAACGGACAGCAGTAGTCCGTACTGTACATGTGCTACTGGGCCGAATATACACATTACCAGTAGCACGCAGGCCGCACTAATTTCCACCAACAAACAATCGACCCATTAAACCTCAAATTATGACGCATTGCCATTTGTGTTAATCACAACTAACAGTTTGGATAATCACTATGAAGCAAACGCTGTACTACTGCCATTGTTACGACATATATCCATGCGCAGAAAATAATAAATTGGAGCAACTTTTGTTTTTATGAATTGAAAGTGAAGTGTTTGCAGAGCCATAAAAATTTTGCTTGCAGCCTATAACCAACGGGCCACAGTTTGCCGATTACTGCCTCAATATGATATTTTTATGTGAATGTGAAAATGCAAAAATATGAAAATTAATGCTGCGGGAAGCTGTGATAAGATTTGTTCCATCTTTTAGGCTTTATTCTCCCAAAAGATAACCAATATTCTATACCATCTATCTTAGCCATGCTAATATGAAGAGGCAGTTTCACATGCTTTGCTCTTCCCCTCAAGATAAAAAATCTCATCCAAGGAGTTTGGTATGGTTCAACAGTCTTATATGCTTCGCTAAAAGCACAGGTATCAGAACTAGACTACCCTGACTATGCAAAAATGTTTAAAAAAAGTAAAATAAAAAATAAAGAAACAATATTAGTGGTCCACACTTGTTGTCTTTAGTAAATGGAATATTCAATTTTCCGAGATTTCGTCTTAAAATAGCCCTCTAGTGGCCAATTCAAAGTTTTTTTCAATTAATTTTGAGAGTATTTAAGAAATGCTTGAGCAAGGCAGTTGCGGGGCTCCCATTTGTTGGAGCACTTTGTCCAACCACTGGAGGGGGCCATTGAGATGAATTTCTACCCAACAGGGGGTAGATGTAACGTGCTGTCGTCGATATTCAGCTCCCCATCCTTTCACAAAACTCATACGGATTGTACACATTCTTGTGAGCTGATAAACAGCCTCGAATCCTTGGTTTACTGACTGAGAGAGAAGTGCAGCAAATTCCTGAAAAATGAAAATAGTAGATTGGAAGAGACTTTATCAATAAGCAATTTTTTGTTACGACGCTGCTGTCATTTATTACTCATTTTAACGTAACTTCCATTTCGTAATACTTTTGAATTGTTGGATTAGTATTTTAGTCATTTCCCTCCAAATCAATCAGCTAACAGGTGTCTCTGACCCAATGACTGTTACAGTCCTTCGCGACCCCTTATCGATTGCAGTGAATCTGTCATGTTATTTCTTATGTGTACATTTACATTTTTTTTTTAATGCCGTTATACACTTTGGTTATTTTTTTTTGCATTGATTCCTGAATGTATTCAAATATTTGATTCATTCTGCACATCCCTTGTTTGTAGGCTTGCTATTTATATGAAGCAAAGAAACGGGCCAGTGAGGATAGGACAAACCTTCGATACTGAGACTTGAGTAATATTTAAACAATCGAAAAACGTGCACTTTCTCTTCAGTGTTTTGATCAATTTAACAGCAGTACAGCTAACGTTAGATGTTTTTTTGACGTATGAATCATATAAGATTTATGACATAACAATACAGTAGTTCTCTCTCTCACTGAACTAGAGGCCAGCCATATTGCATGATCGGATATTGAAGTCTACCGGGCTTGACATCGGTACAGTTCGACTGTGATACCTTACCTGATTATTAAATATCTTGAGATGGCATCCAGGAGGAATCTTAACTACTGTAGCAGGATGCCATCCATACCTCCGATTGCAATTTGGAGATTGGACGAAGATTGCACTGTCACTCAGACATTCTGCGAATACTTCACCAGCTATGTAGTAAAGACGAACACCTGATAAAGAAAAATGAATTGTTCATGCAACGCTCACTCATTTTGTTTCAAGCAGGACGCTGTACAAGCAAGCACTCACTCAAAGAGTTTTATACGAGACTCATCTCTGAGCTAAGTTATGGGCACTCACTCAGAAATAGAGGAGACTCATCTTTGAGGAAAGTACAGGCACTCACTCAGAAGTAAAGGAGACTCATCTTTGAGTAAAGTTACGGGCACTCACTCAGAAGTAAGGGAGACTCATCTCTGAGGAAAAAGAGACTTATCTATGCCCTAACCCAGACATAAAGAAACTCATATTTGGGCAACGTTCAGGCATTCACTGATGACTGCTGGTTGTACCAATTTATTTATTTCAAATGCATGAACTTGGCGATAGAGGAAGTCGCAACTGCCAGCAGTTACCTTACCACAAAAGTCAGTACTGCAATTCTCACGTACATAAATGCCCATTTCTGTTACAACTGGTACAAAATTTTGTTCGACTTGTCAAAACCTGGCAACCCACCTTTCCCAATATGCCTTCTGGTCATTTCAATATGTTGCGTTCTGTTGATATTGCTCAGCAGACCGAGACAGAATCGTTCAGAATTGGAAGGATCAGTAAACCCATCTATGGTCAGAGATGATTGGGATGCATGGAATGCTTCTCCTAAAAAAAAAATTTTTTAAAAATGAGCTGATGAGTACTGATAGAAGAGTTGCAAAGGCCAATAAAATAACGAAAAGAAGTGATTGAAAGCATCTACCGCCCATCAACATTCTAAACCAAAAAAATCACGGCAAAATTGAGGCAATGCCTTAAGCCTTCAGAGTATTGATAAAATAGTTTTCTCAAAGCGAAGTTCGTGCCCCTCAACTAAAAGTAGAAAGAGTACTGTTAGAAGAGTTAAGAGCTGGCTTGAAGCAAGGTCTCAGGCCTTCAAATAAAAGTGAAAAGAGTACTGATAAAAGAGTTGCAAGAGGTAACTGACAAAAGCAACAGCTAAGTTTATATAGGTTTTTATGCAAGAATACTCCCTTTTCTTCCCAGTTTTATTGCTTCAAAAGATTATTTCACAGGGTGTTTTCACTCTGTTGTGTATGAATTGTTTGAACATAATGTGAATTGGGATCTACCAATCAAAATAACACTAAAAATTCCACTGGAAATTCATAAAAGCTTGGGAACCAATGATGTATAGCACAAATTAATATAAAAATATAGGAATCAATATATGCCTACTTTATTTACGAGTTTATGGATTATAAAGATAAATATTTTTCAAAAAACCACAACTTCCAAGTATGTTTAAAATATTCCGGAAATCCCACAGTGCCACGTAACACCAACTACTTTAGCAGACACTTGGAAAGCCAGTGATGCATAACAAAGGTTTCAGATTACAGATTGTGCAACTTACAGCGTGAACTTGTGCGATGGGTTAAACTTGACACAAGAAGATTATTGGGCTTAATGGAAATCAGTCGGTACTAAAGATGGTATTTCTATGCATTGCAGAATTAAGGCTCAAACCATCAGTAATTGATTAGTAATTATTTAAATATTTTTACTTCATTCAATACATCTGTGAGGGCCAAAACAATATATGATATCTATAAATTCCCTTTGCAATTTTAAAAAATGTCAAGACTTTAGGGACACCCTATATATTATTGGAGATGAAATGCACATATAAATCGTTTTGCTAAATTGTTATTGTTATTAATAACAAAAAATCGCTTTCCACTTGCAACAAATGGATCAACCAAATTCAAATTTTAAGTAATTAAAAATAGTTGAAGTTGACAGAAGAACATTATTCTTATTTTTTCAAATTTTGTCGGCGTTATTTCACCAAATATTAACTGTTTATATTACATTATGGGAACACTTATGAATCCACATGTTTTTTCAAAATAACTGCTAAAGTTACTCTGAAACAAAATCATACTTCAAACTGTCCTGTAGTAGTCAGTGGGGCGGGCGGAACGCCTAAAGCAAGGGTGTGCAGCCTGTGACCTGCGGGCTAAATGAGGCCCACAAGAAAAAATTGTACGACCCAAGGAGTCTATTTTAAATTGTGTACGAGTACGACCCACAGAGCGCTTTTTAATTTAGTTTAATCTGGTATGAGCGAGTAAATCCTGAGTACAATTTATCATCTATGACTCTATGACGTTACAATGCCCTAACAGCAAACTCGTGTGAAGCAAACAACGCATTTCATAGGATCAATGACCAAAATTTTCGTACATGCACTACTAGAAAGCCAATGTTGAAGTAAAATAATTTAATGAGGCCATCCTGCAAAACGCCTTTGGGGTAAAAAACTATTTATTTTAATCAAATGGGAACACTTTTTATGAAATATGGAATGTACTCACCTATCCGGTGATTCAATTCATAGTACGAAATGGCACACCAGAATGGAGGCTCCTGATATGCGACAGGATGTACGTCATCATTTGTATTGGTTGAACTTGGGACGCTGGATCCAACTGAACGTGGCATACTGATGCTTGTATCTGGATGAAAATAATAATAAAGTTGATTGACATTTTCAGTTTTAGCTAATTTTGTTTTACTTAGAATGGCCAGGTCTTGCTATCAATAATCCTTTTTACCAAATGAACCAACCGAGGTAGATGAAAATGCGCGCTTGTATACCTTGGGTAACTTCGAACGCGAAGCGAGTCTGTAGGGAGATTCTTTAAGAAGATATTGTTCGACATTGGTGGCTGCTTTTATCTAGCCTTGTTCAGAGCAAAAGATACGAGTAAACGTTGTATTACGTCAACATACAAAAAAGGCGCTCAAGAAGTATGGGCACCAAGATGACCCCCAACCTGATAACCATACCTTGTACACATACTATGTTTCAGGTTGTGCGCCATCTTGGTGCGCATACTTCGGGAGCACCCAAAAAAAATGCCCCCAAAACTTTTGGGCTAGCTACGCTCTTGCGTACATGTAATCAATGCACATTAACGGAGAAGCCGTGATTTGTCATATGATTAGGCAGATCTCATCCACCCAAATCCTAGTAGATAGTACCTACCACTGTTATAGTTAGGTGAAGGGCTTGACATGGCTGATCCAGCATCGCTGAATTCTCCATCCTCACTCATATATCCTGGTGGAGGGCTCTCTGGGATGGTGAAGTTACCTGAAGGCTGCATACCTGTGAAATAAAGGATGAATTAACTGTAATAACAGATTGGATGAAATAGCATGTTAACTTAGCAGTGTTTCTCAAACTTTTATAAAATGTGGCCACCTTCCAAGGACTCTTAACACTGTGCCCTCTGTGCTTTTCTATAATAAAAAATGGAATTTGTTTTTACAAGTTTTCATCAGTTTTTTTTTTAATAAAAAGCCATCAAGTTGAAGTAAAACATTATGGTCGGAGAATTAGACAAATTGCAGTCGATTTACTTTATTAAATTAGTGGTTCCTAAAGTTGATAACTATTTAATATTACCAAAAGCAGGGGGGCGCTGAGTGTTGCGAGTCTTCAGAAGTAAAACCATGATAGGGGGCTCCCGAAGTATGCGAACCAAGATGGCGGACATCGGAATGTAATATGTGTACTAGGTTAGGGTTAGGACATAATTTAAGCTATAAATACTACGGGAGGCTCTTGGCTAGTCTTCGAACTGATAATAGGACTAAAATAAGGAAAATTGGAAAAAAATTATCGCTTAACCCTGACCTGTTACCCATGTTACGTTCCGATGTCTGCCATCTTGGTTCGCATACTTCGGGAGCACCCATGATAGTTTATGGACCACTGCTCTAACCACTGAGCAATTCTTTCTATTGATTTTGAAACCTGTATATCCTTTACTTCTTCCTTCCTACAAATAAACACACTTACAAGGGTCATAGGTCGCATTCTCAGGTACCATAGCCCAGTCATCTAATGGAGGGAACTCCGTAGGCAGAGGTTCTGTCTGTCTAGGCACCAGGATTGGTGGGAGTGCAGGAGTCTCTACCCTTGTGTAGTGGTATGGATTCACACAAACCTGGAACGAAGTTGTAAATATTAAATGATGAATTGTGAAAACGCTCACCCTGGTTGTTACTTGTTAGCTTGACATAATCATGTCACTCACAAGGATGCACAAGTAAATTAATCAAGAGTTCATAGTATTTCAAGTTTTACCAAGATTCTGCTACAACTGGGTTTCTTGGGGGCCAGAGATCTTCAAAATAGGGGTATCGTACCCCCCCGGTGGGCTACAAACATGCTCAATTGGGTTCGCTGTACCCATTATTGTTATAACTAGCTAAACTTACTCTTCTTCCTTTTGCCCCCACTTGTCTGTGGGAAAAATCGTTCTCTATATTAACTTATGTTGCAACAAAATATAGATCACATTCGAACGATTTGGAACTAGTACCCACCATCACCGACATACAGACAAGATTCGATCTTTTGTGCAAAAATATACAAGCACATCAGACTCATTAAAGTTCTTGAGGGTCGCGAAAAAATTTGACCATGCCAAGGAGGTTGTGATGCTAAAGGTTTGAGGACACTGAGATAGGCCATGCCTCACTAAGATTAACTAATTCGACTCAACTCTGATTTCCCCCCAAATAAAACATGAAAAGTCAACTCGCCTCGTCTTTTTTTAATTGGAAAGCATAATCACACCTATCCACCGGCCTTAATTCATGATGGTTTCTTAGATCTGGCCATCTCCATAAACGACAATATAATACATGAGGAAGAGACTTCTTGTGAGAGACCTGGTAAAAACAGAACATTTGATAAAAATTTCCGAATAAAAACAGATTAGAATCGAATATAATCAATTTCAAATCTATTCAATGACTAGAGCAGGGGTTATCAACCTTTTTTCCGTCAAGTACCCCCCGAGTCACGAAACAATCAACGCGAACCCCCGGTAATCAGACACCGAACAAAGTTGTGATATATATATATATTGAATAACGATTTGTTGCAACACTAATTTACTGACCATATGTAACTGAATTAAATCGTCTTGTTGATATTATTGCCCTTGTCGTCTGCCTAACTAATGAATTCCTAAAATTTTTCCCAATTTTCAATTTGCATAATTTCTTTTTCCAATGCTCGCAGCACACTGTCTTTAGAGATTTCACAGCTTGAACGCAAGGACTTGAATTTCACATTGTTGCGTCACAATCACAACAATGCAAGATCAGGGAAAATCTACGTTTCAATTGGTGTCTAGTTTCAATGGGCATGCATTTTTCCATTATAGTAATAAAGGATATTAAAATATAGCAACATACAAAAACTTGACTGTCATCCAAGTACCCCTGGAAATCTTCTCGTGAACCCTGGGGGTCCCCAGGTTGAGAACCCCTGAACTAGAGCTAAATTTATTGGCTCATAGTGTAGCAGGTACTCCCGAAGTATGTCCACCAGGCTAGGGTCAGGCCATAATTTTATTCCGATTTTTCTTGTTTTAGTTCTATTACGAGTTTGAGGACGTTTGGAGCCTCTGCCATAGCTAAAATTATCAAAATGAACGCTTAGTTTTTTACCTGTAGTCTTCCATCTAAAGATCTTGGTATTTTTACACATTTTGTGTCAATTGATTGCTTCGTAACTGCTTTCTTCAAATCTTCCAATCCACCACTTTTCTTCAACTTTTTCACTAATGATTTGATCGCTTTTTCAGCAAATTTTTCATCCTGAAAACATGATTTATGAAGTAAATGCCAATTACTGAAGGAGGCCGAGAGAAAAAAAGAACAGCTGATTTTTCATCCTAAAAGCATAAATTATTAAATAAAAGTACATCTGAAACAAATAACTATATAACTAATCCCATTCACGGCTTGGACTGGTAACCAGACAAGAGGCCGTGGCTCGTCGTATGAGACAGAATAAATTACTATTCGCAGAGTATCCATCAAATGTCTGGGAGCTACTAAAATGATTAAAGCGGAATCAAAAACAAAATATTTGGTTTGGCAAGTATCTAGCAATGAACATCATTCAGCCAATCCCGAGCCTCTTAGAAATTTTCCAATATTTCCCATTACATAAGTATATTGCTAATTAGTATGTAAATGGGTATATGTTAGACCGCAATATATATCCTGACATACAATAATTTATTATGCGGGCTGATTATTCAAAATGAAAGACAAATTAGTACTTTTGTGTACCAAATGAGAGTATCTGAGAGTATTACAGAGATTATCATAAATATTTGATAAGGTTAACATGCACAAGTCAATGAACAGACTTACGCATACTACTTGAGCATCACGAAAAAAATATACATAATCTGGCCTACAATTAGTCATAGCCATTAAGATAAATTTTTAAATTGTTAATCAAACAGTATTTAACTAGATGCTGAACTTCCTCAACAGTCAACACCAATAGGAAAAGCTAACATGATGACTAACAACAACAACATAATAACAATACAATCTACAGCTACACTTCGTGTCCAATAATAAAAGAGATATGAAAAATAGTTCTTCGAAAATTTAAAAGTTACTGATTAGAAAAATATCATTCAATTTCCATGGTGACAATGCTGCCATTTCACACATCAATAATTAACAATTTGAATAAAATTCAAAGAATAGGACATGAAGACATATACCGACCTGAGGTGACATTTCTCCTCTTTTCCATCCTAAAAGTTCTTTTACAATCGGAGGAGTGAATTGTAACATTTTTGCTAGTTTTGTTGACGATTACTCCCCAAAATATATTCCAAATATCACATCAGAAAAGAAGGACTTTGTTGTCTTCCGCACTGATAATTCAGTTCCCAGATGAATATTTAATCAAAAAATATACCATAAATTTAATAAAGTATAGCACAATGCAATACTTAGGTAACTGGAAATAGAATAAAGTGTGACATAAAAAGTAAAATCAGAAAAAAATAAACGAAAAAGTGTTGGCGTATTTTTAGCTAACAGCAAAATGCATATTTAGCTGAATTAACCCTAAATTCAATTTAATTGTACTTGATCATACGAAGAAAATGTTTGTAATTGCAGGATTAATGGACGTTACCAAACCATTTTATATAGTTAACATTGCAAGCTTAAATTACAGTGAATGCTAGAAATAAAGATTCCAATTAATATTTTTGTTTTGCAAAATCTAATCGAACATAATAAGTAATACAAAACAAAGACGCAATACAGAACAAAACAAACAAATACATGGGGAAATAGGAAATATCTAAAAAGAGGTTCCATTACATTTGAACCCACGTACATTTGAACCCATGACAATTGCACCTGTATACCATTGCATCTATGGAATTTTTTTTGTTTCTCGGATAGTTAAACCCATACTAACCCTAACCCATGGGTTTTAGCACCCGCATATAGATTGAACCCGTGGATATACGCATGGGTTCAAATGTAGGTGGGTTCAAATGTACGGTCACCCTAAAAAGATATATAGCTGTATGGGGAAACAAATGGGCAAATTGGAAATAATTATGAATTAAAACCACTAGTTCAATCAGTTATAGATAGTCCAACACAAGTTTTTCCCCCTAAATTTGAAAAATAGAAAAGCTGAAATAGCACTACCTTGTTACAATACCCCACCACTAATTTTCTGATTTATTTTCTTCAAATACTAAGATATTGTGTACTGAACTGTAAGTCCTTCCACCTTGTTTACTCCCTACTTTGAATCTGTGTGTGTCAGTTACCGAAAGATTTGCTTGAATGAAATACTATTATAAAGCGAATAACATATTATCTCCCAAAGAAATACAGAAATAGCAAGTTTGCAAGCGAGCATTCAATAAATATATTTCCAGATTTTCTTTGATTAGGTTTTAAATAAACCAGTAGATACAAAAAGATGTGGCGATAGAACTTCCCAACCCAAACTGAATAGAATCCGCTAGAAAATAATGTAAAAAACATGTATAAATAACAAAATATAAATAACTTGGCATATGGACCTATTGATAACATCAGTTTGTAAACTCACAAGGGTTAACACCAGCAATTTGTCTGAAAATCCCGCCCCCGCGGCTGAAACTTTAATAACAAACGAGTCCGACAATCCTGAAATATTCCGATCGACGACGGTTGTTTACTATAAAATCATTAACCACGGCGGAAAGATGACTCACCCAATAAATGACGCCGAAAACAGCAAATAAAAACGTAAATATTATTAAAAATGCTAAATATGGCCGTCTGCAATACTTTGTTTTCGAAAATGAGACCACAAAATATAATATTCTCGAATAATTAACGGCTTAATTCCAAAATATAAATAGACAAACGCAAAAATCTTAAAATCTGATAATCGCGAATATGAATGAAGCGTTATGCAAGGGCGATAACATTATTTGAATGTAGTGCTTGGAGTTGCATTTTCCGGGTAAATCATTACTTGCGCAATATCTTGAGCGGGTAAATTTATATTCTACTTTTGTCGTCAAATTATTTTGTCAATAAACATATATAAAAAAATAACCAAGCATTAATATCATATAAAATTTAACATACTACTCATAAAAAAGCATGCAAAGCAATTTTGCTGGGTTTCAGATGCAAATTTTGTTTTATTGTTGCACAACTTTTTTTGCGACTCGCCGACGCCTACTTGCGAGACAGTTATTGTCTTTTATGGGAAACCGTTACATGGGGATTTCTATTCTTTTTGTTTTGCAAAAACCGAATCAATAACAGTTTTTATTGAATTAATAAAATTAATTAAATATGACTAATAGGTTTACAATTCGTTCGGTTGCCTATGAAAGAACAGCAGGCTGTTATAAGAATTTTAGCAACTGGTGTTTATGGAATTTTTTATGCCACCTCGCACGAAATTTTCAATTATCTATTTTCGCGGATAAAAATACATTAAACAAACTGTTGACATAGAATGTTGTTCTAGGTAATACTATTTTATGAACATACGAAGAAAAATATATTTTTTGGAATGATTTCAAAGGGCTCTACGGTAATTTCTGAAATTATTGTATGGTTGATTGCTCGCGAGTCTCCATAGCAACATATGCCGCGAAATTATCCCAGAGTTTCAGTCGGCTCTGTTTTTTCTTAGTTTTATTGGAACATAACGTAAAAAATGGATTACATGGTAATACCAGACTTCGTAGAAAGGAAAGGATCTTTATACCTGAGATCTGATCATATGAACTACAGCAGGGCAACGCTGAATTCAAATTGGTGAGTTAATTTCTGAAATTGTTGTTGTTTTTCTCTGCTCCAAGAATTAATAAGTTAAAATTCCAGGTATAGACTATAACATTATGCACAGCTTAATCAGTTTACATACGTCAAAAATTGGTTCTATTTTGGTATTTGGTCATCAAGGTTTATACTTGAATTTTATTTTATAGTCAAGGAATTTTTCATAGTGATTTACAGTTGTCTATTATATTCTAACTTATGCCATTCGGCCACGAAAAAATGACATATCTGATGTTTTACTGAGAATTGGCCCAGTGTCACAGATAAAAATACTGAGCCCATCTGCATATTGCTGTAATGGCTATATGGCTGAATTAATTCTCTTTCAAAAAATTTAAAAAATGGGAAAAACAGGGTACTGAGGTAAGAATTCGGGTCTAGTATAGTTTAGTACCACAAGTACTTCCAGTTGGCGTAGCATAACGAATTTTGCATATGTTATTCCTAATCCCCACCTGACTATGCAATCCAAAAATTACATCACTACGACGTCACCATCACGTCATAGGTCTTGCCAAAGTATAATTATGATCGCCCAAAATGATATCTGCGGTGCCGATAACGAACTCGCTAAAGCCGGCAATCTCTCTCCTATCGTGATGGTTGTGACGAGAAAACGAGAGAAATAGCTTGCTCGATTTTGGGTGATCGTTTGCGCGTTTTGGACGACCATCCGCATTCTTTGGTGGGCCCTATTACGCCACTGTGACGTCGAAAAGACGTAATTGTTCGGTGTCGTAGTCAGGTGGGGGTTAGGATGGACATATGCAAAAATTGTTGAGCCAGGCCAACTAAGTGCATGTGGTACTAAACTATACCAGACCCAAGAATTCTCCCAAGAACTGATTAAAATCCTATCTTTTTTTTTCCAGGCATCAAGCTCGTGAAGCAGAACCTAAGAATTATGACATCAACGTCTTTCCTAAACCACCTGGTAGAAATCTACACACGGCTACGTATGAAAGAATTGGACATTTAAAGAGTAAAGTAGGTATTTGGTGGAGAATTTTTGAAACATGTGTTTATATCCTTCAAAATAAATTAAACATTCGAGTGAATTTAAAATTAATTTCTGTGGGGTGTAAACGCTTGAATAGAGGATAGGATTTTTATATGTACCTCAGGGGAGAGGAGAGATGGAAATATCATTCTGGAGTTTCATTTGTATAACCTATTTCATGTCTGTTGTCCTATTATAACGCAGCAGTTCTAAACTGCTGTTATGATTGTTAGTAGGGGTGCATATCGCACATCTGTGTCTTAGACCAGTAAGGTCTTGAACATGTATCTCTGTTTTACTGTTTAATTATTATGCAGATACTGTTATATTTTTGAGGCAAATAAACATACAAACATACATGATAAGACGGTCTAGTATGAGAAGAATAGTAGAGAAAACCATAACTGACGGGCAATGTGTAGTCATGTACGAGAGGATTGCTCCACTCGTCATTGCCGTAGGGGGGTCACGGAGCCAATGACCAATCATACCTTCTTCCACCATTAAGTTTGACCTTTGCCATATGACCTCTCTTTCCCAGGATAATATGAAAATTCCATCTCTTAACCCTTTTTAGCAAGGGCGTATGAACTACATTACCCCATGAAACACTTTTTTATACAGGGCTTGCCAAACACAACAACAAAATCAGCACTGGAGCAGATCTCTTTAAAACCAGATTTTACCGAACGTGAAACTAGAAAAAGTATGGTTGACGTTGCTTCATTTGGACATGCTATTATTGACAGGTAATATTTTTGATTAACCTGCGTGGGTTGACAGATTTAAATCGTGCCGCTGTGGTCACACAACTGCTGATCGGTTACGGCTTCCTCCACCATCAAGTCCATGCATCCAAAACCAAATCACTGGCTAACTAATCCCATATTCAGCATCAACTGATAACCAGACTAGAGGCCGTGGTTTGCCATATGGTTAAGCCTTATTATCGGCTTTTCTTTCACCCGGGATTAATATGTAAATCATATTCTATTCTTGATAAAGCGATATCAAACCAGTGAATACTTGAACCTTCCACCACAGAGAGTAGTCTAGCAATATTTTGTCACATAAATATCTCTCCCAGAATTGGAGCCTGTGAGAATAAACATAAAAATCCTATTTTTTTCCTTTTTTAGAGAACTTGATGCCCCATCTCGTGGATTTGGAGCTGTTCTGCCAAGACATCACCCAGACTATGATAAACTGTAAGTATGCTGCTTTTTCTTTGATTTGCTCTTTGGTTTGTGTTTTGTCATAGTAAATTGGCCAGGACTTATGTAGACGCGACGGCCTAATTGGTAGAGAATTAAACCTATATATTTTGATATGAATGTTTTCTTGACCTTTGACTCAAAAAAATTCTTCCTATACTTCACCCGTGACATCGCCAATTGTTACGTCATTATCACAGTTTAAGTACGTGAATATTTGTAACAATTCAGTTATACCGGTATCTTAATTATAGGATAGATAGATAGGATAGAATTTACATATTTATCCCGGGGGAGAGGAAAGCCGATAAGACGGCTTATCCATATGGCGAACCACGGCCTCTCGTCCGGTTACCATTCCAAGTCGGGTATGGGATTAGTTTTACTGTATTGTTTGTTTTCGGAAGCATGGACTTGGTGGTGGAGGAAGCCGTAACCGACCAGCGGTTACGTGAACCACCCAACGACGGCGAGGAGTCCAGCAATCCTCTCGCACATAACCATCCCTGCATGGGATTCGAACCTGCGAACCCACGCAGAGTAATTAGAGGTGCGGTGGCGAGCGTATTCCTAACGCTTAGCCCGTTGAGCCACACCGCCGCGCCGGGGGGCCGCTAATGGCCCGCTAATATCCTTCTGTTTCAAATTTTTGCCCCTGATCATTCGACTTTGGAAACCCCTGTTCCAAACCATTCAGCAGAGCCTGAAATATTCAAAAATTTGTGCAATTCTTATCTTAAATAATCTTAGCCATGCCAATGTTTTTATATTTTGTAATAATATTTAGTTTATCTTTACAGACATTTAGAAACAACACACAAGGCAGACTTCACGCCTCCTTACCCATATGATCCAGCACCAGTGAGTAAACTCCATTTAACATTAGATTTTTTCTCAGAATTTTTTTTTTTTTTTGGGATTTGGGATGTTGTTTTATGTGCCAACCCGACTCGAGCTGGATTCAAGTCACAATTTATCAAAGGTTCAAAGACGAGTCAGTAAAAATTATTTCAGTTATTGAAGCGACTTCCGACACTTAACTCGACTTGACTCACTTTTACGGGTTTAGGAACTTCTGCTCAACACTGGCACCGACAGTCGGGCTTATAGGATATGATAGGATTTACATATTTATCCTGGGGGAGAGGAAAGCCGATAAGACGGCTTATCCATATGGCGAACCACGGCCTCTCGTCCGGTTACCATTCCAAGTTGGGTATGGGATTAGTTATATTGTTTGTTTTCAGAAGCATGGACTTGGTGGTGGAGGAAGCCGTAACCGACCAGCGGTTACGTGAACCACCCAACGACGGCGAGGAGTCCAGCAATCCTCTCGCTCATGATCATCCCTGCATGGGATTCGAACCTGCGAACCCACGCAGAGTAATTAGAGGTGCGGTGGCGAGCGTATTCCTAACGCTTAGCCCGTTGAGCCACACCGACTCTGGTCCCTGCAAAACTAAGATTACTGCGTGCTCGTGAAGATTGGTCATAAAATAAACAAATTTATTTTATTTACACATTAGGAACGTCCACCAGATTTCCCAGACAATTCGAAAGCCCACAGGCGATACCAGTCACAGTTCACGGATACAGCAGACTACAGAAGATCAGGGAGGAACACTTGGCAAGATGAATCAGGAGTTTATGGGAACACTGAGGACAAAAGAACAGTGTTCCCCCGCACCAATCCCATTCCTGAGAGACTAGTACAAGGACTGAAATGAAATTTGCAATATCTTTATTTTTGTATGAAATTTTAAATATGAAATGCTGTATAAATAAAACATAACAAAAAATTTGTGTTTTTCATTCATGTTTCCGGGGTTATAACTCAAAACTACTCTGAGTTAGGCTCTGGTAAGATGATCAGATGTTTATGGGAACACTGAGGACAAGAGAATAGTGCGTGTCCGGAAAATTCGCCTTACACAAGTTTGCCGTAGGAAATTTCGCCTAATAGGAAAAAACGCCGCATGAAAAAATCACGAGAGCATTTTGCTGTGAAACAAGTATTTGGGGTAAAAAAGTTAGGTTTATAGGGTTAGGTTAGTGTATGCTCTTACATAACGAATCTTTTTTTAAATGTTTTAACTTAAATGTTTTTATCGCAGATATTTGTTTCACCGCAAAATGATCTTGCGACGATTTTCCAAGCGGCGATTTTTCCTATTAGGCGAAATTTCGTACAGCGACATTTACTACGGCCAACTTGTTTGCAACGAATTTCCCTAGAACCGAATACTGTACCCTCACACTAATACCATCCCGGAAGATTAAAGTGAATTTTGAAATATTTTTTTTGTACGGATTTTAAATATGAAATGCACCCTCAACAATATACTTTATTATATGAAAGAAATGCTTTTTTTTTGTTTAAATTTCACGATATTATCACACAAAAACGGCAAGATAAATCTGGAGTTTATGGAAATACTGATGACAAAAAAGGCATTCCCCTGCACTAATCCCATCTCTAAGAACTAGCACGAGGACTAAAGAAAATTTGCAAATTTTTCTTTTTTTATATGCTCTTCAAAGCGAAAAATTAGGGTCCCATATTTTATAAATATCTCACTAGTTTCTAAGGGTAACATCTTATAATAAGGTGTATCGTATCTATATACGTAGAATGTCGTCCATGGCACGAAGTAGAAAAATGCGGAGTTGATCGAACTGACAATTTTTAACGACGGTTGTTAAATTGAGATACTTGTACGTTATTATTTAGGTAATAATACGAGTTTCAGTTATTTCTAAATTCAAATTATTTTATTAAATCATTTTACGTTGAAAACTTTTTACCCATTTGACCCCAATCCAAACGGCGCCCATGGCCTGCCATACTCTGCATACGACATTGCTTATAATGGATGTTTTCAGTGGTTTGATATAAAAATTCCGACGTCTCAGAAATCAAGGATACGGACAAGTTTTCCAAGCAATTTTTGCATGGAACGAAATCCTTATTCGTAGGAAGGAAAATCTTATTAGGCGGTTTTAAGTTTCGTTTTACTTGGATGTATGGGAGAGAAATTATCTTAGTGCTTAAATATGTCTGCAACTTTTGTCGGTGTCAATAGAATATAGTTTAAACAGTGGTTCCCAAACTTTTTAGGCCGCGCCCCCATTTTATAATTTGTCAAATCTCGCCCCACCTCAAACGAACGAAAAAACGAATGGGGTGGTCAAGATCGGAGGCGCAGTTCTTACCACTTTATGGCAGCTCCTGCCACAAACGAACCGCGGCAGCTCTTGCCATGGTTTTATAGCGCTATTCAGTATTAAGTATCAACGGTATATTCTCAAATTAATGTACCAGATTTCAATTGATCATGCGGAATTATATCTACTTAAACCCTAACCCCAAATCCATCAAGACTGTATCCATAAGAAAAACGTTCCAACTTACCCAATATTTGTCACCATAAGGGACAGCCCTATCTTTACGGCCCACCTGCCGCGGTTACGGCAGCAAAATTTTACCTGCCATTGGTTTTCAATTTGCTGCCGCGGTAACGGCAGCTCGACATTGGTTTGTGGTAGCTAAAAAGTCAGTCGCCATAGGTTTGGCCGTAGCGGCCGTGGTATGGAAATACCGCCATGGTTTTGCGGCAGCTGCAGACGCCACAGAAGACTTAAAACTGCACTTGCAAGATCGGATCTAACATATTTTTAAATTAGCTTCACGCCTCCTCAAAAAATCCTATACATTCTATAGGCTACTTCCACCGTTTGAGAACCAATAATAATCTAAACGTCATTTTGAGAATCTTATGAGCATTTTCTAAAGGTATGGGATTTTGTTTCGAGATTATTATCGATGTCGAAAGCACTTACATTTGCGAAAGCCCTTTCTTCGAAATGAGGAGACTAAAATCCGTCACTAAATGTTGATATAGATTCCAGAAGTATGTGTACCAATATGGAGGTAACTAATTTTGTTCGCCTACTTTACATCAAGTTGTGTAAAGGGACTGAAACTTATGGGCAGGGGGTGTATTCACTTGGCTAACACAGACAGTCCCCAAACTCGTAATTGGACTAAAACAGGGAAAATCGGAATGAAATTATGGCCTGACCCTAACCTGGTACACACACTCCGGGGGTACTGATTGATCAATAACAAATGATGTTGCACGAAATATACAAACATAATTTTGCGAACTCCTATTCTGACAACTTCGAATCACCCTGTTCTATATCATCAACACGCTTGGTTTGTCATAAATAATTTTCTGGGGAATGATTCCTTTTAAACAAAATGCTGACTACGCGAAATGTACATTGACACTCTTTTGGGTAATATATTGTTCACGGTGGTTATCGCAAAAAGTGTAAATTTAACTAATTTTTTTGAGTAATTCGACCTACGAACCTTGCGAATATTATTTATGTAAATTGGTATGTTAGTAAGAAAACCATTTAGTAATTGTAACAGCAAAATAGATGTTTTCCCGAGCAACGACTTCCTTCTTTACTTCCGTTGACGTAACATAGGGAAATGTTTTCGGAGGCCAAAAGTCAGAAAAGCAACAATGCGCTGACGACGTTGAATCAATCACCCTGTTCTACATCATCAACACACCGCCACACTTGGTTTAGTATATATAATTTTCCGGGGAATGATTTCTTTTTGACAAAATGCTGACTATGCGAAATTTAATACGACGCTTTTTACGGCTTTTTCACGGCTACGGTGGTTATATCTACTAGTCGCAAAAAAGGTAAATTTACCTATTTTTTTTGAGTAATCCGAAATACTAATTGCGTATATTGGTATGTTAGTGAGAAATCCTTTAGGTAATTGTAATAGCAAAATAGATGTTTCCCCAAGCAACGATTTTCTTTCTTACCTCAGTGACCTTGGCTAATTCAAAGTTGACGTAACATAGGAATTTTTTCTGCGGTCAAAAGTCAGGAGAGCAACAATGCAGTCGATTCTCATTTTATTTTTCTCGCGTTGTATATCCTTCCTTAGCGACGTAAACATGCTTCTCGTCTTCCTATATCTGTAATTGAATCTGTGATTTTCCCCGAAATGTGTTACAAAAATGCTGAGTTTTCAATTTTCTTTTCGAACTATATATATATATATATTTATAATCAGCATACGTGACATCAACATTGCATGTAACTAGGCCTGGGAATGGTTAATCGATTTTGGATGATTAACGGTTACGAGTTATTTTAACCGTTAACTGACGGTACAAATCATCTTTATGATGTACAATTTTTCAAAAATGATCACGACATCGCAAATTTATCTCCTGCGGTGTTTAATTCAAAAGAATATCACTAACTGTATCGGGAAGGACCCAATAAATGTGAAAATTAATTGAAGTACCAAGATTGCTGATTATGAAAATTTGACAATGATAAATTCCGAGTCAGTTTTCGGTTGAAATATATTGTTGACGATTTTATTGCAAAATCGTATATTCAATGTCATCCAACAAGTGCGCAGTTGATGCTGTTTTCCTTATGATATCTCAAAGTAAAATGTTCTAAACGAAACCGCATACCCGCCATATTTAGCGAGGTACACGTTAATTTAGACCTGACCGGGCATGGTAAAATCAAACCTGAACGAACTAGATTAAACTAGTACAAACCGGTTCAGACTCGAACAAACCATTAAAACGCGCCATACTTGTTCTTGCATCATTGATTTGGTGTACGCTTCTGCTGCAATTTTTCTCTCGTTTTGTAAAATCGTCAGAAGAGATCGTAAAAGTGACCATTTTCAGCTTTCTGTGCCTTCACACTTTCGGCTGCATCGCTAATTATCACCGAAACGTGTTACATAAAACGCTTATTTTGCAAGTTTTTTATTTTCAAACGAAACCGCACAGCCGCCATATTTATCCCAGGTACATGTTAATTTATATCTGGTCGCTCATAGGAAATGCAACATATTGCCAATTCCACGAAAAGGAGTTGTATGTTAGAACCCATTCCAAAAAATATTGTATAATCTGCTTGCTTCATTGACGCACGTAGAACATACTATACTAGCTATAGGATGTCCATAAAGTCTATCAACAAATTAAAAAAAATTATTACTAGGTGAAATGATAAGATTTCGCAATGATGGTTGAGAATTCCAGACTGCCAGATTGCTTCTCTCGCATCTTAACTTGATGTCACTGAGCACAGTAAAGCATCACGCTCATGACACGTTCATTACCTTTTTGAACGTTTAATTAAAATTACCATTGCTCTATTAAATTAATAGAGCCGGCCGGTCCGCGGACCGGTGCCGGTCCGTGAAGCTTTTTTGCCGGTCCGCGAGAAATTTTGTTGTTTTTATGCCGTCTCAATCGCTTTACCGAAGACGAGGTTGCGTTGGTTTTATTACGCAGTTTCTCTTCCGCCGTCATATTGCGACGTATTTCGCGCCGACGTATCTTGGCGCCGAGTAATCACACTTTTCGATTTTTTTGGCCCCGATGCATGGCGAATGCGCTCCGATCGCTTTACGGAAGACGAGGTTGGGTTGGTTTATTACGCAATTTCTCTTCCGCCGTCATATTGCGACATCTTGACGTCGAGTAATCACACTTTTTACTTTTTCGGCTCCGATTCATCGCGAATGCACTCCATAAAATCTGGCAAAATTCAAAAATCTAAAAATCGACACGCGGGCTTTTTCTGTTCTGCGTCATATTCCTGATTATTATGACCATCTATATAAAACGTTATGCATATTTCCTTTGTTTAAATCAGAAAACAGTAAAGAGCAGTATAATATTCCAGTAAGATATGAGTTTGTTGCGACCCTGCAGGTGTTCACGAGACGCGCAAAAAAACATGGGCCGCAAAGATCTTTTCCAATATTTTGAGCAGACATAGTAGGATTTTGATCCTGGTGCTAACTTGCTTAAGTCACCGACGACTTTGTCATTGCAATGTAAATTCATTTCGTTTGAGGCGTCGATCAACTGCAGAGGGACTAATATGATGAACCCAATGAAAAAGAAAAATCTTGATTAAAATTGTGATTCTACTTTAGAGTCCAGATTTAAGAAAGAATCACTGTCACAATTTTGGATATCTCTCGATGGCGAATACCCATCGCTAAGTAATCAAGCAATCAAACTGTTGTCCGCATTTTCAATCAGTTACTGCGTTATGCGAATTAACATTTCCATCACTAGCTTCAATTAAAACGAAGCAAAGAAATCGGCTGCACGCTTCTGCAGAGCTACGTGTTGCAGAAATTCTTTGAGGCCACGTTTGCAATCCAATATTGGAAACGAAACAGCAGCATTATTCTCACTTGAGTTACTTGTGTTTATACATTATTTGGCATGTACATGTTTTTTATGTGAGATGATTTATGCGTGTCTTCCTTACGCATAATGGGTACCCAGTACTGCATTTTATTACGAAAATAGATGTTATTACATTGTGTTTTACCCATTTTAACTTTTGGCCGGCACATTATTTGATAGTTTTTCTTCGTGTGAAATGTTTTTAAGTGTGCCTTTTTTTTTCTAGAATCTTTCTATTGAGTGCCCGACATTGCATTATATTATCTGTTCCGGTCATTTCAATTTTTTGCCGGTCCGCGAGTACATTTAATTTAATTTTACCGGTCCGCCAGGATAGAAAGGTTGGGAACTACTCTATTTAATACACTTCTATATGCATATCATTAGTAGATATCCCTCTAACCCCCAACAGCAACCACAAGCTAATGGTGAAATCAAACTAGAACAAACCAGATCAAACCAGAACCAACCGGATCAGACTTGATCAAACTAGAACGAACCAGATCAAACCGGATCAAACTAGACCAAACCAGAAGCATACTATGACTGAGGTTTACTTCAATTCACGCTTCGTCGCACTATACATTACTCTGCATTACCCCGAGTCGATGGAATATCTGATATTTTACGAAACGCTTGTTTGTCAGGCTTTAATGTTCAAATTTTTAAAGCAGGATTACCTTATCTCTCGTGGTTTCATGCTTTCTAAATTTCAAAATTTTGAAAAATGCTTTTTTTCATGAAAGGGTGCTTTAAATATGATGCATGCTGATATATACGTTACCAGAGGTTTCCGAATGAGGTGCGCGCAGATTGGATTAAGTAGTTTTTTTTTGCCTGATTCCCACCCCTATTTAATTCAATTTATGAATGTACAATGAAAAAAAAAGGGGGGGGGGGGGGTACTCTATTTTGAAGGACAGCTTCCCGGTTTAATTAATGTATCTTTTTATTTTATAAAATCCTCTCGGAATAAGGCCCGGACTAGCATTTTTTCTGACACTATATATACGCTAACAGCTGGCCCTAAATAGTTGTTTGGGTTTACTGATATATGATAGGATAGCTAAGTATTTAGTTGAAAGTTTGGTGCTCCCGAACTATTCGTACCGAGGTGGCGCACAACCTGAACATAGTATGTGTGCCAGGTTAGGGTTCAGGCTGTGCGTCATTTTGGTACGAATACTCCCGGAGCGCCTAAAGCTTTTAAAAAATTCTCAAAAATGCTCCGGAATAGTATCCTGCATCACGTAGCTCACGTCTTGTGGTTCCATGCTTTCTGAGTTTTTCAAAATTTTGAAAAATGCTTTTTTTTTTATGAAAGAGTGCTTTAAATATGATGCATGCCGATATATATGTTGCCAGATGTTTCTGAGTGAAGTGCGCGCAGATTGGTTTAGGATTGATTTTTGAATTATTTTTAATGTTTTACAAATTTAAAAAAAAATTATTTATAAAAAAGGCTCTGGATTAGTAGCGATTGATTTTGATCCGATATTTCCATTATTATTATTTCAATTTATGTATTCCAAATTTTCGTTCTGAACAAGCCTCTTGACAAGCAAGCTGTTTTTAGAGGAGAGGGGGCAGCAAGAATCTCCCGGTTTATCGTAGATTCTTTCTTTATAAAATTCTCTCAGAATAAGGCCCAGGCTAGCATTTTTCTGGAAGAGAGTAATAAATTGCGATATCAACGTTACCACGGGTTTCTGAATAGTTATGTGTAGTTTGCTAAAATTGGAATAAAATAGCTAATAGTTTTATTTGAAAGTTTTTACAAAATTCTCTTTCAAGAATGCTCTGGAATAGTACCGAGTTTAACGTAGCTCATCTCTTGTGATTTCATCATGCTTTTTTAAGTTTTCAAAAATTTAAAATATGCTTTTTTTACGAAAAGGTGTTTTAAATATGATACATGCCGATATATACGTTACCATAGGTTTCTGAATGAGATGCGCGCAGATTGAGTTGGGAAAGCTAGTTTTTTTTTGTATTTTTCAATTTTTTACAATTTGAATAAAAAAATTTCTTTTATGAAAAAGGCTCTTGTCTGGTAGCCACTGATTTCGATATTGACATTTTCAATCCAATCAGTTTATGAATTTGGGGGGGGACTAGAAAAATTCTTCCAGAATAAGGCTAGGACTAGCAAAGTTTTTTAGGAATAAGGCTCGGACTAGCATTTTTTCATGAAATAGGGTATTAAATATAATGCATGCCAAAACCGGGTAGGATGAACAAGTAAGTGCTTTAATTGAAAATTTCATTTATTTATTTTTCTAAAATTCTCTCAGAATAAGGCCCGGACTAGCATTCTATAAAGAGAGTATTAAATATAATGCATGCGATATATACGCTGCCAATGTATTGAGATAAGAATACGATAGCCAAATGTTCTGACTAAAGGAAATTTTTACCATTTTTTATTGTTTTTTTTATAAAATTTTCTCAGAAAAAGTCCCAGATTAGCAATTTTTTGAAAGTTGATATAGTTTGGTCAACACGTTTGCTGTACGATAAATAAAGTACATGGATGTGCAAATTTTTTGTCGGTGGGCAATATAACCAATTTCAGACATGTAGCTGGCCCACACACAAAATTCAGTTTTTCTATGATGCACAACGAGTTAAGGAAGGCAAGAAAAGAGAATGCGACCATCGCTTAGCTTAGCTTTACAGTAAGAAAGGCACTGGGCAAGACGTAGAAGATTTAACGCGGACAAGAGCATTCAGAGGGGTCTCCCTGAATCATATGTTTTTCAAATTCTTCAATAGCTCATCTCAATAAAAAAAATTTTAAATTATTTTCATGTTCTAAGCAGGGAATACTAAATAATCATATTTCTACACAATTGTGAAATTCCATTCAAAAAAAGCAACAGTAATGGCAAACACAGCAATGCAAGCTTTCGGTAAGTCACACAATTTTGGAACTTTATCATCTCATACGGGCCTTAACTGTTAAGGGGATTGCGCGAAGCCTATTCTGAATAGAAATAAAAATAATTAGACTTCGTAATACGAAAAGAATTCGCTTTTCAACTTTCATTGTCTTTTAACAAACACTTTGAAACTATTTGTTAGCGTTTGGTTTATTGGCTTGCTTTCTCAAATAATGGAGTATTTAAAGTCGGCTTTATTATGAAGCAAACCACGACTTATTTATCGGTTGTCAGTCCATATCGGGTATATTATTCCAGACTGGATAACTTTGGGATATGTTTTCTGAAAATATATCAATACATATAAATTCAACGTTTTATATACATTTGTGAAACGGCAATATTATTCTGGATTCGGGTATTTTCTTCAAAGCTCTCGCCACCAATGCAAAAATGCGAGATTTGAGAAAAATAAACCTGCCGCATTTAGTAGTTATTTAGTAGTTATCCGGTTAGGATTCCGGATTTGAAAATTCGAATTTCCAGCGCAATCTTCATTCATAGCCCTCACCCAAACTGGATATTTATTATTTTTATTTTAAGGGGAGCCGCGGGTGTATTTATTTTTTGGCGGGGTCTTTGTACAAAAGATCCCTGAATTCTCAAAAATGCGAGTTTCAATAAACTGTTTGAGAATCAAATGGTCTACTCTCATCAGGAAAATAGGGGTGTGCATTACCAGTCCAATTAGATTCATAATTGATGTCTTATTACTAGAGCTAGAAATTTAAAGGAAAACGCTTAACCGTTAACCGGGTAAAATTAACCGAGTAATTTTGACCGGTTATCCACAGCGTGACGTCCGCCCAGTCCGAATAGCTTCTAATTGATGCCTTATTACTAGGGCTGGGAATTTGATATGAAACATTTTAACCGTTAACCGGGTAAAATTAGCCGGTTAACCGCAGCGTAACATTTGACGTAGTAATTCATAATTTAAGCTTCTTACGTCACATTGGCTCCAGAGCAATTTCGCGTAATCTTCACCCTGGTGTCACTCAAAATTATTCCCAGTAAACCATTCCCAGCTCTACCGATTAGTAATAAAAAATTGAATTTTTTTCCACAGACCTGTTCATTGTGATATCATATTAAAAATTATTTCTAAATTCCGTAAGATGTATTGTAAGAACACACCAAAATGCGTTTTATACCCTATTTCCATATTTTCGCACCGGGAGCCGGGACGTGAACGTGCCATAAACTGACTATTGTACATATCGTCTTTGTGCCTCTTTGTCTGGTGTATTGTACTGTTTTATTGAGTTTTACTTGTATATTTCATGTCTGTTATACTGCAGTTATACTTGTTAGGGGTGCATGTCGCTCATCCGTGTCTTGAGCCAGTAAGACTTTGAACATCTATCCCGTCTCTGTTATACTGTTTAACTATAATTATGCAAATACTGTTACATTTTTGAGGCAAATAAACATAAAGACACACAGTTGCAAGAATTTCATAATATTTTTTTCTAACCCAATTGCGCCACTGAGTGTTTCCTTAAGTGGCGTCCAATCAATCATGTATGACGTCATCGTATCTGAAAGTAAAAGCCTGCAAATGTCTGTTTTTGGCTTGAAATTTTACAGACAACGGAAAAAACGCTTGGCTGGTTATCAGAGTGTCTCGATCGTGCTTCGTTCAGACTTTAGACTCGCAAATACTGTCATATATTTTGCATGCTTGTGATAATAGGGGAATATCGCGGATCTTATGTACAAAACCCCAGCCGCTAATGCAAAGATTTTGAGATTTGAGAAAAATAGAAAAATGTTTTAATTAACAAATTAATAATTATCCAGTTGAGGTTAGGAATGATTTAAAATCTACGAAAAATTGTTATGTATGGTACAGAAACATGCTGTTTTAATTTTAAATAGGGGGCGCAGTTACACCCTTGTCAAAATCTATGCTGATTTTCCTCGACAGCACATCCCGACATTATTCATTTTCACAAAATGTTTTCGCTCAAAGGGTACAAATTCCTGTTTGGAATAATAGGCCTGTTTCAGCAACAATATAAAAGCTCGCTTCATTTATTCAATCGCGAATTAACATTCGCGTGAATATTAATTCTCGCAAAATTGACGTTCGCGTAAAAGGTCGCTCGTCAAACTAACTGAACATTTTAGTAAGAATTATTCGCGCAAAACGTTTTTACTCAAACTGTACTTTACATATGTCTTACTTCTGTGCCAACGTTTTAGTTCATTCCCACCAATGCATTTGTAGCAAAACTATATTCGCGCAATTGTTTCGCACATATTCTCGCAAAAATACATTAGCATTATTAAACTGAGTTCGCACAAAAGTGCATTTCCACAAAATTATTTCCTGATAAAACAATATTCGCGCGAATGTATATTCGCGAAAAACAACATTTCCGCAAGTATCGTTCTTGCAGAAGATTTTCACCTACCCTGCTTTAGCCACACACTGCTCTATTTTACGAACGTGTGATTATTAAATTTCTCCATTTGGCGGCGGTGTGGCTCATCTTGCTAAGCGTTAGGAATACGTTCGCCACCTCCCCTTTGATTACCCTGCTTGGGTTCGCAAGTTGAAATTATTTGCGAGATGATCGCCAGACTCCTCGACGCCGAAGGGTGGTTCACGTAACCGCTGATCTGTTACAGCTTCCTGCACCGTCAAGTCCATGCAACTGGAAACAAAATAAATGTTCAGCTAATCCCATACCCGACATGGACTGGTAACTGGCCTAGAGTCCGTGGTTCGCCATATGATTGAGCTTTATGATTGGCTTTTCAATCACTCGGGATAAATATATATATTAATTATATCTCACCCTTTTTTTATTATTTCAGGTTGGGTACTTGGACTTCTAGCATGGGGAGCGACCATAGCAATGCTGTTGTCGGAACAATGGCGGACATCGTCTATACTGGGAGATTCAGCGGCTGCTATTGATATTCAGGTTTAGTATTATTATCACATAATTTTCATATTTTAATGCCGTATTCCCTCCCCTAATCATTTACAATAAAAAAGGCTCCGGAACAGGTGGTTACGCGGAGACATATTTTGTTGGGAAAGCCTGATCATTGGCTCCATTCGAATATCCTTTGTTAAAGACTCGACGTAACCAAGTAACTGTAACCACAAATGAGACATAATCTAGTGATTCGACCCGACTAGAGACTAGAATGGACCGTGACACTGAGTTCAGGAACTTCCACTCAAAAATACGTTAAAATTACGAAAAATTGATGGAATTTCGAATGTGTTAGTCACTAGGACAAGTCTACTAAAAATGGTGTACAATATAGTATTCGGTTTTCTATCTTGACACCGTCGCTACACGCAAAGTAGTTGCTGATACGTGGGGATTAATAGCGGGATCGGGCTTCCTCTGATCACACTGTCTGTTTGGGTGCGCATTTCGAGTTCTGCGAGAGATAATTGTGGGTGAGAGGATTGCTAGACTCGTCGCGGCCGAAGGGTGATTTGCGTGACAGATGGTCGGTTATGACTTCCTCCACCATCAAGTCCGTGTAACCAGTGGTGGAATTCAAATTTTTTTGTCAGCCGGTTCCTTCACAGAAGTCATATTTTTCAGCCGGTTCTGTTACAAACAGAACATTGACAGTAATGCTAACCGGTTCGCTGATCTCATAAAATTCCGTGAGACGGTTCTATAGAACCGGTGCGAAACGGCTGAATGCCACCACTGCATGTACCTAACTATTCCCATGTATTGACATAGACTAGTAACTGGACGAGAAGACGTGGTTCGCGCTATGATTAAGCCGTATTATTGGATATCCGTTCCCTCGGGACAAATACATAAATATCTATGTTCATCAGGGCGGCCGCTCCACGAGCCTTTCCCCCCAAATACCCCCCCCCCCCCCCCCCATCTCATTACACTGTATATATTATTGTCATTCTTTTCATATTCAATCGCAGGGTCGACACGACGGCTTATGGGCAACATGTACGAAGTATCCAAGCGGAGAAACTCATTGCACGTTCTTTGGAACTGAGATCGGAGAAGTTCTGGGTGAGTAAAAATAACAGTATATATATACAGTGTTCATGAAGTTTTTAAAAAATTTTAAAATCGCAAAGGGAATTTATCGATACAATATATTGTTTTGGCCCACACAGATGTATTAAATAAAGTAAAAACACAATTAAACAATTAGTGCAATTACTGATTAAAAAACAACAAACCTGGTTACGAAATATTGAGAAATTGACTTCATAACAAAAATGAAATTGAAAAGGGACTTTATGGACACCCTTTATCAAAAGAATAGAGTCTCGCTTCGCGATTTTATTACGGTATTCAAATTTGAATATTACGTCATATTATACGACGATCCAATGACGGAAATGTATCCAATAGGTATATTCAAAATCTCTTTTAGTATTATTAATCCTGATTTAAATATACAGTGTGTGCATAAAGTCCCTTCACAATTTCAATTTTGGGGTGCTCCCGAAGTATGTGAACCAAGATGGCGGACACCGGAACGTAGTATGTGTACTCTATCAGGTTAGGGTTATGCCATAACTTCAAGTACAAATACTACGGGAGTCACTTGGCTAGTCCGAGAACTCGTAATCGAACTAAAATAAGGAAAATTGGAATAAAATTATGTCCTAACCCCAACCTGGTACACATACTACGTACCAGTGTCCGCCATATTGGTCCACATACTTCGGGAGTACCCAATTTTGTTATAAAGTCAGTTCTCAATTATCATATCTCAACGAGGTTTGTTTTATTTCAATCAGTGTTTATTTGAGTTTTGGCTTCATTTGATAAACCAGTAGGAGCAATAAACTTTATATGGCATCGATAAATTCCCTTTGCAATTTCTCCGACCGCGTAACATGCAATTTATACAATTCGAACGAAGATTTGAATCATATGTATCAGATATAGATGAACTACGCCCCGCGGGCCAAATCCAGACCGTGGGGTAGTACAATCTGGCCCGCCTGATGCTGCCACAACCAAACTAAAACCAAATTTTGATGTTAAGCTTTTGAACAGCTGAAGAAATTTGTTGAGGTTGCGATTAAATTTAGTTTTGTCATGAGGTTTTTCACTTTGTCTTTCGTATCATTGTAAGTATTTTTCGCAAAATGTAACTTTTTACGTCACACATGGCCCGCCAGTCTAGGCGGGCAAAATTTTTGGCCCCTGGTTCAAAAATCGTGTCCACCCCTGATATGTATCCATCCTTAGCCCCACCCTACAGCCTGTATGGCATCAAATTTTGTTATCAGAATATGCAAACTGGAAATGAAATTATAGTTTCCCCTGGCATCCGTTCAATCATTGTGGTTTTATGATGAGTGAAAACGAAGGCAAAACAAGTCACGGTCTGCTGGCTAAGCACACGTCACAATGAAACAGAAAATATTCTTACGCTTTGATAGGTATTAAAACATGTAATTCAGTGGTTCACAAACTTTTTATTCCTGCGGCGCCAAATTTTCAAGAAAAAATTACGGAGCACGTACACGAAAAAAAAATTCTGATTTCAAATAAAATTCGATTTTAAAATCATCAGGTATTCAAAAATGCCCAGCTCTATTCGCAACTCATACAACATGGCTTATATTTTCGATAAATCTTCAAATTCTTCGCTCGATTTCACATCGTCTGATATATTATTTACGAAACAATGGTTTGTTTCTGCATGATTGACCACCGCGGAAAAATATTTCTGAGAAGTGTATTTGGGTAAATGATGATTCAGCGCGTTTTGTGGTTCACTTGATATATGTAGCAGAAAACAAAATTTAGATGAGCGTTCCGCATATGGGCTGGGCAATTAGAATCGAATAGTAAATTATTCGGTGCTCCCGAAGTATGCGAACCAAGATGGCGGACATCGGAACGTAACATGGGTAACAGGTTAGGGTTAGGCGATAATTTTTTTCCAATTTTCCTTATTTTAGTCCTATTATCAGTTCGAACACTAGCCAAGAGCCTCCCGAAGTATTTATACCTAAAATTATGGCCTAACCCCAACCTAGTACACATATTACATTCCGATGTCCGTCATCTTGGTTCGCATACTTCGGGAGCCCGAATTATTCGAATCGGTTCAGACGAAAATTTCGAATCGCCGCCATCTTGTTTCCTTTTTTCCTGTCAGCTAAAGGTCTAGGTGATTTCCACCCTATTTTTTTCATTGATGCTGTAATTTAACAATTCAATGCAATATACCATGTTTCCGAAAATTAAACGAGAATATCGGTTGGAAACCGAAGACTTATCGATCGATAGTTAGGGGATCCCCCAAAACAGAAACTGCAGTTTCGATTCATCCGCTCTTGTAACTTGCGCACTGCGCATCGCACACACACACTCGGCGGGTCTCAAAATTCTCTTGCTTTACAAAAATCTAGATCACTATATCAATAATTGGTTGATAACTCGCTAATTATACGACATAATTCGCCCAAAATCAATAGGCTTCTGGTCCGAGATAAGATGAATGCACATGCAAAATATGGAGCAGATTCAATCTCGCTTTCGTGAGATATCGCGTGCATCTAACAGACAAACAGACAAACATACAAACATACAGACATACAGACATACAGACATACAGACATACAGACATACAGACATACAGACATACAGACATACAGACATACAGACATACAGACATACAGACATACAGACATACAGACATACAGACATACAGACATACAGACATACAGACATACAGACATACAGACATACAGACATACAGACATACAGACATACAGACATACAGACATACAGACATACAAATACCTATCAACTTACTTACCGATTAAAATCGATAAGTAATTACCGATTAAAATCGATAAGTAATAAATTATGATGTTAGAAATAGTGTTTCATATAGGTAGTTGTTTTTTCAGAGCCTTCCTCTCTGCTAAACACCCCTCTAATATAAAACTTACATTGAAAGGCACTTTAAACAAGAGAGCGATGCTCAAGTATATACCCATAAGCGCCAAAACAAAAGTAGTACTGGTGTTCAATCAGTCACAGTATACTACCGGTACCGCAGTCTTAAGACTTCGCCTGATCACTAACGAGAACGCGGAACCGTTACAAGGCGCGCAATCTTACTGACGTCACCGCTCATAAAAAACGAATCGCTTAGAGCCCACAGAAATGAAAGTAAAAATATAAAATAAATGGCCTTCTACCAAAAAATACAATTCTTAACCACTGAGAATTTCAAAGCAATTGGTCCAGTATTTAATGAGAAGAGCGATTTTATACGATAACAACAAGAACTAGAATACAAAATGACAAATCCATCCGTAGGCCCACTCCATATCCGAAACATAATTTTTTCAGCCGGTATTATCGGGTCTCTTCTAATATTTGGAATCATTGCTCCAAACAAGGCCATAATAAAAAGGTCATATGAAAAATTGGTTTAAAATTTTCTGGCGCAAAATATTTAAATTGCTAAAAAGCGCCATATACTTTCATACTACACACACACAAACACTCACAAACATACACAAGACACTCACACACCCAAATACACGAACGCGCACACTCATACACACACGCACACATGAAATAACATGTTTTTTTTCTATTTCAGGCGTGATTATCGGCTGCCGGGCTCTCCTTATCATAGCAATTATATTCGGAATCATAGCTGCATTGATCATCGTGTTCTCTTTCAAATGTTCGAAGCACGGACCACAAGAACAGGAGAAGAAAGCTCAGATCGGGAAATACGGCGGAAGCGTGTACCTGGCTTGCGGTGAGTCAGATTACACGGCGCTTTTGTGCACATTCCACTGCTTTCTAGGCACTATAAAAGTATCCACTGTGGCGATCTGCAATGGATGTTTCTCCGACCTTTGACCCCCGGAAAATTCTTCCCATTATTTACCATTGGAAAATTGTAGGTGCATTTTAAGAGTGGTTTCGCGAATTGGCGCCTATAAACTGGTTTATATGTTTCATATCAATATTTTGATTCAGAATATTCAACAACCTGTCATAAAAAGTACTTTGGAAAGTTCAGCCTGGGTTATCGAATCTATTCAAAACTAATTTTTGATTACTGCAATAAAAATAAATCTTTAAATAAGAAAAAATGATCATTGAATTATTTGATTCATACTTCATACCAAAAATCTGTCTGAGTGACGCAAGTGTCTGAGCGGCTGCTGAAGCGTCTATTGTTCAGCCACTCTTAGCAGCTTGCTGATTAGCCAATGTTACTTCAATCTATTAATTTAGTTCGAAACTGCTTATCTATCTTCAAGTAAATATATAAAAAGGAATCATATCTAATATTCTATAATATTTAGGAGTCTGCGTAACCGTGGCAGCAGCGTGGTACATCACTGATGTCTACATGACAATAACGTTGCCAGATCCTAAAGGCCGACCAATGAAATGGATAACGGGAGAAAGCGTTCAGGTGAGATATTAATAGATTGGTGAATCCAGTGATTCCCAAACGATGAGGCGCTCCCACAAGGGAGCGTAGACAATGTTTTTGAGGGGCGTAATTGAAAATGAAAGTATTTGTTCGATTTCATATTACCCGCCGTATTTTGGGTACTTACGTTCCATCCACGTATTTTCAACGTGTTTTATGAATAACGTGTTTTTTGAACTCCACAAGGGCGCTGTCGCGTGTAATATTACTCTGGTGATAATTTGTTTTTCTGCTAATTTTGATTGAATAAATTTTTATAATTTTCCTGTCATCCCCTCTAAAACTTTTTGTTACGGTCCATGAACGCACATACGCGCTGTCGCGTGTATAATTACTCTGGTGATATGTTGTGATTTTGTTCTTCTGTTAATATTCATTGATTAAATTTGTATAATTTTTTTTTTTCATTCTCTCTTAAACTTCAGCCCACAGGTGTCGCTGACTCGATGACTGTCACAGTCTTTCGCGACTCCTTATCAATTGCTATGAATCTCTCACTTGTATGAATTCTTATGTGTATATTTACATTTTTACGATTGTCATTATACACGTTTGTCATTTTTTCGTGCTTTAATTTTTGTGTTGATTCTTGCATGATGGGAATAAATTATCTATCTGAATCTGAATCTAAAACATACTTGTGCCTTAATATCTGTTATTTGTAGCTTATTGTTAGCTAGCTATTTTTGAGGTGGGGCGCGAGGCTTGATGAATTCTAAAATGGCGGTGTGGCTTGAAATGTTTTAGAACCACTGGGTGGGTACAAACGCCTTGTACCGCGGCCCTTTCTTGGGTGCTCACGGAGTATTTGTACCAAGATGGCGCACAACCTCAACATAGTATGTGTACCAGGTTAGGGTTGTTCAGGTTGTGCGTCATCTTGTATGAATAGCTTCGGGGCGGCCTTTCTTGTGGCGTATCTACGTAAAATGGCGTCTATAGCAAAGGTAAAAAATATTTAAGTTTAGAGATACCATCAAGTCCACGCGTCCGAAAGCAAATAACTAGCTAACTCATCCCATACCCTACATGGACTGGTGACCGGGCGTGGCTAGCCATATGGTTAAGCCGTCTTATCAGCTTTCTTCCCCGGGATGAATATGTGAATCCTATTCTATATTTGAGCAATTTTTTCTTGCTTTTCAGATGGCATTGGCTGCCGGCATCCTCTGGTTGATTGGATCTGTGTTCGTGTTACTGGGATCCCGAACGTCTCGTCGCGACATCATGATGTACGAACACAAAACTCCCCTGCATCAAGAATATATTTAAACATTCTAAAAAGCATATGACGTCACTGATGACGTACCAGACTAAAATTTTTTGAATATGTATCTCATCCAAATGATTTGACGTAACTCTGTGGTTTCCAAACCTTTTGCTACATTCCTCCATTTTCTTTTGGTCCGTGAAATACGTTAATTTTACAATACAGTTAAATTTTATTCCCTTAAAATTTCTCTCTTGAGTGTACTCTCTCTCCGGTTGGAATACTCTGAAACTAAACGAATATGTTTAATGTAATATATTTTATTTGCTTGAATATATTGCTAAATGGTGAATTTGATATTATTTTTTCATTTTTGGAGGTATACCCGTATAGTGTGTGTGGCAGGTTAGGGTTAGGCCATAATTTTATTCAAATTTTCCTTATTTTAGTTCTATTACAAATTCAGGGACTGTGTTGTGTTAGTCAAGTGAATACTCCCTGCCCATAGATTCAGATTCAGATATTTATTTTCGTCATACAGGAATCAATTCAAATCAAAAGAAAAACATAGCAAACTAAATAACGAAAAACATCGATTCATAGCAATTCACGTGGGATCGCGAAAGACTCAGTGAGTCATCCAGTCAGCAATACCAAATGCTGTAATATATAGCAGCAAATATAGCAATGAAGCAATCTGATAAAAATAACTATAACTTACACAATCGTGGGAAAACCACACAACAATAAATTTGAAATAGATTAGACAACAGGAACAACCATTACGATTCATCCAGAATAGATAGCTTATTCGACACGTATCGTTTCAATATTATGTTGTTGTTGTTGTTCTTTTTCTTTGACACGTTTTTAAAAAGTCGCTTTTCTCTTCGAATACTGGACCAATTGCTTTGAAATTTTTAGTGGTTAAAGGTAAAAATTTTCTCCAGAAGGCTATTACTTTTTTTTCGCTATGACGTCATCAAAATTATGTGACTCTACGTGTCCATATATTTGAGCATAGCTCTGTTGTAATAGATAGCATAGTTTTCAGGCCCTTTACACAGCTTGAGGCGAACAAAATTAGTTACCTCCATATTGGTACCTCCATACACATATCTTTTCCAATACGTGATGACTACAAAATTTTTCAAATCTAATCTTGAATAGGATTACTCGGAAGATATGTGACTTTTTTATTGTACGATACACATAAATTCCTGAAACTATGGAAGACAGTTCGCTGAGTGTTCACGCACAATAAGAAATATGTTTCATCGATAAAAAAAGGGGAATTCTTTTCGAACTTGAAAAATTCTCGATTTGAAATTTTTGTCTGAACCGATTCGAATAATGCACTCTTCGATTCGAAATGCCCGGCACTAATTATCGGTCACAAATGAGCCCATGCATGGTTATGCTAAATTCTTGTAGCTGTTGAAAAATCTCTTTTCTCCCGAAAACGGGCGCAATGCCCCATCCACAATGTTAAGCGCAAAACCTATTTTACTTTTCATTTCACAAAAATAGCAACTCCCAGGTTCTTCTTAGTTTCATTGCTTGGTAAGGTTATTTCACAAGGTTGTTGAGCATGAATTGCTTGGACATAAATGGGATTTAGAATCTACCGATCAGAATACCACTATAATGCCAGTGGAATGATAAACTGACGGGCCATGAGTGCTAAAACCCTCCGGAGGGGGCCATACGACATAAAAGCTGGGAACCACTTGACTATCTATTAAAGCATTACGATTACGAATGTTGGCATCGCAGTTAACACATTAGGACAGGTTTTGAATATTTATCCCGAGGAAAGGTAAGCCGATAAGACGGTTTATTCATATGGCGAACTACGGCCTCTCGTCTGGTTACAAGTAGAGCTGGGCATTTTCGAATACCTGATGATTTCAGAATCGAATCGAATAATTTTTTCGAATCGAATCGAATCTCGAATACTTGGAAGATATGAAATTGTATGAAACTTTCTTATTATTTTAGGTCTTCCAGACACATAAATTACTGAAAACATAGAATGCATCACTGAAAAAAAAAAAAAAAAACACGTTTTCATCAATACCTCAATACAGAAAAAAGTTATATGTCAGAATTGTGTTGAAAAAATATGGCTTCAATGAAAAAAAAATTGAGAAATGTACCTCGACCCTTGGCAGAAGAGTAAAATAAGATGGCGGCGATTCGAAAATTTGCTCTAAACCGATTCGAATAATTTACTATTCGATTCGATTCGAATATTCGATTCGAAATTCCCAGCCCTAGTTACAAGTTCATGTCGGATGTGGGATTAGTTATTTGTTTTCGGATGCATGGACTTGATGGTGGAGGAAGCCGTAACCAACCAACGGTTACGTAAACCAGCACCCGACATCGTCTCTCGAACAAAATTATTCCCGACGAGATTTAAACCCTCGCAGGGTAATCAAAAGAGCAATGACAAGCGCAATTCTCCCGCTTTGCACGATGCGCCACGCCACAGAGCAATTATTACAGCAGTATAGTAAAAAAATGAGTTGAAGTTAACTCATTTCTCAGCTACACAGTTAATGGCATACCAATACTTATGCGCGACCTTCGTGCAAGAACGTAACCCGTCCAATTTGATTTGTATAATGACGTAATATGACGCTTACTCGCGTGGGTTTTGCTTCTAACAAGATGAAATAAGTCACTGATATCTAACAGTATCTCTAAAGACTCACTTCGCTGCCAAAGTTATCCAAGGTATATAAGAGCGCATTTTCATTTATCTCGGTTGGTTCATTTGTTCCCGGCCACGCCTATGCCTCCGTGTCCACATATTTGAGCATTGCTCTCTTCTTGACAGTAAAAATCCTCATTGTCGGAACAAACTTAGTTTTCTATGTGAGATGGCAATATGGAATTTTGACGCAAAGATATAGATAAATTTTTAGCCGACTGAAACTTTCGCCTTCAGGTAATCAGTCAGTAATCAGTAATTTATTTCTTCACAAAACTATGCTATACTATCACAATCACAAATTCAAAAAAAAATTAAAAAAAATCGCATTTCAGGGTGAAAAGAAAAGCCGAAAACCTATGGGTCGCCTAAAAATCCTTTTGGGTCGCTTGCTTTTTTATGACAAAATCCCAAATATTACTGATTTTATTTTCAAGTATTTTTCTTTATTAATTTTTATTTGATATTGATGCGTTGCTCAATATATATATATGTGGAAAGCATCACGGTCAAAAACCTGGCGGCATCTATTTTGCAAAGTAAAGCCATGCCACGAAAACTCGCTAACAGCTGACAAGCCCAGCTTTCTCACTTTGAGGTAATTTCTAGTAAAATTGAAAATTATATAAAAATGATCGTTTTACATTAGTACTTTAATGTTGCGGCCATAAAAACACTACATGTCGTTTAGTATTTGAGCATATCCACAAGTCGCGAGATTTTACAAAATTTATTTTTGAAAAAAATTTGGGTGGCTCGAAAAATGGTTGGGGACCACTGGTCAGTATTATGACCCTGACGCTGTCATAGCACAAATGAAGACTTCAATATGCAGAAAAGAGCCATACTCAAATATGTGGACGCGAAAGCCAAACGAAGTAACATCAAATCTTTAACAGTTTCTGTAGTCTGGCCACGATATCACCGAGATGTGATCAAGGAACCACAGCACGCAACTTTTAATTTAGATAAAGTTATCACACAAAACTTTGACGTTTAAAACGATTCCCATAAGGCCCACAGAAATTTTTAAAATAAATGAAAGTAATAGCCTCCGAGCGAAAAATATAATCTTTAACCCCTAAAAATTACAAGGAAATTGGTCCAGCAGTCATTGACGAAATGCGATTTTTTCAGAACAACAAGAAAAGAGATCAATGCTCAAATATATGAACACAAAAGTACAAAACGCCATAGTACGAGTATGCAATCTGTCACAGTAACCTATCGGAACCAGTCGTTACGATGTCATATAAACGTTGGAGACAGTCATCACGTTGTCACAAAAAGTGTTCCCTTCATTAATAATAACAAAACGATTCATAATAACACTCCGTGTACGATAAGTGAAGTAATAATTGCTATAATGATAGGCAGGCTTTTTTGTAAACAAACTAACCTATGAGGAATTGTGATGTTACCGCGTTGTCAGTTGTGTTGAGATATTCAGAGTACATGTTTAGATTGCTGATTGCTTATAAATTTGCTCAAACCACGGTTAAATGGATTTGTATCGCCGGAGTTACGGCTTTGAGGCAGACGGGATATTTGAAAATTGCTATAGCAAGATGAAGTGGGTTTGTACCGTTGGGTACGATTTGGGGGCAGGCGTGTTTATTGGAAACTTGTCAGAAGTAGGATTAGGGGTTTCTGAACCGTTTGGGGTACGGTTTGAAAGCGGACAGGGTTATTACAATTGTTGGGAACTTGTTTTTAAGCACGGGCAAGCGCAGCGCACTCATTCAGAAATATAGAAGATTTATGTTTGATTGGCGTTGCGAGAGGCCGAGAAAGGATTATAGCGTATAATTGCATTTTATTATTTGCCATTGTCATAAGACTTGAAGTACTTCATGTACATATAATCAGAAAAACAGGGATATTTTGTAGAAATTGACCCTAATGCAAAAATGTTACATTTGAAAAAAAAGCGCCGCAGCCACGTTTTAAAATAACAAATTAATGATCATCCAATTCGGGTTCGGGAGGATTAGAAAATTTGAATTTCGAGAGCAATCTGAATTCCTAACCCTAACTAGATGACTACAATTTTTTCTATTTTGAGCGGTGGCGGAGGTGCTTTTTGCAGCGGCTTTCTACATGATTCCAAAAACAGCTATGATGTAGCGTAGCGAATTCCACATATCTTAGGTTCTTGGAAAAAACTCTTGAATAATTTTAGGATGGCTATACTATTGGTCCATACATAAGGAGTACTGACTTATAAGGCGGCGAAAAAAATGAAAAAAATAATTTAAAGGGCGACCTGTGGTTCATAAAATATTGCGAGTCCGACACTATAATTCCTAGAGTACTGGCTTATAAGGCGGCGAAAAAAATTAAAAAAAGTAATTTGAAGTGCGAACTGTGGTTCATAAAATATTGCGAGTCCGACGCTATAATTCCTAGAGTACTGGCTTATAAGGCGGCGAAAAAAACGAAAAAAATAATTTAAAGTGCGACCTGTGGTTCATAAAATATTGCGAGTCCGACACTATAATTCCTACGCTCTCAAAATCGGTATGTATTCTTCCGTGTAGGATTTGATTTTGGGTTTCAAACTTTCAAGCTTATTTTATAACAATATCCGATTTTTTAGAACCCAAATTTTGTCAACTTAAGCTAAAAATGTCTTACATTGTACGCGAGGATGCGCCTTACCAAGCGGGCGACCTGGGGAATCCCCAGCAACAACCCCCATCTTCCCAACAACCTATGTTGCCTTCTCTACCACAGCTGGTTGAAGCCCCTTTTGTACCGATGGTTCACGTCAAAGCGTTCAAGATACTCGGGGTAAGACTTATTTTTTGTACACAATGGTTATTTTGTTATTATGCTTCTTTTATAAAAAATCGCTTTTCGCTTCAACTACCGGACCAATCGCTTTCTTTGTTTTTCAACGCTCCAGTAGTATTCGTAACAAGATGGCGCACAACCTGCTAACCCTAACCTGGTACACTTGCCATCTTCAGGTTGTGCGCCATCTTGGTGCACATACTACGATAGCACCGTTTTTTCAGTGGCTAAAGCAGTGGTTCCCAATCTTTTATATTCAGTCTGAGGCTTTTAGCACTCATGGCCCCCCTGTTTATCATTCCAGTAGAACTTATTGTGTTATTTTGATTGATAGTTCCAAATCCTATTATGTTATAACAATTCTTTTGTAACGAAAGGAAACACACTGTGAAATAACTTTATTCAAGCAAACTAGCAAGAACGGAGAGTTTTGTAGTGAAAGTAAAATTGTTTTTTTTGCTTGGCATGATGGCCCCCATCCAACTGCCCTGTGGCCCTCTTGGTGGGCCACCGACCAGCGGCCCCCAGTTGAGAATCACTGGGTTAAAGATTATGTTTTTTGCTAGAAGGGTATTATTTCATTTGTTACTAATTTTTTTCATAAATCCTCTAAGATCGGATATTTCGTCCAAAATTTCGCTGTTTTATTTTTTATTCATGGGGCACGGTTTTTAACCAGCCAAGCCATCTTTCCGTTTGATTTTGCAAATTTTGGCACTCAAATGTCGGAGTTGATTTGATACCGGTAACGTCGCTAGGTGCATATGAAAATTTACCTTACTGACTCTCCTTGAATCCGACTATTGACATGATGAGAAGCCGTCGGTAACTTACTGATCGTTCTATCGGCTTTCATATTTTGTGAGATAAACTAGGAAATCTATTTCGCGGCTTATCAATCACAACAGAAAATCAAGATATTTGACAGACTGACTGATCCTATACTACCACAAAAGTAAGCGTTTCAGCAAATACATCAACAGACAGATTAATTCAATATTACCACCAAGAGAATGCGTTTCAGCTAAACCCAATTTTTGTTTTCCAGTTCCTACAAGCAGTTGGTTCATTCCTGATATTACTCTGTGGAATAATTATTCTGGCAGCAAGTTCAAGTTCCAATACCTCTTTTGGAGGGAAAAGCGTCGGCGGAGCAGCGATGGTAACTGGAGTAGTGGTAAGTAAACCAAAGCTGTGAGGTCGGGGAAAGATTTAAACCCGACTAGAAATTGCAGTCATTCATAAAACGACTCTCTCTTCCCGGAATTAATAGGAAAATTCAGCGATGGATGCGTTAAAATCCATGTGGTTTTTCAAATAAAAAAATACGGAGAGAACTCTGTGAAAAATGATTCGTGAGAAGTTGCGATATTTTTGAATTTTGCAATATTTAGAATACAATACGCTCATGTCTGCGCGTTTCGCCACTCTCTGAATCGCATGACTCATCCAGTGACACATTTTTTTTCAGTGTGGCGTCTCTTCGGCCTTCGGAATTTTAAATGCTTTCAGGACTACGGAATGTAGAGTAAGTTCTATATAAATGTTCAACTGACGGTGTTTTATTGGAAAAAATATTATATCCGTAGTCACTCATATAAGAAACTCGTCTCTTTGCAAAGAGTTACCGGTAACTGGAATGCCAAGAGCTTATTGGACACGTAGTGGACATAGCGATCGTTTCAATATTATGTTGTTGTTCTTTGACACGTTTTTAAAAAGTCGCTTTTCTCTTTGATTACTGGACAAATTGCTTTGAAATTTTCAGTGGTTAAAGATAAAAATTTTCTTCAGAAGGCTATTAATTTTTTTTTGCTATGACGTCATCGAAATTATTGCCCGTAGGTGGCGCTACGTGTCCATATATTTGAGCATGGCTCTCTTGTCACTCTCTCAGAAGTTATGAAGACTCATCTTAAAGATACGACCGACCACTGAAATTACTAGTGCTACCGGACCTTAAGTTTTACAAATTCCTCTTCCAACTTTGATTAAAGCAGTGGTTTCATACTTTTTAAGGAACCCCCCATTTAGGAATTTGTTAAGTCTCGCGCACCAACATATAGTGAGAAGAAAGTATGTTTTTTTGAAAACATGTTGAGAATAGGTGGATGGAACGTAAATAATGAAATGTGAATCCAAAATAAGGCCGGCAAGATCAAATCTAACAAATATTGTTATTTTTAATTAGTTTCATGTCTTCTCAAATGGTTGCATACGATCCCTTGTGGGGCGCTCCCTGACGTCTGAGAACCACTGGATTAAAGTAAATACATAAAAATAACTAAATACTAAACCCCGACTCTAATCAATTTCAAATATTCTTTTGCAACCTTCAGGCTATTACAGGAATTGTGCTATCAGTTTTCTCAGCAATTGGATCTTCTGGTATATCAGCATTCGCCACTTCGGTCTCTGCCGTCTGTGCAATGATGAGCTACTCGGCCAATAAGATGGACGACTATGGCTTTCGATATAACCGCCCTTCCCGTGACAGTTGTCCGGTAATTTTTTTTCATTATATTTGAGAGTAGTTAAGAGTGGGTCAATAATGTTGTGTGTATGCATCCAGTCCGAAGTGCATATACATACAATCCGAGGTGCATATGCAGCCAATCTGATATGCACATACAGCCAATCCGAAATGCACATACAGCCAATCCCATATGCAAATACAACCAAGCTGATATGCATACATAGCCAATCTGATGAGGGAAAGAAGCCAATCTGATATGCATATTTAACTAATCCGGGGTGCGTATGCAGCCAACCCGGGGTGCATATGCAGCCAACCCGGAGTGCATAAACATTAAATCCAATGTTCTGCATCATATGCAGGCAATATGTACATGGACAGACTACGGAGTCGGTAATTTTGTACACTTGTGGATGGATGTGGATGCGGTTTTGAAGCGACCGAAAATGCATATGCATACACTCCGATGTACATGAGCATCCACTCCAATGCACATATGCAGCCGATTGGGTCCAGTGTCATGACTGATTCAGCCTTCTATTGAATGTTATTCTCGATTATCCGTTACATTCAATGATGTTTGAGAGTTGGTTGACTTCAAATGTATATATTGCAATCTAATATCAAGTATCGCCCGTTAAGTCGCCTGGTCTCGACATGGGTCTTGTCTGTGTTGAAAGGGGTGTCAACTGTTCGGTAACATAGACGTAGCCAGGAAAGTGGGAGGCTATAAATTTGGCTGACCGCGCTCTTGTACGTTATTTATGTTTTACTTTATTCATCTCGCGCTTGGTGATGGAAGTTTAGAACCGTATTTCATTCTGTTGTTTATTCAGACCCCAGTTTCCGAAGTCTTGGTTCTGCTCATCATTGTATCGGCGCCAGTTTTTATTATATCAATCGTGCATTCTGCCTTCAGCTGTAGAGCTATGTGTTGCCTGAGACCTCAGCAGGTATGTATGTAAAGTTAAGTCTCTTAAATCCATTTGGGGCGGCTCAATGAGATGTCCCAGTGCAGTGGTTTCCAAACTTTTTGCTCGCGCGGCGCCAAATTACTGTATCGGAGGAAAAACACACGACGCATTTACACAAAAAAATTGCTGCCTTCGAATAAAAAAACTCAATTTTGTGATCGTAAGAGAACACAACGTGACGAAAAGTTGAAGACATGGAATGGGTAATGAATTTATTGATTCATGTATAGATCATTTAAAATAGAAAGAAACAAATAAAACATTTAGAATAAATACAATATGTGAAAATATTCCAGCATATTTTAGTTATATTACACAATTTTGTTAATTCAGGCGCACTTAGCCAATCTAGTGCACCGCGGCGCTTTCTTTGGGAACCCTGCCCCAAATTGAGGGGGAGGTGTATATTTTGTTGTTGGTGATGATGAAACTTGTGTTATGAATTTGACTCACCATCTGCACTAATAAATACGCTTCTTTCTGGATATTCAAATACAATTATATTCAGGTTAACAATTACAGTGGGGTGACAAACCTCAAAATTATGGGGAGGTGCGGGTGTACCTTTTATAAAAGGGGGATTTTTTTTTCGCTTTTCTGCAACGAGTAGTCCGGTTGTTGGCAAGTTCGATACAATAGAGCAGGGCTACTCAACTGGCGGACCGCGGTCCGAATCCGGACCTTTCGGGTATTCGATTCGGACTGCACCTAATTATTTATTTAGGATCATTAGCCCCACTTTTGAAGTTTCCTTTTATAAAATCACTTTTATAGGTTTAAATATATATATGAAAAGAACTCTAACGCCATATTAAACAATCTTATATAGCTAATAATCATTAGTCTGTCGAGCAAGTGCGTGTTTAAATATAATTTCTGGAAGTCCGGACCCAAATATTTTTGAAGTTTTGTATGCGGATCTTCGGTAAAAATAGTTGAGTAGCCCTGCAATAGAGAACCCGTTCTAATAATTTGGAATCTATCACTGGCTAACAGGTATCTACTTACTTCGTAGGTCGTCATGGTTAACAATAATCTTCATCAGGCGACAAAATTATAAGAAGCAAATTTTTGAGGAGCTGTTTAGCTGTCTGTGATATTCAACCCACCGTGCCTTCTCTTGCTTGTTCCGTGTAAATAAACGTCTTTTTGCAACTATTTGTTTGTGAAGCGACTGTCAAGCTATTTATGCGTAGTTGAGTATCCGTTGGGTCGCGTTATGCTGGATATCATTGATGGAACATGTTTTTTTTTTATTGTGTTTGAACGCACAACGAACGGCCTGATCCCAACCTGGTACACATACTACGTTCCGGTGTCCGCCATCTTGGTTCACATACTTCGGGAGTATCCAACAAACTGTCTGAGTAATAGATTCTATGTTTTCAGTAATTTTTGTGTTTAGTTGTCTGCTATGTTGCTGCCTTCTCTTGCCTGTTCCATGTAAATAAACGTATTTTTGCAACTGTTCGTGGTTGGCTTGTGAGAACCTGAATCTGAATAATAGCAGAATGCTCCAGGATAGTGTTTTAGCGGATAGTAACTAGATTTCAGGTTCTAATTGTTACAATACCGTGCCGGGAAACTAGAGGGTCTCCTTCCATTTCTGTTAACTCAGCCAGAGAATAGTCTAACTATAGACTCTAATCAAATATAGGTAGACAATGTGGTGCCGAAAAGAATAATCCTTGAAACGCATGAACTTCTTGAGCATATCGGTTTTTAAAAAATTACAATTCTCAATAGTGGCTCAAATGTCGAATGTTTATTGTAAATGGGCTTATTTTAGCATATGCTGGGTCTTACTGTATAGTCAAATGGCATAAAATTAATTTCTCGCCATTTTGAATCGATCTCCTGCTAAGTTGACTGTAGTAATAAGATTTTGTTTGAGGATGAGGCAGGATGGATCAGTGGTGTATCTTGAATGATCCGTAACCCGACTTGACTCGCAGTTTAGGGACTTATGATCATTGATCATAACTCTTTATTAGACACCATAGGTTAACTATGTTGGGATGACACGTTATGGTTGTTTCCATCCATTCCCGTTATCTCGGCCTGAAATAGGAACTCTGACTGAAGTAGGCTATGCCGAACGCAAAAATAATCATTCAAACGTAAAATCTCCTTTTTTGATCAGCGGCTGCAATTCAACGTTAAATGAAAAGCAGGAGGGAAGTGGTTCCCAACCTTTTATGGCTCGTGGCCCCTTTTCGGGGGCCTTTAGGACTTATGGGACCCTGTTTATCATTCCAGTGGTATTTATAGTGTTATTTCGATTGGTCGATTCCAAATCCCATTATGTTCGAGCAATTTAGGCTCAACGAAGTGAAAACATCTTGTTAAATAACTAGGACTGGAAATGCTTAACCGGTTAACCGATTTTAGATAGTTAACGGTTACGATTTATTTTAACCGTTAACTGACATCTCTGGTAATCATTTTTATATTGTACATTTTCTTCAAAAATGATTACGTCATCGCAAATTTATTTCTTGTTGCGTTTATTTCAAAAGAATATCACTAACTGTATTGATAAGGACCCAATAAATGTGTAATTTAAATAATTAAGTACAAAGACTGCTGAAAAAGGAAAATTTACAATGATAAATTCAGAATCAGTTTGCGGTCGAAATAAATTGTTCACGATTTTATTGCAAAATCGTATATTCCATGTCATCCGACAAGTGCACAAATGATGCTGTTTTTCTTCATGATACCTCGAAGTAGAATTTGCACATCGAATACTGAAAATTTGTCACATAAATGACGTTTGATAACGGAATCGGATTGGAATAATTTTGAGCGATACCGGGATAAGATCACGCGAAATTGTTTTATAACCATTGTGACAAGCTGAAATTATAAATTACTACGTCAAACGTCACGCTGCGGTTAACCGGTTAATTTTACCCAGTTAACGGGTAAAAGGTTTTCCCTGAAATTCCCAGCCCTAGAAATAATCCTATCAAACAATGAAACTAGGAAGAAAAGTTTTCTTGTGGAGGGAAAAGTAAAATCAGTTTTGCGCCAAGCATTGTAGCCCACCTCCAACTGCTCTAGCCCCCCCCCCCCCCCCCCCCCAGCTCTTTAGAGGAAGCAAGCTGATATCGAGTACCTTTTATTATTCACATATAGACAAGGCAATAAATAGTTATTATTGTTGAGAGATTTGGCGCTTTGGCAGACCAGGAGTGCTCAGATAGTGTGTTGAAGTTAGTTCAGCCTGACCTCTCGAGACAGTGACGAACCGTATTATGTAACCTCTAGATGGTGGTAAAGAGCGTAAGATGCAGCTTGTCTCCTGTCAACAAAATTTACAGATTTACAGATTACCTAATTTTTTCTTAAGAAAATCTGCTTAGACAAAATTTGAATTTACAATTTGATGGAGTAGTTGTCCGGTCATCAGTCGGACAGTGGAAGGAGTCGAAATCCGGAATCTTTATTTATGTTGGTGTCAAAGTTTTATTTTCAAAAGTTTTGAAGTTTAGAATAGGGAAGTTCTGAACTGCTCAAAGTTTGAGATGTCATAATGAAATGTAACAAATATCAGAATTAAATTTACCGAATGGCATAATGAAAGGTACCGAATGTCATGATAAAATATACCGAATGTCATAATTAAATGTACCGAATATCATTTGAACGTGTGACCGCGAAATATACATATCTGTGACATATCAGGCCACCGTATGAATTGGAAAACCCCTCTCATCAATAAGTACTGAAACTTGATTGATTGGTAGTTTCTCACAACAACAACAACAATTTTGCAAAACGTTCACCAAAGAGACCTCGTATCATGATCAACAGCCCAGTATTCTGGGTAGAAGGGCACATTTACGACGCTCACTAGTACTGTTTACTCCGAACGCGGTCACAAAATTGCATCAAAATAATGTTGGAAGGAAGGGGTCTATGTTCCTCCACTCTCATTCCTTGCATCACTCACTCAGTGCCCCTTCCGCTCATGAATTGAAATATGTCAACGGTCATGCTGAAGACCTACGTTTTGACTCTATTGTCTTTTCAAGCTTTTTTTGCATTTCCACATATATAGGGTGTGCATAAAGTCTTAATTTTTTTTTAATTGCGAAGGGAATTCATCGATACCATATATTGTTTTGGCCCTCACAGATGTAATAAATGAAGTAAAAATACTTGAACTATTACTACTTAAAAAACAACAAACCTGGGTAAAATATTTTGAGAACTGACTCCATAATAAAATTGAAATATAAAAGAGACTTTATGGCTAACCAGTTCTGCATGTATTGCATACCTACCTTGACGGGCAAATATATCCATTGCAACGGTGTATTATCGTCAAAGCAAATGTACAAAAACACGGTTTCGTAGGTTGACTTATATCGTGGTGGACTCCATTGCAATTCTGCTGAATATCTTTCGTTCTCCATTAATTTCAGTATTTGATAAAAGTGAAATCGAGTGAAATAAATTGGATTCTTCTTTTTGTTTGCTAAATTATAGAGAAAGTGTCATAGATGTCGAGTTCTCTCTTAACACAGCTCTGCACAAGCTGGTTAAATTGTATTCCTAATGTTACGGTTTGGTTTTATGTACTGTGTGCCTATGATTAAGAAGACTCAGATTCCGGATTTTTTATGGGAGAACTTCAAACTCAAAACAGCAAAATAATGATCCAAACACAACTAAAAAGCCACTGACAAACACCCTTTCCGAACGAGAAGAGAGCGCAAAAAACAATCTTGTCTCACACTTCATGTGTGGTGGTTGGAGCCGGCCAAAACCGCTTGAATATAAATTGCCACAGCACAAACACGGACATTAAAATCCCTGACACTAGTGTAGTAGTGATAATATTTTTCAGCGCCCCTTGTTTCGAGCTATTGGCCCTTGGCTGTATTGTTCTAAATCATTCGACCCCAACCACCTTGAAATAATAAAGTTGAACATTGTCTTTGCACGGCATACGGTTGACTGAATTATAAAAAAATTCAAAGGATTGAATGTCATATTCTAGCTATGCCTCTGTGAAAAAAGAAACTTGACAAAATTTGTCCGGATTTCGGACATTTCAAAATTTTGACTTCAACCTCAACTCTAAATAACCGTGTTCCCAAATAATCTTACCAGTTGGACACGACGCGGCCACATCGGTAGACAATTTTGTTCCGGTTAAAACAAGCTCATGCTTGAGACCGCAAGGTGGCGTCCGGAAGCAATGTGAGACGACTTGGCTTGCTTGGTGTCGAAATGTCCCGTATAAGGCTTGAACAGTAACTTCGTATTCACAGGCAAAATCTAGCTCATTCAGAAGGTAGAATTTACGCTGTTAAGGAAGAAAATGTAGAATTTTGAGTTGGTTTGAATAAGAAATATTTCCTGAGTTTAAACATAGCTAGGACTGGGCATTTTGAATCGAATAGTAAATTATTCAAATCGGTACACACGAAAATTTCGAATCGCCGCCATCTTTTTTTTTCGGTCTGCTAAATGTCGAGGTGAATTTATAATTTTCTGTATTGGAGATATATTTAATTGGACTAATAGCATGACGTCATTACCCGGAACAGGAAGTTTTTTCATAATTTACAATCATATACTTACCGCTTCTTCATATACTTCCGCTATTGGAGATATATTTAATTGGATTAATAGCATGACGCTTCTTATTCTTACCGCTTCTATTGTCCACATTTTCACATTTCTATTATTTCCAGAATAACATTTGACAGTCTCAAGGCATAGTCGAAATCTGACAAGATCGGCGGGCGCCTCTGTAAAAATAAAGTGGGATTGGTAATTGGCTGGAGTGAGATGTCATGCCCTTTCTCCCCTCTCATTAGGACAGACATGGGCAAAGTATGGCCCGCGGGCTAAATCCTTCCCGTTGGGTCATTCAATCTGGCCCGCCTGATGCTGCCACAACCAAACTGAAATCAATTTTGGATGCATAACGAAGCATATTGTTTTCCATCTTTGCTTTGTAACACTGTAAATATTGTTTATGAAATGTAACTTTTTACGTCCCACATACACGACCCGCCAGTCTAGTTGGGCAAAATTTTTGGCTTTTGGTCCAAAAACCTTGCCCCCCCTGCGTTAGGACATGCATTCATACGCTTTTTGCAACACCATTTTGCTCTATTCTTGAGCGATTTACTAAAAACCGCACGTTTCCTGGCTCCCTATCAATTATCCTTTCACAAAATAAACCAGACCAGAAAGATGAAAACGCGCGCTTATATCCGTTAGATAACTTCGACAACGAATAACCCTATTTTTTTTTTGTAAGACTTATGCGCAATAAAGTTATGTTTTTCAAATCAAAATTATTCATACTTTTTTTAAATCAAAAACCGCCAAATCTTGTTTTATTAGTTGACATAATTGAGTCAAACAGTACCAAGCCATTTCTCAACGACTAACCAGTTTTATTATAATTACTTATCAATCTCGATAAGTATGTTGATAGGTATTTGTTTGGTTGTTTGTCTGTTAGACACTTTCGTATCTTACGCGATATGTCACAAAAGCGAGGTTGAATCTGCTCCAAATTTTGCATGTGCATTCATCATATATCGTACCTCGGCCTATTGATTTTGAATCTAACTTTCGTCGCTGTAAACGATCGATAAGTCGGCGGTCGCGAATGCTATCTAGTTCATTTCAGTTACATGCAAGACTTGACAAATTTTTAAAAGAGGGCGCGGCTTAAAAAGTTCGAGAACCATTGCTCTAACAAAAATACCTGTGTACCAGAAGTCCCAAGTTACGTTAACTGACACCGTGCCATTCCATGTAATAAAGGGAAGATTTATCTTTAAGTTTCTGACAATTTCTGTTGGTCGAGACGGAGGAAATTGCACTGAAATATATAATAAAGGATTAGGAAAAAGGCTGATACTTAAGTTTCATACTTTCATCAAGTCCATGCATCTGAAACGAATAACAGGCTAACTAATACCATTCGAATCCCACGCGGGATAGTTATGTGCGAGAGGATTGCTGGACTCCTCGCCGCCGTAGGGTGGTTTACGTAACCGCTGGTCGGTTACGGATTCCTTCAACATGAATCCCATGGATCTGAAAATATCTCCCGGTGTAAACAAGTAAATGCTATTACATATTATCCTGCTTATTACTGTCGCGTGTTGGCAAAACAAGTCCCATGCCCAACATACCTTGACCTAATTAAACCATGAGTAATAGTTTTAGGGAAGGAGTGGGCAATTACTTTTCCGAATTGGCCATATACAAATAATGAACTTAGTTACTGGACCGGAGGCTGAAAACTAGATAAGAAAAACTATGAAAAAAAAGTTTATTATAAAAAGCTAGGCCACGTTTATATAATAAGCACAATGTAACAATCGAGGTCATTATGACGGTATTTTCATCAATATTTTCAACGGAAATTTATATTCGTAAAAACTATAGTCGATATTTCAGCAGACGCAGGCCGTAATTTGCGCACCTCTGTTTTAGGGCACCGTGATGAGCAACTGATAGTTCAATGAATCACGGCGCACTAGTTTAATAGATGCGTTTCCTTTGCTTGTCAGGTTTTTCAGACCAGCGCTGTGAAGTTTGAGAACCAACAGTCTTGTCCATGGGAGACGTCCCAATGGATGGAATGGGACAGCACACATTTACATTTTCCCTTGGACAAGTGGGACACGTGAGACAATCGAGACACTTTTATATAAGATAACGTTACGACTTATCGATTTTAATCGGTAAGTAAGTTGATAGGTATTTGTCTGTATGTCTGTCTGTCTGTCTGTCTGTCTGTCTGTCTGTCTGTTAGATGTACGCGATATCTCACGAAAACGAGATTGAATCTGCTCCAGATTTTGCATGTGCATTCATCATATCTCGGACCAGAACCCGAGAACTATTGGTTTTGAACGAATCATGTCGTTTAATTAGCGAGTTATTAATTAATTAGTGATGGGACACCAGGTGTCACTTTAGAGTAAGAGCGCTGTTTTGGGGGATCCCCTAACTTTCGATCGATAAGTCTTCGGTCTCTGACCGATATTCTCGTTTCTTTACCGTCGCAGTTTTAACATGGATGTGAGGTGACGTTGCGACACCAGGTGTGTAGTGCTACCAGTGATCGTCGCACGTATAACGTAAGCCGTAAGTGATAGGTAATAATACATTCTAGAGCAAACACGATTCTAGCTTTCCAGGGTAACTGTCGGACCGATTGGGAAGAAACTGGGATGGTGTCCACATAACCCAGAAACTTTTACATTACGATCAGCCCAGAGAATAGTGGTTCATGTGATGTGGAGGCGGGTGCCTGTCAATCAAGTCACACTCGAATGATTTTGTGATGAAGCGTCGCTTCCGGGTGGGAAAGCGTTTGACCGATCACTGAAAACTTTCCGAGTAGTTTTGGTGGGGAGTCCGTGTTACTTAATTGGGACCTCCTGAAGTATGCGCACCAAGATGGCGCACAACCTGAACTCAGGTTTTGTATCAGGTTAGGGTTCAGGTTGTGCGACATCTTGGTGCGCATACTTCAGGAGTACTCTAAATTGTTATAGTTAGACAATATTTCTGAAGTTAACAAAACCTATAAATCTTGTCTAGTTTAATGTCTCTTTGTACATGTAATCCTATTTAGTAGACACTAGACCTAAATTTTCATGAATTCAATAAATTGGTACAGGAATAAGTAACTATGGTATAATATGGGACAAAAAATATGTCTTATGGACGAGCCTGTTATTTTAAAATTTACTTACAAGTGATATTAACTGCTCTTGGACTGATCAGGAGTTCGTTCTCCCAATGCGATGCTGAGGCAGCAGAAATCTAGAACAATGTGGTTACATGTTAGTTGCAGGATTATGTAAGTATTTATGCAGTATAATCAGTAGTGAGATTCAGCCGATTCGCACCGGTTCTATAGAACCGTCTCACGGAATTTATGAGATCAGCGAACCAGTTAGCATTACCGGTTACTGTTAATGATTTTTTGTAACAGAACCGGTTGAAAAATATGACATTTGTGCGATGGAACCGGCTGACAAAAGATTTGAATCCCACCACTGAGTTTAATTTGTAATACATATTTATGAGTACATTAGAAACTATTTATGTATACTGTGTAAAAGCCGGCATCGACATACTTTAATATTCTTGTATCTTCTAGGTAGTTATTTATCAGTGACTGCCGATACAAAGCCTTGTTCGCAGTTTCATATGTGAATATTTTCATAGTATACGTCACCTCATATGGGATAAACATGCGGAGGCCTGTTATCCATGTGACCCAAAATACCGTTCCGCTTGATTGCATTGATTTTGTGAAACGAACAAATTTTCTGTCTTCTTTGATTATTTTTGAAGTTTTCTGTTTGTTGCGAACAGTAATGTAGAATCCTGTACAAAATAAAGGTCAGAGGTTATGAACCCGGAAATATAAGCTTCCTTCTTTTAGATTTCTCCAATTACAGACCAATTGCTGCTTTGCCAACTGTTTTAAGTAATGCTGATCGAAGAATGGTTGTGAGACTTTTATTGAACTTGGTAACTGTAATACAATACGAGGATAAGAATTGTTTTCCTTTATTTATTGAACACGAAATGGACATATAGATCGTTTTTTCAAAGATTTTACATTTTGTAACCTTCAGAGAAATACTCAAACTACTACCGTGTTTACCCGATAATAAGACCTATCCTGAAAATAAGACCTAGCCAGATTTTTTTAATGATTTTAGTACGTGTAAGAGTATAAGTATGTGTATGTATGTAAGAGTGTATCCAAATAAATATTACAATGGTCTCAAGAAAATTTGTGGTACAGGAGGTTGACTGGTTGCAGAGTCATAACATATTTTGTACCCATATGTGATTGAAGGACAAAAAACTTTAATTAAATAACGGATTAACAAACGAAAATGAAGAAACAAACATCGGGTCTTAATTTTTTTTTTTCTGAAAAGGTATGGATCACGTTCCCGAGGACTCGTTTACGTGCTGGATAGCCGTGCTTGCGTGCCAGGTTTAGCACGCTTCCCAGGGGTTACCCATCTCTGCCCCACATGGACTGGTAACTAGTCGAGAGGACATGGTACGCCATATATCTAGGTCATATTATCGGCTTATTTATACCCCGGGAAAATTCAATCATACAAACCTTTTATTGGAAGATCACTCTGTATGTCCGTTGCCAGTTTCCACACAGTCAGTATGTTGTATCTTGCACCAGAACGAATCCGAATCCGTGATAATTCGAGGCGAGTTGGGCTTGGCGGTGGACGAGGATCTGGCAACGTAAAATTCGATTAGGGTTAAATATTTAGGCTACATCTTATATTCGTCAGGGTAACTACTTCAGAAACGTAATCAGAAATAAAAAAAATACATTAAAATTAATGACGCAATATTTGATGACGTCATAGTATATTTGAGTCATGCCAAAGGTTTCATAATTTGGGTAGGTATGGCGGAACCGGACACATTCCGACCGTTTCATAATTATTGCTTTGTCGTATTAGTATCTGCTTGTTCAGAAAATGTTCCCAACAAGACAATCTATATTTTTGAAAATGTGGGAAATTCCCCTAACTATGTAGATGATGCACCTCCAGATAAGGAAAACGGCTTCGTTTCTTTTGTAAATCCCGTTTGAGGAAATTCCCCTTTCTTTATTATGTAACCACCATCACCTCGGAATTCGTGGAATCAGAGTTTCTATATTTCTTCAGTATCTCATTTTTGGTGATTTGGAGAAATCCCGTATTATTCAGATAACTCAACTACAGATAAAAAAAAACTGCTTCTTTTGTAAATCCTCTTTTGGGGGAATACCCCTTCCTTTTTTATGTAACCCCAATCACATCAAAATTTTTGGTGATTTGTGGGAAACTCCCCTCCCTTTATTACGTAGCCACCCCTAACTTACCTCCAGATAGTGAAAAAGGTTTCGTTTCTTTCGTGAATCCTCTCGTACCGTTTGTGTTTACGGCTGCTATTCTATACTTGTACCACCAACCGTGTTTCAGATGCATCAACGCTATTCGGTCGTCTGTTGTCTAAAATTGAACACAAAATAGGATTTTGATTAATATGGGATTTCTTAGTGACGGGATTCAAAATTTTAAGAACGGGTTCTCTTTTGTAACGAACTCACTAACTCACCTCATTTCAGAAAATATATGTATGTTCTTACGAAAGCTGTATTAACATGACATATATAGAATATAACTTATAAAACAATAAAAAAACGCTAATATAACGGTGCATGTTATCTATTTACTACGTCTAACGTTTAAAACAAAACAAAAAACAACGACACTTTCGCTGATAATCACCATATTTCAAAAACGGATTCGCGTGAAACCGTTAAAACACTCTGAATGCATATAGTCTGAATTCCTCTCCCTAATAGTCTTACCTCGTGTATCGTATTCCATCCATATTTCCTAAACTTTGGCTTCGTCTTAGCGATCGTTGATTTCTCTTGAACAAGGTAGATCGTGCAGGGATCGTTCTGAAATAAGTTGATACAAAGTTTGCTGGAAGTAAAACCTCATGTCCTCAACGGAATATACAGAGGGTGTTGATAGAAGTTGAACTACTAAGAGCGATTTATAGGTTTTTATAGAATTCAACTTTAATTAAGTGCAAAGAGTACTAATGGAAGGGTTGCAAGTACCGCTGGCATAGGCTACCAAGTTCTCAATATAGGTTTTTATGCAAGTTTGTTCATAGAAAAGTCCCGAGACCTGCACTAAAAATGGAACGAGTATTGATAAAGTGTTACAAGCGACTTGTGAGTCTAAGGATGCCAAGTATGAGTACTTTCAAGTATTCTGATCCGATTCCTAAATTTTCGATTCCGATTCTCGATTCCGAATCTCAATTTCTCGACCTATTACCGAAAAAACATACCCACCCAAGCAATACCATACGAAATCAAGCAAGACAGCGATGTTCAAATTCTGAACGGACAAGAAGGCCGAAACTAAGTAGTATGGGTATCCAATCTGCCACATGAGACAAAACCGCACAAAAAAAACGAATCCCTCAGAACCCACAGAGATTTTTAGAATAAATAAACGTTAAAGCCTTCTAGCGATATATATATATTATATAATGAAGTTTGCGGCGTCGTAGCAACTCTAAATAGCAGTGAAGCAGTTTATGCATATATGTGAAGGAATTGCCACAAAACGTTGCACGTTGTTTACGATCCGTTTCAAACTCGAGAATCGATTCCAGTGCATCGGAATCGATTTTAGTCGATTCCGCAAAGAATCGATTCTGTAATCGAATCCGGACTCGATTCCGCCATGCCTACTTGTGACCATGGGCGGAATGACGGAATTTCACCCTTTGAAGTGTAAAAAAAGCATCTTTCTGAATCAAACATAGCAATTCTTCGTAACTTGAAACGCTTTTCAGATTCTCAAGACTTCCACGTTGAGAGTCTGACGAGTTAAAAACGCACGTTGTATATTATTTTGGGACATTTTATTGAATTCAATTATAATCAGACGCGATCTACCAGCTATTCGTTGACTTATTAAAATACTGACTTGACTAATTTTGTAACTGTTCAAAGAAGCAATAACGGCATTAATAAAATTTGACGACGGTATCTTCGAAATGTGGCAACAAGGCGGTAAATAAAATATCAATATCTATAAGTTTCAATAGATACGGCTATATTTCGAAGTCTTGTTGCTACCTTTCGACACTTCATCAATATGTTTGTCAAGTGTCAAATTTGCGGGGCTCCGTAAATAATAGTCAACCTCGTCACGGGCTCCATAACACCAAAATTTAAGAAGGTCAGGGCTACTCAACTATTTTTACCGAAGATCCGCATACAAAACTTTAAAATTACTTGGGTCCGGTGTTTCTAGAAATTACATTTTGGCATTCTTAAACGCGCACTTTCTCGACCGGCTATTGATTATCAGATAATCAAGATTGTTTAGTGTGGTGTTAGAGTTCTTTTAATATATATTCAAAACAATAAAAGTGATTTTATAAAAGGAAACTTCAAAAGTGGGGCTAATGATCCAAAATAAAGAATTAGTCGCGGTCCGAATCAAATACTCGGAAGGTCCAGATTCGGACCGCGGTTCGCCAGTTTAGTATCACTGCTCTAGGCCAGGGCTACTCAACTGGCGGACCGCGGTCCGAATCCGAACCTTTCCGGTATTCGATTCGGACCGCGACTAATTCTTTATTTTGGATCATTAGCCCCACTTTTGAAGTTTCCTTTTATAAAATCACTTTTATAGGTTTAAATATATATATGAAAAGAACTCTAACGCCATATTAAACAATCTTATATAGCTAATAATCATTAGTCTGTCGAGGAAGTGCGTGTTTAAATATAATTTCTGGAAAGTCCGGACCCAAATATGTTTGAAGTTTTGTATGCGGAACTTCGGTAAAAATAGTTGAGTAGTCCTGCTTTAGTCTAGACCACAGCTAGCATAATGAAAGCGCTTCCTCAAATTTCAAGTTCAAAATCCAACCTTTCTTTTCGTAGTCCATGATAGCTCAGCATACTGAATCTCAGCGTTTGTTTTTTCTGTAATCGTTACACTCTCCGCCGTTGGAAGGCAGGGTACCCAAGTCTTGCGTATAACTGCTCGTCTGCAGGCAGGTGCACAGTCCACGTTGCAACACTGAAAATTATATCACACACAACTTTTGATTCATTCGCGCTGTGATACTTACCACAATAGCAACACTTCAATGCAAAAATTAAAATAAAATAACAATAAAATTTACTAAAGAATAGAAATAACTTTTAATTTTTTGTTGAAAAAAAAAGCGACCCAAAGAGAACTTCAGGTGACCCAGTTAGTTTTAGATTGTGACCCATCGGTTGGGGAACACTGGACTAGTCTAATGGTGGCAGGTTGACGAACACAATCCCGTTTCCGCCGCCACGCTTAGAATGTAATACATTGGGTAGGGGTGACCGTACATTTGAACCCACGTACATTTGAACCATGTACATTTGAACCCATATGTGTATATCCGCGGGTTCAATCTATATGCGGGTGCTAAAATCCATGGGTTAGGGTTAGTATGGGTTTTAAATATCCGTAAAACAAAAAACATTTCCATAGGTGCAAAAGTATGCAGGTGCAATTGTCGTGGGTTCAAATGTACGCTGGTTCAAATGTAATGGAACCTTGGGTAAGAAATGACGAACGAAAAAGTTTTCAGTTGTTATAAAATAATATAATAATGTATAATAAAATTGAGATTCACGCTCGCCTTTTTGCTGGATAAACAGTCAAAATCCGTTCTGCATTCAGAGTTACATGATCTTGAATTTCTTCCGCGATCTCTCTTCCCCGGTGTCAGAGTGTAAGACGAATTACTGGCCCAGTACGTCACTCTCACTGCGAAATCGAAATCGGTTGGTGCGCTGCAGTACCCCATCTTATCTTGGCTCATATCGCTTAGGAAAGCGCAGCTATAAATGAGGAGAGAGTTGGTTAATTATCATAAGTTAGAGATCCCGGGTTTGAGTCCTGCTTAGTCTACCTTGAGTATCAACTCAAGGCGTTATGGACTGGCTAACACAAGATCGGACCTCCTGAAGTATGCGCACCAAGATGGCTCACAACCTGAACGTAGTATGTGTGTACCGGTTAGGATTCAGATTGTACGACATCTTGGTGCGCTTACTTCTGGAGCACCAAATATATAATTTTAACTGAAAAAAAAAAAAACAGCGGCAAATCTCGGAGAGATTAGCTAAAGCAACGGTTCGGGGGGCCCGTGGCCCACAAATGGCCCACTGATCAGTTAGAAGAGGGGGCCACAATGCTGGATGCAAAACTGATTTTACTCCCCCATTACAAGAAAATTCCCCGTTCCTCCTAGTTTCCTTGCGTGATATGGTTATTTCACTGGGTGTTTTAACTTTGTTGAGCATGAATTGTTTGAACATAGTGGAATTCGGTATCTGCCAATCAAAATAACACTCTAAATACCACTGAAATTAAATATTGAAATTTTTTTGTAAGCAACAGATTTGAAAATATAGCAAGTTTAGCGCCACTCACCTGTACATGCAATTAATCTCGCCGTTGCATAATTCCATACAGTTTGCCACATCACTGAAAAGTCTTTGACAAGGTCGCAAGCAGAGATAGCAATCTTTACGCTCTGATGTTGCAGCACAATTCTTCATGACGTCTTTTGCTGATATCTGTAAAAAATGAGAGATCATGAGATCAGATATCTGCGATATTTCTACCGTGTTTCGTCAAAAACAAGAAAGGCCCTTCATTTTTATCATTATTTTTCAAATATTATTCTATTCTATGCAATTGAAGAGTCTTGCTGCACGCCAACGCAAATGTATTTCTGTAACGTTTTGTCTGACCATCTGACCAAACGTAACAGAAATATATTTGCGTTAGTGTGCATCTGAACTCTTCAATTGGATAGAATAGTCATGTTTATTTCTGCTACAGCATCCTTGCACTATATGCATACTGCTCCACTAATGCAAAGGCATTAGTTGGTCTCGTGTAACCTCTACTGATAGTTATATCCCATCCTATATTTAAATATGTTTCGGGTACTGTTAAAAAGTACGACCCGTGGGTGATCATTTTTATTAGATATTTAGACAATAATTTCTATTTAAAACAGCTCTCACCGATGATTTTGTTCCATTTCTTTCAAAATATCTTTCGCTCAAAATTCTTTTCGCCTCTCTGGACAGACATCTGAAGTAAAAACATAAAGTAATTACGGGGCTCTCGAAGTATGCGAACCACGATGGCGGACATCGGAATGTAATATGTGTACTATGTTAGGGTTAGGCCATAATTTTAAGTATAAATACTACGGGAAGCTATTGGCTAGTCTTCGAACTGATAATAGGACTAAAATAAGAAAAATTGGAAAAAAATTATCGTCTAACCCTAACCTGTTACCCATGTTACGTTCCGATGTCCGCCATCTTGGTTAGCATACTTCGGGGGCACCGTAATTACACTCCGCAAGCTCAGCCGTATAGTCAGCTCATCGTACTAAGCGTGAAAAATATCGCGGGTTCGCGGGTTGTAATATCATGGAAGATGATAATATGAATCCTTTACTCCTCACCGCCGTGACCGTGCATTCAAAGCAAATAGAGGTTTAACTAATCCCATACCCGACATGGACTGGTAACTGGACTAGGCTGATTTTTCATATGATTGAGCAGCTTACCGTATTTCCTCTCCCCCGGGATAAATATACAAATCCTATCCCTGTCTTTTAGTTTTGTTTTGGGCGTTCATAAATATGTATCATATTAGCTTACTTGGCAATATTTTATAAGGAAATCATGATGAGTTACAGAATGATTTAGTTGCATTTCAAGTTTTGTGAGATACTCATTTAGATTCATGCATTATTGCACCCAGTTTGTTTAATTGAATATATATTTCCAATCAAAATATTATAATAATACCTAATAACTGAACAATATTAGTAAAACTGCACCGAATACAAATTAAATTTTTGTATCTCCTCTCCGAAAATAATTAAATTTCCTACTCGGTCGGGAAAGACTGGAATATTATTTCTAAGTAATATTATGAATACTCTTTTTTATAGGAAATAATCACTTGCAGAATATCATTTTATGCTGCGCTTAAGAAAATATTTCACTCAAATGTGGTGGAAATAAAATTCTTCAAATTATTCTATTTTAGTAAAATTGCACACCCTGAACGTTATTTTACCAATTCGCTACAGCTATTTTTTTATTGTCACGGCATAAACCAGTTTGTCAACATCTTTGTCACAACTCACCTCGAAGTACATCTGGGTCTCAATAAATATTCATGATCTTTCCTTGTAATTCCAAAGCAGGGTTGCCAGGTTATCACACAGACAAAGACAAGATAAAATAAATAAAAATATTTGTACATATTGGTAATACCTGTATAAATATGACAACGAGAAATTCATATTTTTCACTTGTTACAAAACGTGAATCTTCAAATGAAAAGTTGATCAATATTAGGGTTGGCGCCTCTTGAAATCTAATTCATTGCAAATTTAGTAGTCGGGCAAGTTGGTAATTTCCACTTACTGAGAATTACTCGTTCACGGGAACAATGTCCAGTCTAAATCCCATCTCAATTTTCGTATGCAAAGAAACACTACAAGAAGAACGAAATAATCTTTTCGCAAAGACATGCACTTCTACTTTAATAATTAAATAAAAAATTACCATCCAGAATCAAAAAACAGCATTATCTTTCATCTCTAATACAATAAAATGTAACTAATTTATCAATAAGTCCAGCAATTTTTGATAGATTTGTGGCAACCTGAAAATTTCAATACCCAATATCTCTTCCACCCCCTGTCTGTGGTAACAGAACCCTAAAGAATAAATATAATAGTACTTAAGGATGAATCTTAAGCTCCGTAACGCAAGCCTGGTTATACCGATATCAATTTGTCTCACGAAACTACTCTGAAAATATCTCGATTCGGACCTCCAGAAGTATGCGCACCAAGATAGCGCACAACCTGAACATAGTATGTGTGTACCTGTTAGGATTCAGGTTGTGCGACATCTTGGTGCGCATACTCCTGGAGCACCCTCGATTCGATTCTGAAATCATCCGGTATTCGAAAATGTTCATTCCTACTCCTTGGCCTGCGTCTCATTTATCTAATTGCGGTGCCTGGTGCTTGACCTTGTATTTAATCCTAAAAACTCTACCCTAGCGCTGATACTAACATGGATCCCGACTACAGTACCTTGAAACTTGAAAACTTTTCAAACTAAATAGCAAGCCTTTTATATTGAAGTTGATCGTCTTGGGTTTTCACCTAAAACTTCACAGTGTAAACCGCAAAAAACATATGTGACTAAACTAACCCAAACCATGACATGAAAACAACCCATTTTCTTAGCTACAGTATCCTGGATCCTGAAACCTGTTAAAACTTAGCCCGTTTAACTTTAATACCAATCTACCTAACGTAAGCCCAAATATATCGATTGCTTTTTATTGCCTTCGTTTTCGCTAAATCGTTTAATTGACTTTCCTTGTCAGATGGCGCCATAATTTAATTTCATTGAGACAAAATCAATAACGAGACGGTTAAGTTAATTAATCAGTGACGGAATTCAGTCGAGGGTGGAGTATGCGGTTCGGAACCCCCTCCATTTTAAATGTAAAATACTAGTGAGAATACTAATCGAGAATCGGTTGCACGTCACTTTTCATAGTTGGCATCAGTAATCGCCTGCAATCTAAGAGCCAGATAAAAATAACTGGGTGATACCGCGGAACGCACTTACACAAAAATGTTGGTTATTGATTTTATGACATGTGTCGTTCGCTTCGCGCGAGCTAATTGTTAGGGCATTGTAACGTCATAGGCATAGATAATATATATTGGACTCAGGTATAAGCTTTGCAACGCAATAGGCTTGGAATTGCACGCACCTACCAGATTAAATTTAAAACTCATTTCGCGGGCAGCAAATCATTCAAAATTGGCATTTCTCCGCAGGCCGCACGATCTTTCCTTGATAGCCGCATTTGGCCCGCATGTTGCACACCACTGCTATGAATCAGTGCAGGCTCTGTATCGAAGAGAATTGGAAAAAGCGCATTAACCTGTGAGTTAGATAAATGAAGCGGAATCATGGTTGTTGAATACATAGCGAAGTGCAACATTTTTGGCATTCTAGTATAGTATTACGCCCTCGCCGCAGAGAGACGGTCTTCAATTAAGCAAAAAGAACAAAGAGTCGGTTGAGTTAATTAATACTATAAATTTTTTCGCTCTGAGTAAGGTTCTGTAGCAAAGAGAATTGGAAACAGTGCATAAACCTGTGAATTGGACAAACGAGAATATCGGTCGGAGACCGAAGACTTATCGATCGAAACTGCGGTTTCGATTCATGACTCTATAGTGACACCACGTGTCCCATCACTAATTAATTAATAACTCGCTAATTATACGACATAATTCATCCAAAATCAATAGGCTTCTGTTCCGAGATATGATGAATGCACATGCAAAATTTGGAGCGGATTCAACCACGCCTTCGTGAGATATCGCGTGCATCTAACAGACAGACAGTTAAACAGACAAATACCTATCAACATACTTACCGATCTAAAGATCGATAAGTAATAAAGTGGAATTATGGTTGTTGACCACATAATAGAGTGCAACATTTTGTGATGGCAACGTGTCGATTGCGCAATAAAGTCAGAGAGACTGTCGTTTCTATCAACTTTTCTGTTTCGCTTGAAGCGAACTAAAAAAGACAGTTTATATCAGCGATGTGCTAGAGCCGGCCCGACCACGACTGTCGAGCCATTAAATGTGGCTCTTGTAAACACTCAGATTCTACCCCACCAGAATAAAAACCGGATCCTAGGATTCGTTTTTTAAAGGCGCTCACATGGATTGAAAATACATAATCTTTTTTTGCTCTTGCCGCTGCGTTAAATCTTCATTTTTATGTATTTTTTTATGGTTCGGCGGTCTGTCTGAACCCATGATCACAATACTAACAATCAACATAGTTTCCAATACATATTGATTAAAGACAAGTTGTACGTCACTTTTCGTGCTTGCACCAGTACCACAGGCCACAGCCTTATACAGCTATCACACTACAGAGTTTCTTGTATGAACTCTTCTACTTTTGAAGAATTATTTATAACGGTTTAAAAACTCGTGACTACAATATCCGCTTTAAATTAACATTAAATTAACGGGGCTCCCGAAGTATGCGAACCAAGATGGCGGACATCGGAATGTAATTTATGTACTAGGTTAGGGTTAGGCCATAATTTTAGGTATAAATACTACGGGAGGCTCTTGGCTAGTCTTCGAACTGATAACAGGACTAAAATAAGGAAAATTGGAAAAAACTTATCGCCTAACCCTAACCTGTTACCCATGTTACGTTCCGATGTCCGCCATCTTGGTTCGCATACTTCGGGAGCACCCAATTAACAACAAATATCACTGCACGAGTTTTCGGCCTTTCATATGTAGACAATCTTACGTTAGTCGAAGCATTATTTTTACGAAAACAATTTCGTAAGTTAAATTTTTCGTATCTAGAGTTTTTTTTAGGAAGAGTTACTATTGTAATTGCTTACACAAAACATGCACACTTTGTCAAAAAGTTTAATTTCATCGATAAAAGAACAAAAACGAGAGGGAAAAAAAACAATTGAAGAGAAATTGAAAATAGGTCAGTAATGGCACGAACGGCCATAAACAGAGAAAACCATCAAATAATAGTATGAACCAGAAGTATTTGTACCAATATGGTTAACTAATTTTGTTCGCCTACTTTACATCAAGTTCTGTAAAGGAACTAGGGGATTATTCACTTGGCTAACACAAAAAGTCCCGAACTCGTAGTCGAACTAAAATAAGGAAAATCGGAATAAAATTATGGCCTAACCCTATCCTGGTACACATACTTCGAGAGTATCCTCTTTCATTGTAATGGTTCCTCCAGATCCATAAATTACTGAAAGCATAGAATTTATCACACACAATAAGAAACTTGTAACAACAATAACTCACCAGGAAGAGAAGGCCATATGTCAGAATCGCGTATATATTGAGGCTTCGATAAAATAATGAGGGATTTCACTTCGACCATTGGCAGAAAAAAAACAAGATGGCGGCGATTCAATTTTTTTGTCTGAACCGATTCGAAAAACGTACTATTCGATTCGATTCTAATATTCGATTCGAAATGCTCAGCACTGGTCTTGGATCTTGGGTGAACCGAATTCATGAAAAAAATTTAAATCAAATTTTAAATAGTAGTTGTGCTGTAAAGGAGTGACAACAAATAGGGTTTGGCTGGAAACCTTTTTTGAAGTCTTCGGTGATTTTGTTTTTTGCAATAAGAGTGAATTCCTTTCATTTTATAATTTAATTGGGCGGTATTGTTGAAGTGTTAAATATACCTACATACCGTAATTAACCTACATTCCTTTTTTTCATGAAGAAATTTGCTCAAAGCGAGGAATTCAGTATAGTGTAGAATTGTGCGCTGGTGAATATCAGATTGAGAAGGACCGAGTTCGACGACCTAGAACACGGGTGGGCAACTTTTTCCGGCTCGCGTGCCAAAATCGACTAAATTTAATGACAAAATTCTTCCGCGTGCCGACCAAAATTGCCGAGAGCTCACTCAGTTGTGACGTCATAATATATTTCTTTGAAGCCATATGTCATGAAAGAACAAAAAGAGTACGGATTGCTAACAAACAATAATGATTAAACGTACGCAGAGTTTCAACAGATAATTCAGAGTCTTGGAACTTTTTTTCTTGAAAAAAAAAACGATTCCGTTTCTGAAGCCTCGCTCGCGTGCCGAATAAATGGGCTCGGCACGCGTGCCAAGGGTTGCCCACCCCTGACCTAGAACGTTTTTGAAATTTTCTGTGTGTTTGAATTTTTTTGTAATAGTAGGGTAATTGAAGGTAATTTCGTGCAAAAATATTGGTATTGCATTGGTGGCGTCAAACTTTAAGTCAGACATGTTGTTTACTTTAGTGACATTAGTTTGATAACATGGCATCTATATGGTGTCACATTTCCGAGAATTGCCACGAGTCCAATACTCGAGTATTGGTTATATTGTCTATAATTTATCTATAATCAATTTTCGTTACTTCAAATTTATTGTATTGCTCATATTGAAGTCAGTTTGTGCAAAATAGTGACATGGCATTGGTGCCACCGAACCATTGTTCATAGAATGGAATAAATTTATTTGATGACGTCGCGCCATGGCGTTTGTCGATGTCACACGTCAAGGACTGGCGCCAGTACTGTTTCATCCGATGGCAGTTTGATGATTCCGTGGCGTCTTGTTTAGTGCCACAAACGTATATTTTGTCCATGGCATATCCTTGTGGCATCATTACTGTGACGTTTTCTGAAGTCACGTCTCGGATGCCAACTCCTCTATTCGCTTCTTCAGCATCTTCCGATACATTTCGTACCTAATAAATAAGAAAACAATAATTATTCAATTGATTTGATTTTAGTACCTTGTAATTATTAATGAACACGCAGAGGGGTCACATTACAAAATTATTGTTTTGACTGTCGTATCTTCGCATCGCAAATTACACATTTCGGGTTCAAATTCCATTCCCACATCTCACCCATGGCGGTATAATCAACAAGATTAATTTTAAATTTTTGAATTCTTTCTGATTCTTACGGCGCCCGATACTAAACCCCAATTTTTTTTCCAATTCTCGGGTACACCTCTATATGTCATTCGGTGTACATCTCCGTATAACATTGGGTACAATAAAGCATAGTTGTGAATGATGGTTTTGAATGATTCTGGGTTGGACAGCGGACGCTAAACTCCAAGTTACCAAGTCAGGTCAAGTCACTTGTCACCCGATTGTTAGATAGATATTGCTCTAGTCTTACTTAAATCTAGTCGACAGCGTGTTTCATTGCGTGAAATACGTTTTGAAAACGTTTCATATTCATTGGAAATCACTTCTATAAATTGCCATCTCCCGAAACATGTGCCACATGATAGTGACAATTATTGCAATAAAATGGTTGCGGTTGCAGCTCGATATACAGGATGTCTATAAAGTCCCTTTGCAATTTAAATTTTGTTATGAAGTCAGTTCTCAATATATCTTAACCAAGTTTGTTGATTTTTTAATCAGTAATTGTTCAAGTATTTTTACTTCATTTGTTACATATGCGATGACCAAACTATATATGGTATCGATAAATTGCCGTTTGCAATTTTAAAAATTTTCAACATTTTAAGAACACCCTATATTTTTGAACCTTTTCTTTAAACCTCATGCTGCGATTTATTGATTAGCATTTAAGATAGGTTTTCAAGCTTGAGTTATCGCGACCAAAAGTTTGACTGAATTGAGTCTACCATAACTATCAGTAGGGATTACGAAAGACTAACTAAATAACTTTCCTTGTTCTATGCCTTTGTGGAAGTGGATCCGTGTGCGTGTAACGCAAGGATGCTGTGGCAAGGAGAAAGATAATTGTACTATTTGATTTGTCTTGCAGCACGCTAACACAAATTTATTTCTGTAAAATTTCGTCTGACCGGGGTTAGATTTCTTCAGACAAGCATTTTTCGACTATGATCCAACGTTACAGAAATACATTTGTTTTATTTAGAGTGCAGCAAGACTTCTGAATCAAATAGTCAGTCTACCAGCCTACCTTTCTTTCATTCTTTCCGTTTCTCTCTCCTCTTCTTCATTGAACTTTTTCACAACCATAGATAAAATGTTCAAGTCCAACTTGATATATTGAGCAACTTCACTTGAGATATCTCGATGCATATTTCGGTCCATGATGAAGATTTTACAAAACTGTTCGTTCGGACCGGATAGTACTCGCGTTATCAAAGGAAATTCGGAACGAGTGAGTTCACGTCGTTCTGTAAAAATGAAAGCATATTTTGAGAGCACTGATTTTCAACCATTTTGGTGGATTGGAAACCCAAAGAAACATTCCAGAGGCACTTAGAACCTTTGTGCGATAGTTTAATTGTATTACGCGTAAAATCATCATCATCAGGTTAATAAAATAAAATTAAAAGAGCATTAGAAGAATATTTGGTACTCTTGAAGTATGCGCACCAAGATGGCGCACAACCTGAACCCTAACCTCGAACCCTAACCTCGTACCCTACTGAGTTCAGGTTGTGCGCCATCTTGGTGCGCATACTTCAGGAGGGCCGAATATTTGGTGCTCCCGAAGTATGCAAACCAAGATGGCGGACATCGGAACGTAACATGGGTAACAGGTTAGGGTTAGGCGATAATTTTTTTCCAATTTTCCTTACTTTAGTCATATTATCAGTTCGAAGACTAGCCAAGAGCCTCCCGTAGTATTTATACCTAAAATTATAGCCTAACGCTAACCTAGTACACATATTACATTCCGATGTCCGCCATCTTGGTGCGCATACCTCAGGAGGACCGAATATTTAATATATATCGATTTAGAAACACTGTTGAGCACATTTCTCTGAACCCCAAGTCGTGCGTCACGAGTCCGGGTCAAATTTGAGTCTCAAGAAATTTAAAAATCCCAGACCCAAGCCAACAATTTTTGTTGAATTAAAAACCAAAAATATTGATGCATGTATTCTTTAGGAGTGCTTAATCGGAGGCTTAATGGGCAGGGGCCAGAAAATTTCGGAAGGAGGTTTTGAAATTTTTGATTTTCAAGTTGGACCGTAACAGCTAGCGGGTTGAAAAACGTGTTAAAGGAGGGGGAGGAGGCGGGCACTACCTTCTTTTGAAATATAGTAAAGACATATTTCTGTACCATACATAATAATTTTGCATAGATTGAAACAAACGCATGTTATACACTTAGGACTCTTGAAAACACGTTTTTTCCGCTTGCTGTTACGGTTTAACTTGGAAATTAGAAATGTCAGACCCATCCCCTTTAAAAAATCCTGGCTACGCACCTGCAGATAGAGAGATATGACGGACGGTCGAGATCGCGTTAAAGCATTTTTTACTCACCTCCAGTTTCTTTGACAAGATACAGTGAAAATTCTTCAGAGCTGTTTTCAACGCGAAATTTATTGAGTAAATGTTTGATGACATCATCACAACATGTTTTACTCGTGATCCGAACATTCGTGACAGAAGCGTAGTCTGGTGTGAATACTGAAGTCTGGAAATGTATAATAGTTTGTTGTTAAGTAAGGCCATGGTATTACTCGTTAGAGTTACATGTGTTGGCACTCCCAGTTACGGATCTTTTGTGCAAAGCCCCCAGCAAAACCATCGTCACTGCTCAAAACAAGCTAACGACCAGCGTTGAATTTGGCATACATTGAATTTATGTAATAACGTAGTGACATAAATACATTTTTTGAAACAAGGGAACCCGTTGTTAATAAGTTCATTACGGAATAGAACACGTTCTGAAAATTTTGAATTTCATCATTGCAAATATGGTATAATACATAGCTAATCATATACGACAAAAAAACGCTTGGCAGTGAAATTAACCTCATTATCCATTACTGACATATTACCGGAGTCCGGACCGTAACCGGATATGTAACTCTGAACACATGCGAGCAACAAAATATGATATGATATGATATCACAATTAATGAATAAATAAAATAGTAATGACGTCATAGTCAGTCTTTTGGTGAACCGTGCGTCAGTTCGGAAGAATATAGGAGTCAGGTACCTGACTACCGGTAATGATGATTAGCGTGATAACTTCTAACTAATCAAATTTAGTACTTGGTGGCGTTTAAGTTTGGTACGATTACACTATATTCAGCTAAAATGGAAGTACCGGTACCTGTTGGCATTATGGAAATTGTTTAGTAGCATTTCAAGCCTGCTTACTCGTCGTAGGCCTGTGGCCAGCTTTGGTTACCAGCGGCTCTGGTAAAACTGTAAATATCATTTTCACGTAAATTGTGTACGATTATTTACTGCTAGGAAAAAAATTAACTTGACTTGACCCATTCTTGTGCCACAGCTGGCATTCCATTATGGAATTGTGAGGGTTAGACTATGGGTAATAACTGGCAACTGAGGCTCAGAAAAGCACGCGGCGGGTGATTGCTGTGAATTGCTATCTGCGCTGGTTTTTGGTAACGGCTGATTTGTAATGATCGCAGGCTAGCCTACGTTTTGGAAGTGCAATTTGTAGAAGCTGATGTAGTGTTTGAAAAGTGTGGATGAACATACTACCATTGCTTGAATTTAGTTCCGATTCCAGAATAAAGTGAGATATAGGTGAGTGCATTTTTATTTGTTATTAATCCAGCACCGCCTGTCTGTTTATTGTAGAAATTTTGACATCTAGTGTTCCACAACAGCACAAGTACTTCTAGTGTACGTCATATGCCGCCCTAATTTTTATTGCGTCATGTTAAGGGTACCACGCTTATTAGATCATAGGGGTGTAGTTTAGTTCAGTACCACAAGTACTTCTAGTGGGCTTGTCATAACCATTTATTTGCGTGTTTGTGTATGAATATTCCTCGCGCCAATTTAGAGTCCGGCATGTATTGACTTTGAAGCTTGGGATATAGCAATGTAATCTTGTTTCAGTCTGATAAAGTTTTATTAAATGTTGGTAAATGTAAGAATAAAAGTTATTGATATTATTTTCTAGTAAATTATACTGTTTATTTTTTGTTTAATTTTAGACTGTTATAATAATTTAATACGTGGTAGATATCGTCACGTAAAAACCAGACAGAAACTCGTTGATGGCAAAAAACGCAGCTTCCTTGTTAGTGCAACTTTGAAATAATTTCTTGTACAATAAATGTTATGTGAAAGTGACTGTTTTGTATTAAGTATTTGATTTGCGAATAATTATTATTTAATGTTTATTGTTTGAGCATATACTAGCGCATCAATATACTAGTTGGGAACTGTCTAGCAGGGCTACTCAACTATTTTCGCCAAAGGTCCGTATACAAGATGAAAAAATTACCGCGGTCCAGTCATCCCGAGAATATATTTTAACTACGCAAACAAAATTTTCAAATGCATCGTCTGCCCAAATAAAAGAGCAATATTCAATATCGCGTTTCGGTTCCGGTATGGCAAGGCTCTAGTTGTGTAGCTGAGCACATGAGATATTGTAAAATATTCGCCCCCAATAGCACCCATAAAATATCTATATATATATATATATACCTAATTAAAAGTCTTCTAGCGATTTGCAGCTGCGGTCCAAATTTAGCTCTCGAACAGTCCGGATTCGAACCGCGGTCCGTCGGTTGAGTAGCCCTGCCATGGAGTATGAGACCTAATTTATTTGTGTAACTTACTTGATGGTTGTAAGCATGACCATTGATCGAGAATCTCTTCTTTCCGCTTTTGCTTGATAAACGTTTCCGCAAGATGACGCTCTTTTGCCGTAGAAGCCCATCACTGTCCTCTGTGTTGACGTGAACTTTCTGACCTCCTATTGCAAATAAATTTGTGGTAATTGTTAATATGATTAGGTAAACTAATATATAAATATATTATCTTTATTTTTGCATTGTGTACTAATGGTACCGGTAGCCCGAGTGTGATCGTAGCTTGTATTGCAATGTATATTTAAACGTTGAATGGCGAAAATTTGCATATATTAATAATATTTGGGTACAATATATCGATTCGAATCAGTGTACTATTCAGTTATTAAATTAATTAAATGTAACAATATTAAAACACGTCCATAAAGCCATAAATTCCGCTGAAAAAAAGCTGCAATGGGGTTACCGTTGATTCGGTATTTAGCCTGAATTAGTTGGTATAAAGCGATTAGAAACGTCGTTCTTAAACCCCACTTTGCGCAGGGTCTAATAAATTGATTGAATTAAAGTCCTGCGTCGAGCGGAAGTTTGTAACACCCTGTAACCATATATGACGAAGCTTAATATCCAAGCCATAGTGCCATAAAGAAGGCACAAAATATACAAATTTGAGACACAAAACATAATATGTAGCAAAAGTAAAACTGCTATTGAATGAATGAATGGGCTAATATGAAGCCAGATATTTAAACCGTAGTACCATATGGCACAAAGCAAATAAATGAGAGGCAAAAAGTAAAGCATAATTGTAGCATGCTTGCACTCAGAGCATGCATACACATGAGAGACGAGCAGTAGTTACACACACCAAATAAACAATTAAACCACTGGTTCTCAACAACAGAAACACAAAAACATTTTCAAATGAGCCACAAACCTATTAAAAATTGGGCGCTCCTGAAGTATGTGTACGAATATGGAGGTAACTAACCTATGGGCAGGGGGTATATTCATTTGGCTAAAACAGACGAGTTTATTACGAGTCCCCGAACTCGTAATAGAACTTAATAAAAGGACATCGGAATAAAACTATGGCCTAACCCTAACCTGGTACACATACTACGGAAGTACCAAAATAGCTGAGTTTTTAATAAACTTAGTTAAATTAGATGATACAACCAATGCTTGATGATGCTGTTTTTGCTACAGGGTGTCAATTTTTATTCTAAATTTTAAAGTGAAATTGGTTGTTTTCGCGGGAAGAATTTTTTGTTTTTCTCGTAGTTTTTCCATTCTATATGAAAAACTTAATAGGTCAAAAAATGGGTCTTGTAACTGAAAGAATGATTGACAACCACTGAGTTAAATAAATGTTAACCTAACGGGTTTTGTGTTGGATAAATATTAAATTAAATTAAATGCACATAAAAGAATAATATAGAAACTTAAACCAATAAGCGTGCTCAATTCTCGATCCCCTCGGTTCTGAAACAGCCCTAAGGCGCTTGCTAAAAATGTGAGTATGTTTTTTGGATCAGTTAAACGCGTTTTAATACAAGGTTTTTATTATATTCCAAAAAGCGAAACCTAGATTCCCAGAATACAATCATACAATCAAACCAAACTTCTTGACTACCGCTAGGTCGCGCGAAAGGATTATTCGCAAAATGGCCGATGACATACACCTAATATTATACCAATAGGTCAGACTTTGCGTTGGAGTCATTTGCATGAAACGTTTTATGACAAAAGTATTTTTTTAAGGTTTTTCTCATGCATTTATTCACACCATAATTCACCAGCTAGTTAACATAACATATCGCCGGAGACCTCCACCTAAAATAAATTATGTTATCATTAGCTTTCTGGAGAAAGTATTTTCTATTTTGCATGCACTGAATAGTTGACGCAGAACTCTTTGTACTCGAGTAATTACTGGGAAAAATCCGATTTTAACAAGAACAAATAAATCACGAGCGACATCTAACGGCCAGTCACATAAACAAAATACTTGACCCATAACTTAATGCACTCAAAGAGGAGAGCGAAATTAGAGACGCCCTCATACAAAGCAACAGAAAAAAAATCACGAGCGACATCTAACGGCCGTTATCGACTCTCCAATCAAAGGATTGTCGATACACAAATAACGCAAATTTGATTGATTCGTTTGTAAATTATTTAATTATTAACAAATAATTTACCATTTCTTAATCGCAAAGCCATTCTCCTTCTATCATAACTTCGATGACTGGTTTCCCCAAGAATTCCATTTTCGATATTTATAGTAACATCACCATTGCCTATTGCAATAAAAATATTGGAATTAACGCCGTTCGGAACACACATAATTTGCGCATGCACGGTTATGGAAATTTTAATTGTGCTCCGGAACACGAACTCAATGGCGCATAGGGATGGTCCAAAATGCGCTTCCCTCTTCAAAATTATTCAATTCAAAACCAGAAGTACCAGTACTAACTTTTATAATAATCCTAAATTTTTTTCGAGGGAAGTCCACTTTGGTTTATACTCTGGTCGTAGGTGTTTGGGGCAATTCATTGATAAATGCAGAAAGACATAAATTTTTGTCTCTCGCCGTGTGCGCTGGAAACTGCATTTCTAGCCTAATAGACTTTAGCGTGTTAAAAACCACAAGTCTTCAGGATTATTTTGATATTTCCTGTAACCTGTGGTTACATAAACAACTCCAAATACTCCCAAAAGTGTGGCAGTCTACCCAATCTCCACGCACTGAGTTTTACTAAAATGGATCGCTCACGTTGAGTGTTGCGTAGATTAAAGCATTCTAGGAAAATACGCTGAACAATATATGCCGCTCGAGCTTTGGGTTTGGTACTAAAGTACTAACTGATAGAAGATAGTTTTCTGTATCTCACCATTTGTTGGAGTTTCCCCGATTGTTCTTGGTCGGCTCAATTTTTTCCGCATTATCGTTCCGCTCAATTTCTCATTCTTCATTACTATGTTGACGCTGTGAAAAACAAAAATGTTACATAGTTAGTTCAATAGTGCCCAGGCTTCTTGCTAACTTTTTTCGGCGCTTCAGAGGTATGTGTACCAATATGGAGGCAACTGATTTTGTTCGCCCACTTTGCATCAAGTTGTGTATAAGGACTGAAACTTATGGGCAGGGGTATATTAAGCTGGCTAACACAGACAGTCCCCGAAATCATCACATAACTAAAATAAGGAAAATCGGAATAAAATTATGGCCTAACCCTAACCTGGTACACATACTACGGAAGTAACCTTATTTCAGCGTCGCCCGTACCCTTGGTGAGAGTTTACTCCTGAGTGAGTGACGTGACATTACTTTCAAGCTAATTTTCTTTTTATGAAAACTCAAAAATTCTTAGAATCGACGCCCAGTCAAAAAAGGGTGTTCGGAAAAATTGATTAGAATTAAAAATAGGCATCGTGTCCTATGACTTTGAAGATTAAAGCCCGGGATAGGAGTGATCAAGTCTTCATCAATCCATTTCGTACAAGGAAAGCATACTGTAGCAAGAGTACAAAGTGCAGAGTACTCTTATGTGATTTATTTTCCAAAAACGAGAAGTGGATTACAGATAATGACAAAAATGACTCCTTCCGCCGAACCAAACAAAATTGCAAGAACATAAATCAATGCATAATTTTTTCCATGCTTTAAAACTGAAGACAATTTTTTGAGAAGGCATGAAGCTAAATAAATATATTTGTAAGATTTGATCCTGCCAGCCCTATTTTGGATATTTGCATTTTTAAACTTTTCCTTCATTTCATTATTTACGTTCCATCCACGTATTTTTACGGTGTTTTTTGAATAAAACATACTTTCGTCTTACTATCTGTTATTTTCAGCTTATTGGGGCGCGGCTTAAAAAGTTTGAAAACCACTGTTCTAAAGGGGATAAAAAAAATAAATGAATGTTACTTTTCTTCTTTTATTGGTTCCCCAGTCGTTAAGACTTCAAATTTTCTAACAGCTTCCGCTTGTATGTCTTCTAGTTGACTTTGTGGACGGATCTTCACTCCACCATCTGCCATCTAAGTATTAGAGAATGAAGGATAAATCGCAAGTTTTATTTGTTCTTCCAGTAACAGCCGGCAAACGTTTAAATATTTATGGCGTTTGCTTAAAGCAAGACTATCTTATCGCGACTGAACGGAATGATTTTAGAAACTAATTGAGAAATGGTGTGCAATTACTCATACAGTATTATCGACGTCGTTTTCGAGTTGAACGCATTTTGTTGGTACGAAAATCGCAAGTTAAATATATCGGGTTTGAATCCCATGCTAACCACCTCAGCCATGGTGCAATATTGCGGCCCGCGGGCCAACCCACAAGGAAAAATTGTGCAACCCGCGGAGAAGCGCCCGTGTGCGAGACGAGTTTTCAATTTAGTTTAATCAGGCAAGTGCGAGTAATTCCAATCTCTTTGCGTGGCCTGAGTCCAATTCAATATATATGCCTAATGACGTTACAATGACTTTTTGTGCCTGCAACTGTACTAGATAGCATAGGTTAAAGCAAGGTGCGGTCCGCGGCTTCAGCCAGTCATTTGTATCTGGCCCGCCTGTATCAGAGGTTGCACACCCCTGGTGTAATATATTGGATAGGCAATGCAAAACCGGAGAGGGTCCCTTCTTTAAAAAAAAATTTGCAGCAATTTATAAATAAGTTGGCGATTTTAAGAAAACTTTATTCGAGGGAAGTTTCAAAGTCTGTGTTAATAAAGTGAACTGGGTCGTAGCGAAGGCCGAAGTAAAAAAAACCTATCTGATATTGTCACTAAGGTATATCATTTTCTAAATAAATTGTAAAAAAAAATAGGAAATTGTCAACAGTGACCAGAGCTCCACTCGTCCTAATCCAACACCGATGACTACCAGCAGTATTTAGAAGGCTGGAGTCATCGACTCGAGTATAGAGTACTCACTCACCTGTAATCGAATTGATCGTTTCAATCCCCAATAAATATTTAACATTCCATCCACAAGTAGGTTGCCAGATTTATCCTGTTTCCATTTGAATTGTAATGCTGATCTTTCTTCGTAATATGTATTGTAGTCTCGAAGTCGACCAAGGAACGGCTCTCTGAATGTAATTTTTATTTTGAGATTATTATTTAAATTGAGAGAATATTTTGGGATACTTTTCCGCTGTACATTACAATATTTCGAAATATTCAAACGAATTTCGACGTTGTATTTCAATCCAGTATGATATCATCGAATTTATTTTAGCATCGAATTGCTATAAATAAAGTAGCAATGAATTGGCATCGTACATCCTGGCACTTTCCGCCATTTCGGGATAGGATTTTTATATTTGTCCTAGGGGAGTGGGAAACCTATAAGTTAAAATAATAATAAGGCGAACCACGGGGTGTTGCCTGGCCATCAATTTTTGACGGGTATGAAAATATTCAACTAATTATTCGTTTAAGTTAAGATACATGGGCTTGTTTGCTCCTTTCCGTCGATTCACAAATTTTATCCTCAGTTCCACTTTATATGCCTAATTGTTCCACATATTTATGACTGTCTAAAAATAACTTAAATTACTTACACAGGCATTGTCCTGCCTTTTCCTATTTCAATTTCTTCCATGATTGTCAGTTTAAATTTTGCGTCAGTTTTAGTCCGTTTCCGTAAAGTACCGTCAATTTTCTTAGAAGCAAATTTAGAAAACCTTGAGGCAATAGTAAGAGTTCTGTTGCGTGCTGTAGACCCGGCTTCGGGACTTAGTGGCGGATCAGATTTAGTCTTTTTTAAAGTATTTTTAAAAACTCTGGGACTTAGTTTTAAAGTTGTCGGCGATTTGTTTTGAGGTTTGAGTTTCTCTTGCGACGGGTCAGGAATCAGAATGTCTGATACTGATTTTGGTCGCTGTTTTCGTTGGGATTTGATCCGGGGTGAACCTAAAAATAGGTTCGATATTGATAGTTCACGTCGTAATTGTACCCGTGGGGGACCCAACAAATCAGAAGTCCCAAGATTTCGTCTCAAAACAACTGGTGGATGGTCCTTGAGTAAGTTCGAGGTAGAGCGACCACGTTTAACTGGGGAACTATCACGAAATAAATTTGATGAACTTGTTTTCTCTCTTCTCAATCGTGGGTGTCGTTCGTATAAATTCAAAGACGATGGAGGCCGAAGTAAATTAGTGTTTGATAGTTTTCTTGCTAATACAGGCGATGAGTTATTTCTTGGACGTCTGTCGATGTACTTTTCATCCGACTGTTTTAAGTCATTTGCTGAACGACTTTGAGTTAATCTGAGAAGTGATAATCCACGTTTTAAGTTCGAAGGTTTCTTTTTATTCAGTGATTGTGAAGTTTCTTTGATAGGTATATTCTCAATTAATAGATCCGGTAAAGAGTGACTAGGAGGTTCCTCTTTGGCCAAGAAATATGGTTCGGCAACTTCTGAAACTAAATATAAATGAAATTATTTCTAGCAAGCAGTTCATAGTAAATGGGCATATCATTATATCACAAATCGAGGATAATATTTCTTTGTGACGGAGAAGGCGATATATTTAAATTATCGAATGCGTTGAATATGTCGTACCATCTTTTAACAACATATGCAAATAAAGAGTGACTATTAAAGTAGCAAGGTGAACGCTTTTTGTTAGCAAAGTTATCTCGGAGCTGGATTAAAAAAATTTTTTAATCTTGTGGCGGGTTTTGAGTCTACATTTTTTAAACCCCGAAGGAGTTAGCAACCTACCCCCGGATTTGAATATAACTTTTCCCACAGAGAACTAAATTTGCACACACACATGTATATGAACTAATTCCAATCCTCAAACATTTACTCAAGTTACTATTGCGCTATACGGAGGCAAAAACCCGTATGCAATAAGCTATACTGTATACTAATGCGATACTTGTGCGCCAACTGATTGCAATGATATATCCAACTACAGCATAACATACCCGAGTTGCTTTCCTTTTTAGTCGGGCTGTCGTCTGTTAGTAATTCCGATGATGAATTAGTTGCTTCCTGTGTGACGTCACTATTCTCTGATTCTTCTCTCTTCCAGAGTCGTATTATAGACGTAACAAACCGTTGATAAGCACCCTGTGATATCACAATGATCGAAAAAGTTTATATCATCTTCTGATATATTAGTATTGCAAAAATTTGCCTCGAACAAGACTTTGATCAGGCACTCTCTGATGATTGCAGAGTTGCCATGCTTTTATAGCGCTGTGTTTTTTCATGTTTGGCATAACCTGGCCAATAAAAGCATGGTGAATCAATGGGCAAAGACTTTGGGCTAACGCCTCTAACCTGTTGTTTCAACGAAGGACTGTATAAAACAATTTCACGAAAAAACAATTCTAATCATACAGAATCGGCAAACTTTCAGGTTAAGACCTAAATTACTAGCATGCTTGGTGAGTGCAATCTTAATATCACTAAAATTTTCTCACTCGAAAGGTGTGGCTTTATTTAAGGTTTCAAAACATGCCCTAAGAATCGATATATGAACGAAATAGCTGACAAAAATAGTTGATAATGTAACAACTGATGGTTCTTGCTAATGGTACTATATTAAACATTCAATCAGTCTCAATAATAGTATAGCCTTCGAAATCTTCGCTTCTTGATATATTTGGATTATTTCGAGTGACACCAACTAAGTTCTAAATTGACAGACAACAGAACAGCCAACATAGCATTGACTGCTCCATTCATTTCAGGCAACAGCATTAATAAAACATCCGAGAAACCTCAATATATTATGACTTTCTGCCTCCAACTCTTGTTTTCCATTTCAAAGCATGGCATTACACTAAATAAACGCGTTTCCCGCTAAAATGAAGCAAACATTTACGTTCCTTTGGGGATACGTCCTATCAAAATTTTATTTTCCCACGAGATGAAACACAAATTATGTTTTTGTTTGTTTTGCGCGATGACATATTTTGACCTGAAATTGCTGCCTCATTTTATTTTAATATTTATTTGCTCTTATACGCTCTTTATTCCGAACAAGGCTCTGTATAAGCAGCTACTGCTAGGTGTGAAGATACTGCAGTTTGAAAAGACCGGAGTCCTTGCCCACCTTATAATTTGCCTGAGTGAAATGGCGGGAAAGGGATTTGAGTCGAATTTTGTAACCTGCTATGCTAACATAACCAAACCATTATACAGTCATTTTTAACCTTTTTTTGTGGCCCACTTTTGTTAGACAAAAAATGTTGTGGCCCATTAACTGCCCATGCAAAAAAAAAAAAACTACAGGAAAAATAAAATAAAATCCTTTTCGTAAAGATAGACACATCTACTTTAATAATTAGAATGAGGATTATCACTCAGTAGCAAAAACAGCATCATCATTCATAGCTACTACAATCAAAGTTTAACTGATTTATCGGTACTCCTGAGTTATGCGCACCAAGATGTCGCACAACCTGAACCCTAACCTGATACACAACCTGAGTTCAGGTTGTGCGCCATCTTGGTGCGCATACTTCAGGAGGTCCGATTTTTCAATACCTTCAGCATTTTTTAATAGGTTTGTGGCCTATCTGAAAATGTTTTTCTGGTCCAGCAGTGGGCCATGGCTTACTGGTTGAGAACCGGTGTACTATACCCACAGAAATGAGATAATTTTACTTTTATGCTACACGCCCTATCACAATACGCTAATACTATTCAAACACTGTCGAGTTTTTTGGTACAGTCTGTATAGAAAAGTGTATTGTACTAGCATGATGCTGACTACTGGTAAACAGTCTTGTTAAGAACGAATAACCCATGAAACTGTATGAAAACCAGTATATAAATTCTATGCACATTCACAATCGATAAATTTTACATTTCTTATTTAAATACCAACTTGAAATAACAGCAAGCAAACTACGACTCTGCTTTATGCAAATGAATATTTATTTTCTGACTGAACAATACACAAGCGCGAATTTATCGATTATGAAGAGTACCGCTTTGGTTAAAAGCATATATATGAACGAATGGCGGCCTACTTATGACCTGAAATTGCGATTGGCAAAAGTCTCAATTTCAATGATTAGTTTCCGCAATTATGTTATAATACAATACAAATATAACGTCATATTCCACTATTTATATCTGAATGTTCTGAGATCGAAAGTATGATACGACAGTTGGCCGCTTTTTGTCTGCAAATGTCGAAAGTGAAAAGAATACTGATATTGGGGTTGCAAGCTGCGACACCGTCGCACGGAAATCTAAATGAATGGTATTTTAAATAGGTTTGCTCGAAGCAAGTTACCGAGTACTGAACTAAAAGTAAAAAGATTATTAATAGAACAATTGAAGTTTGCTCAAAGCAATGTCCCAAACCCTCAACTAAAACTGGAAAAAGTACTGATGGAAGGGTTGTAAATTTTCTCAAAGCAAGGTGCCAAGCCCTTAGCTAAAAGTAGAAAGAGTACTGATAGAAGAGTTGCAAGTTTGCTTAAAGCAATGTTCCAAACCTTCAACTAAAAGTGGAAAGAGTACTGGTAGAAGTGTTACAAGCTCGCTCAAACAATGTCCCGAGCCCTCAACTAAAAGTGGAAAGAGTACTGATAGAAAAGTTTCAAGTTTGCTTAAAGCAATGTCCCAAACTTTCAACTAAAAGTAGAAAGAGTACTGATAATAGAGTCGCAAGTTTGCTATAAGCGAAGTCCCGAACCCTCAACTAAAAGTAGACAGATTTCTGGTAGAACAGTTGCAAGTTTGCTCAAAGCAATGTCCCAAACTTTCAACTAAAAGTAGAAAGAGTACTGATAATAGAGTCGCAAGTTTGCTATAAGCGAAGTCCCGAGCCCTCAACTAAAAGTAGACAGATTACTGGTAGAACAGTTGCAAGTTTGCTCAAAGCAATGTCCCGAACCTTCAACTAAGAGTGGAAAAAGTACTGGTAGTACAGTTGCAAGTTTTCTCGAAACTCAACTTGAACCAAATATAGTACCGAGTTGAATTCAATTTCCAACGCACTGTCAGCTATTTATAGGTTGATCCTCGTGTCATAGATGTTAGTAGACAGCAATTGAGATACATCGTAGGCCCATTCTTAATGGTAGATAATCGCACGTTTCCTGTTTGATTCTATTTAGACACGTCATTGTATGCAAAATATTTTCCAATAAAACATAAATAGCGATGTGATGGATGCATTGCTGTTAAATGATTCCAAAATTTACCGATAATTACTGACACTGCCTAGTTTTTCTATTTCGATTCCTCTATCGATTCCAAGAACATTTTGTTAATCTGTGTATCATGGCGATTTTTTATGATGACTAATGTTTTACAAATATTGTTTTTCATATTATTTTTCACATGGCTACGAGACTAGCAGTCGTTTTAAATGTTTTGATTGCATTCGATTTGAATTACATCAGAGCTTTTAGTAATTGAGCATTAAGTTATAATATTTTTACAGTTTTGGAAATTCCATTGCGTAAAAACCAACTTTTGATAATGGCTCGACTCCGTTCAAAAGCAAATTTATGCAAAGGTCGGGCGGGGTTTGCCTATAGTCAATATTCAAAATCAAATCTTCAAACACAAGCATTTTGTTGCTACAGCACCATACAAATTATGCGGTTTTATTGACTAGGAAAAACGTCAATGGCGCTCCAGAAGTGTGTGTACCAATATGGAGCTGACTAATTTTGTTCGCCTACTTTACATCAAGTTGTGTATAGGGACGGAAGCATATATTAACTTGGCTAACACAGACAGTCCTCAAACTCATAATAGAACTAAAATAAGGAAAATCGGAATAAAATTAAAGCCTAAACATAATCTAGTACACACATTACTGTAGTACTTTCAACTCTATGGTAAGGACGTTTATCTGTGGTAATAATGGTAACAGCGGCTAGAAGTCCAGACGTAATTACATCTGGATTGCAACTTTAAGAATCCAATATCAACCCGCATTTCGCAATTAATGACCTAAGTATTGCCGGGCCGGAAATATTCGTTTCCGCTGCTCATGTAACAGTGTCTGTTTGTTAGGTGCTTGTTTAGAATGAGTTGTAAAAACAAGTGGTTCCCAACATTTTTTCCAAGCGAACCAATTTTTTTTTTTAAATAAATTTTATATCATCTCGCGACCCATGGATAAGCTCAAGGATATAAGGATATGCTAAAATACTAGATGGTATATAATGCTTATGCCTTCTATGGTCACAATTTAGCTGACTAATTTGAAACAATCATTTTTACTTCAAATTTATTTTCCAAAAAATTAACTCAAAAGCGAGAAAGCTGCGCTTATTTGCGATAAGCGAGTTTTTTAAATCGCGGCGTGGCTTTGCATGAGCAAAACACAGCAGTTGCCAAATTTTAACGCTGTGATACTTCACACATATACAATTACTATTGAGCAACACTTCGAATAAAATAGAAAATAAAAGCAGTAACTTTTAGGCCTTGGTTGAAAAAATAAGCGAACCAATCTTTGGTTCAAAAAATTAACTGAGTTATAATTAAATGTCTAGGCCAGTGGTTCTCAAATGATGGGGCGCGTTCCACAAGACGGGCGTAGACAATTTTTGAGGGATTGTGAAGCTAATTAATAGGGCTGGGCACTTTCAAATACCTGATGATTTCAGAATCGAATCTCGAATACTTGGAAAGTATGGGATTGTATGTAACTTTCGTATCATTTTAGGTCCTCCAGACACATAAATTACTGAAAACATAGAATACATCACTGACAATAAAAAAAACACGTTTTCATCAATACCTCAATACAGAAAAGAGTCATATGTCAGAATTGTGTTGAAAAAATATGGCTTCGATAAAAAAAAATTGAGAAATTTACTTCCACCATTGACGAAAAGAGTAAAACAAGATGGCGGCGATTCGAAAATTTGCTCTTAACCGATTCGAATAATATACTATTCGATTCGATTCGAATATTCAATTCGAAATGCCCAGCCCTACTAATTAATAATAGATTTGTCAGATTTGATCTTGCCCGCTTTTTTTGGATATTTACATTTCTTTATCTTGAATTTTATGTTTCATACACATATTTTCAACGTTTTTATTTTTTCAAAAAAAAAAAACGGTCTAGGCTATATCTTATA